TTCAGTCAGGCTTGTTTTGAGATGAAGTTTTAATTATTGAAAACTAATCAGACCAAGCACTCCAGCGTTGAGATTTTTATTTAGACCAGAATGAGCTCATGCCTTTCCAAGTGGTTCGCACTTTTAAACTAACGGTTATCTGCAAGTGTTTGTAATTTATTTTGCTGAGTGGATTTTATTTGCAAATGAATGTTCCAGCTTCTAAATGTGTTTACTTACTGGGTTTGAAAATAAAGGATTCTCCTGCTCAGTGTGACTGTGGGCTGTTTCATTTCTTTTACCCCTTCTCCTCCGCTTTCCCTCCTTTTCCTTCCCCTCTTCTTTTTCTTTTGACTTTGTAATTTTGCTCTTCTCTATCTCCTTCATGCCCAGAAATTTTCTTCCTCCACATCTAGTCTATCTTTCTCTTCTCCTCTTTCTCCTTCTACTGCTTCATATTCCTCAACTTTTTCATCCTGTCTTTTTTATCTTCTTTTTGTCCTTTTTTCATCTTCTTTTCTTTTTCCCTCTCTTTCCCTCCTTCCATCTTTTCCTACCTCTCCCACTTTGTTTTCTCTTTGGTGGGACACGGTAGTGTCCAGTATTGTGTATAGTTGTGTTCACACCAGAAAGAAATAAAAATATTTGCTTGCATATTTCAAGCAAAGTTAAATACCTGAGTATTTTGTGTTTATTCACTAAATTCCCTCCCAACAGTCACAAATCATATTGCATCTATGCTTGTGACCAAAGATGTGAATTTCAGCTCGAGGGGAGAGGTTTCCTTTGTGCCATTTCATTCTGTTTTCATCAAACATGGCTGAAGTCCACACTGCAAGGATTTGTTCGGTTTTCACTATTTGCCAGTTAATCTGATCCACTCACTCATGTTCCTCCAGGTGGGCTACTTTTTAATTTCCTTTTCAATAGTGAAATCAGGGCAGTTGCACACCATCACAATGGGTTTGTTCTCCATTTTCCAGATGAATCAACCTTCACCATTCCATACAGTATTATTAATTATTATTATAATTATTGAAAATTTCCATCATTTGCCCATACAGCTTGCTTAATTTTTGCACCACACATTTGAGCTGCGTATTTGTGTCATTTATGTCACTCAACAAGAACTTGTGTCTGATCACATTTTAATATTGACTTTACATGTAACTCTTTCACACAAATACTTTTATTCCCATCTAGTGAGAACAGAACACAAGCCCAAGGTGTCAGGTGTTTTGCAGGTTACCCCAAACAGAGCTTTGCTTAGATGAATTTTTAAATGTTTGGTATTCACACACACTAGAAACTGGAAGCTTCTGAAATTTTGGTATGAGCTGCATTTGTGAACACACACAGCTGGACGTTTCATTTCACCATGACTCACCAGACCCCTCAGTAAAATTTCTGTGTAAAGTTGGGGAAAGCTGATGTACGACCCCAGCAGGATCTTCTTTTTTTATTTCACTGAAACCAAGAAGATAAAGGACAAGAAATGTGGAGCATGGCGATAACAGGTAATTCATGAAAAGATTCTGTCTGTAGATTCTTAATAGGACTCAAAAACTGGTTAGCATTAAGCCGTACTCTCTGGTGACAGTGGCAAAGAAGAGGACTATGGACAAACTACTGGACACTATGGGCAATGCCAGTCACCCCCTGCACACCCTCATCATCAACCAGAGAAGCCTGTTCACTGACAGACTGAGCCTTCCAAGTACAGGACCAACAGACTGAAACTCCTTTGTCCCTCATTCATGCCATCAGACTCTACATCTCATCTCTGGAGAGGAAGAGGAGGAGGAGGAGGAGCAGTAGTAGTAATAGTAATGTGTTAATGTCCATAGTTTTATATCTAACTTTTAGTATTCAAATACTTAATTCATCTGAAGTTTTATCATATCTTTATTCTTCATATATATTGCATTTCTATTTATAACTTATTTGACCATTCTGGGTTTTTTGTTTTGTTTTTTTCTGTATACATAGTGATGTTGCTGGAATTTTTATTTCCTTGAGGGAACCTTCCAAAAAGGATAAATAAAGTTGTATCTAATCTAATCTAATCTAATCTAATCTGATCTAACAGACAATCAATGTTTAAGAGACTGAGCAGTTTTGTTTCTTTCACAACTAACCAAAGGTCCTGAATCCACTTGAACACCTACTACTGTCGACTACTGTTTGCAGCTTTAACTTCATAATTATGTCTTAGTTATGTTAAAATGTTCTTAAAGCTGCTTATGAAATAAACAGACACAAAAGAAGTCCCAAACCCATAAATTATTCACTACTTACAAGAATGATTCCCCTGAAACTCCTTTCGAAGAACGTCTTTTGTTTATTTTGTTGCTGGGGAGCTGGAGGGTAATTTATACTCCAAAATAATCATCTTTATGTTCTCCTGTTATCTAAATTTGTAATGAGTGAAGCAGCGGTGGAATTAAACTGCCTTTAATTTTCAGAGGACCCCCGGAGGCTGCTTTAAGCCGCCCGCTGGGCTCAGCACCCCACTTTAGGAGCCTCCCTACTTAATAATGCAGCAGAGAGGAAGACTGTTTCAAGCTTGTGGCCTTTAAACAGATCAGTACTGATGTGGGGGGTTGAGTACAGTATTGATAATCAGTGGCTCTACGTGTGTCTGTGTGTGTACCTGTACTTGCTGTGGGAGAGGGGAGAGGCAGAGAGAGAGAGAGAGAGAGAGACAGAGACAGAGATTAAACCAATGAGGAGGTGCACTAAGAACTGTGTCAAGTTGCACAAAGAGTGCTAAAACAGGAAGCAGAGTCATTTGCCTTAAAAATAAAAGCATGGAGGCACATTTGCGTTTAATCATCATCGACTTACACACTGAACTACAATTTTCTTGTCTTTTCAGATTTTGGGGTACAAAAGAGAGGACAAATTGGGTAAAATTAGGTTAAGAAAACAGGGGTGACAAGGGTTCAGTTCACTAAAGTTAGGTCCATGCATCCCTCACTTGCCTCTTGTCCCTTCAACTGACCCAGAGATGTTCTAGGTCCGAGATGCAGAAAATGAAGACAAGAGAGGGGGAAAGAGATATGAGATATTCTTTCCTCCAGAAAGTCACTTAAAGCAACGTCTTTTTGTGATGATGGCATCAGCTCTTACTCAGCATAACAGCTGTTTTTTATCTGCATGCATGGACACTGTAATACCTTCAACAAAGGTGCATGCAGAAACTTTGTTTTTCTGTATAAGCACATGTGCAGTGAGAAGGGCGGCCTCAAGAGTACACAGCAGCCAGGTACTCTTGCCAGAAGTTGAATGGCACAAATGTGAAAAAATAAATAAATAAAAAGATCCAGGTAGATTAAAAAAAGGCTCAACAAAAGGAGAAGAAGAAACATAAATAAAAAAAGGCATCACATCATACAGAAAGGTACAGAGCTGAAAAGTTTTCCATGCCTTTACTGTTTTAAGTATTGTTTCCTGCTTACTTGTTCATCAATTGTTTGAAAGTGTGACCCTATAAGATATCTGGGCCTGATAATAACTAGTGGAGAGAGACATATCACCATATAGTGAAGCAGTGACAGGCATGCTTCTGTCAACATATCAAGTCTTACCCTGTGCTTGTATCCTGGGTCAAGGACAGCAGTCCAACCTTGTCTAATCTGTACAATAATTGCTGTATAATAAACCGATGAAGCCTCTGTGATGTCACCCAGGGTTAGGGCTGTTTGTTAAGTGGAGTTTTAAAGCCTAGGTGGTTGCCATACTGATGATTCAGCCTAACGTTTGGTCGGCATACCAGAGGTAGGGTGATTAGTCTCCTCCAAATAGTTGCAGCGTGCTTGCCCAGCAGTCATGCCGGCATGTGTCTGATCTGCTGATCTTGTTATCCTCACAACTTCAAAACAAGATAATAGGCATGGAGTATATTTACTCTCCGTACAGTAGGTGCTGTGGGTGCCCTGAGCTACTCAGACCTAAAAACTGGACATTTGTTGGTTTGGTCCTTCCGTGGATTTTGGTGCTTCTGCACACAGCTCTTCAGCAGTCACTCAGGGAACTGTGGGTTTTAGCACTTTCATATTGGCCTCATTTCTCAAGACCGGAGGATGCGGCTTAAGTTCAACTTCAATACATGTAAACACACTGTTACCCCCTCTAGTGGAACCAGTGTTTAATATTGTCATAGTTACAAGAAAACACATTTGTTGATTCAAGAAAATATGATAAATGAGTCAGGATCTCAGAAGAACAGCTGAGTTTGCTGCTTTATCACAGAAAACAGCGTTATTTACTCAAGAAAATGACAAGATTTGGGGCTAGATCTCAGGGACACATCCAATATTTTTGTATTATTATACAGGAAAATGGAGTGAATATAAAATATATGGATGCATGTTCCCCTACAGCTTCCCTAATACCACCAGTCCACATTTTTCTCTATATATTGTTGCCAGTTCGACGGGGGTTTTATTTTGAGGAACCGGAAACGTAATTTCTTTAATGGGTCCACCTTGACGCTCTCTATGACAAGCTACTCATCGATGTAAGCAGCGCCCACGGCTTAAATGAGCCGCGCTCAGGAGCATTTCTCAGTTTAGACACGGACAGGGAGAAGCCAGGCGCACATTCCTCCTCCTCCTCCTCTTCCTCCTCTCTGCTTTTTATCTCTCTCCCTCCCTCTCTCTCTTTCTGTCTCCCTGCATCCATCATCCATCCATTTGCGTCTTTTGGATACCTACCTCTCCTAGAGCGCGTGCTGGATCAGTCAGTCCTCCTCATGTCATCTCCGCTGTAGTCCTGCTGGAAGCTGTATTTACAGTGATGATGCCTGGCTGATCGGATCGCGCTACTCTTCATCTTGCAGCCGGATCACAGACTGAGGAAGACCTTTCCTTGTTGGAGTGTTTCTCTGCGTAATGGATTTACTGTTGTCGGAGAAAAGTTGGATTTCGTAAAGAGCCATACGGACCCCTAACATGGACAGAATAGGAGGGCGGTTTTAGAAAGGTGCTTTTGGGTTTGGAATCACATCTTGAGAGGAAATGCACAGAGGTGAGTTGTGCACGAGCTGCCCGATCATCCGTGATGCGCGTAACGGTCCAACGCCTTGGCCAGAGAGAATCGACAGTTTATTTTAAGCTTGGATTTCATGCATTTATCTCCTTTTTTCTCCCTCAAACGCATTAGATTTTTTAATTTGCAGCTTGTTCGGATTAAAATGCATCTAGCAAGTATAGTTTCAAACAATAAATGATTAAGAAAAACCAAATATCTTCCTGATATAAACTGATTTTTCTTGAGACTCTTGAGAAAATGCCAAGTAACAGGTACACGCCAAATCTGCACATTACTGTCTTCGTCTCTTTTTCTTTACCGTTTATTTGTCTTCCGCATAAACTTGGTCCCTTGTGACTGCTAATGGGGGATACTCGTTTTTATTACCTAATTTACTGATAGACACAAGGTTTACGATTCATCTGCAGCATCTTGCAGCCCATTCCTAATTTCTTGAGATTCAGCAAAACTGAATGAACCCGGGCAGGTTTTCTGAGTTTAAACTGTGATTCGTGCTGACCAGAGCCCACTGGAACTGAAGTACACTAAACCAGCCTAATCAGTTGCGTATCGTGATAGTTTTTTTATCTATTTATTTTTTTACATTTTAGGAATTATTTTCACTGTCGTGCCAATCTCTGGAGCGAACCACAGAGGCTTTACTGTGTGCTGCCTGTTGTGGCTCTGTAAGGAGTGCCTCTTCACACCAGTCTACAGTACGTGAGAGTAATATAATGGTGATTCGTGATTAAAATAGACAGCAAAGGTCATATACTGTTTAAAATCGATACAAGTGCAATGATACACTCAGGGAGCATTACCTGCTTTCAATATCCCACTGTAACACGACAGCTTCAACGTCTCAATGTTACCTACTGATATCCTCTCACCAAGTCCAAAAAATGCGCGTTTTTGAGGCTCTCGGTTTTTCCTTTACAGTATTTTTTTTTTTTTTTTTTTTTTTTTTTTTTTTTTTTTGTTTATTTGTTTTTTGAAACATAGCAGTTTCCGGACACCTGCAGTAAGCTCATTTCAGTTCCATTGTTAGTTAGGCGGGCACTCTTAAATTCACTGGCACACACTCACGTCCGTAATCCTGCGCACGCGGCAGCTTGTGCTCGTGCTTCTGCTCCAGTGACTCCTGCTCCAGCCACTGTCTCGCGCTATCAACACCTGAGGCGCGCACCGCAGCACGCGGCTGCAACACGTCCAGAAGAGCTCAGTGTAGCGTGTGACCTGCTCGTGTGTGTGTGTGTGTGTGTGTGTGTGTGTGTGTGTGTGTGTGTGTGTGTGTGTGTGTGTGTGTGTGTGACAGTCCCCGAATTGGATGACCTGTCCCCGGCAAAAACTGTCCCCGAAAATGTCCCCGATTTAAGCGTTTCATGAATGAGAATAAAAACGTTGCGTGTGGGCTCGAACAACGGTTATTACAGTAGCCGAATGGGAAGGAAGCACAAGTTAGCAGTCCTGAACAACAGTATTGACGGGGGTTATTACAAGGGGCGTGCGCTGCTACTAAATAGTACTGAGATGTTGTCTGTGATCACGCCGCCGCACCAAATGTCCTCGGATTTCATTACGGAAATCTGGTCACCTTAGTGTGTGTGTGTGTGTCTGTGTGTGTGTGTGTGTGTGTGTGTGTCCGCTTTATGGATGAATCTCTGTGGTTAAAGAGGTGAATATTCGTGCACAGTTAGCAACTGATGAACTACTGCAGAGTTAGCAGTTGATTAATAGTCACTTTAGCCTAATATAAGGTGTAATTACCTCTGAAGTGGACACAGGTCTAGCTAACCTTAAGTTAGTTACTTATCACACATGCCATCAGGTTCTGTTTCCACAGTAAACCATGACACTAAAGGTAAACTATTTTGATTTAATTTTTTTATTTGCTTCAAAAATGGCTCTCTGCTGGATTTGTCATTTTTTAAAAGACATTTTTTCAATTTTAGGTTGCTAGTTTACCTGTCGTTGAAGACGATTATTGCGAACGTCCTTTAGCCAATGTAAAATTGAGGGGGCAGTACAACACTCAGCCAAACAAACAAAACAAAAAAACCCACACATTATAAGCTTTTATACTATTTCTAATCCCCCTTTAATCCAGTGTTACAGAAGGCTGTGGACACGACCTCTGCATTTTCAGTGTTGTCTAGCCAGTTTCCAGAGGAAAAGCAGCTTCCCTTGGCTCCTAAGCTGAAGTGAGAAGTGATGTAAAAACGAAATGACATGACCTAGAATCGCAGGGTTGAACCCGGGGTAATTTCTCCTCCCGCTCTTTAAAACAAGCAGAGAGGTCCGATGACACTTGTGTTGGTGGGATTTGTCTGGATGCCTTCAACTGTCTGTATTATTTCTGCTCATGAATGAGTATGCTCTATGTTTGCATGCCTTTTAATAGAGTTGGCAAAATGTGATGATTAAGGGAATGATGACAGTAAGAGATTGCCTCTGAATGCAACCTAATTCAATGCAAACAGCTCTATTACATGGACTTCTGATCCTTTTTTATGTCTGATAATGATTTTACCCTCTGTATTTATTTGTCAGCCTGCTGAAGACCACTGTTTGTGTCAGATTTCAGCCGATGTTTAAACGTTGGTGCTGAATTAATTGTTGTCTAAGTGAGGATGTTATTTACTTCTGTTATTTATGTAAAAGCTACTCCCAAAATTTCTCCTTGAGGCAATATTAACGTTGAGACTGAATTAAAGCTGCTGTTAGGAGCTTTTGCTTTGTGCTGTCTTTGTCGCCTCCCTGTGGGCAAAAGTAGCACTGTATGGCTTTTTTTTTCTAGGTAATATGTTATGACTAAAATTTCATCCTGCTTTCTTTGAACTGTCAAATAAGAGACTCATTGTAGATGTTTTCTGTTGATAGGTCATGCCATCCACCATCTGGTCTGAAACCTGCCTCCTTACAGAGGTGTCAAGCATAAAGAGCTACAACACAGAAATAATCAGCCTTAATGCTGATGATCCTAATGATTTGAGTCTTTTATGACTAGTCGAAAACTCACCGGAGTGGCTTCAAACGGAATTGAATTGAGATATTTGAGTTAAAAGAAAGGGTTTAGAGTAATATAATAGACACAAAAGCAAGAACCTGAAAATTTGAATTGATACTCCTGAAAAAGTTTGAAGCCAGTGAGTCGGTGTAAGGCAGTGTCATTAACTGAAGACTGAAAAGAAAGCCCTTTTTTCAAAATTTTCTATCCTGGTCCTAACCGTGAGGGGTTCACCGCTGAAGCGGGGTGAGATTTTTGTCTCCAGACACATTTACAGGAAGTAAAGTTCCTGAAGGAGTTGTAAAAGTTCGGCCGCTTTTAGCAGATCAGACTTTGCAGAAGTGAAATACAATATTCATGTAGTAAAATAGTACAACTGTAAGTGTCTTGCTTTTTTAAACTTGGAATGAGAATTCTATGACTACATGCAGTGTCACAGCTACCCTTTGTCGGAGGGGTATGCAGAAACAACCTTTTTTAGGGGGGTGGAATCTCACAACTACTGGAAAGGATAATGGTGATATCAGCCTTGCTATGATGCAGATTATATCAGAAATACCAATAATCGGTCATTCATAAATCAGATTATACTTGTCATGCCTCAGCTTCTTGTCCTCCAAAGCTACCATTGCTTCATACATGGGACCTGAAAAACTAAACAATACCATCAATTGCAAGATTTGTAGAAGTAATCACGAAATATTACCATTTGTAGCTATACATTGAAGCTATATTTTACTTTTAATTCTGCTTTTATTTTATCCATTGTTTTAATCGTTTCTTGATTGTTTTTATCTTGTCTAGTTATGTACAGCACTTTGTTCAGCTGTGGTTGTTTTAAAGTGCTCTACAAATAAAGCTGAGTTGAGTTGAGTTGAGAATTTGTAAATCAGTTGTTAATATGTATGGTTACTGAGTGTTTATACTTTACTTTCCATCCATGTCTGTGAAGTTTTATGATTTATTTCTGATTTCTAAGGGTTTGTAACGTTGTACAAATCTGTCATGAAAGCAACACTCCTCTACTGTACCCCGTTTCTCTTCTTTTAAAAGCACTTGTTACCTGTTATTGTAGTTTCTGTTCTTCCTGAATACTTTCAATCACCTTATTTAGACACATATACAGTTTCTATTCTTGGTGCCGTTGAGAGAATAGCTGAACTTTTATGATGTGAGAAAAGGTGTTGCAAATGTCTGCATAAATTAGGGAGCAACTGCAGCCAAAAATGTTTCTTTCAGAGTCTTCCTCTGTATAGTATTTCAAACCTAAAGTCCTGAAGAGATGACATGTTTTTGCTTTCTTTTAGATTTAATGATGGACTTACAATGAAAAAAGCTTCAGCCAGAGCCCAAAGCTTGTTCTGTTAGTTGTTTCTTTGAGTTTGGGTGGTCTGTTCTCCAAATGTGCCTGTGGTAGTTGGTACAAACATACTTCATCACAAGATAATGGAGATAGGAGTAATAATGATGCCACAGCCTGAGGGGCCCAGTGTGTGTGTGTGTGTGTGTGTGTGTGTGTGTGTGTGTGTGTGTGTGTGTGTGTGTGTGTGTGTGTGTGTGTGTGTGCAAGCACGTAAAATAAGTCCATTTAAGCCTGCATGCTCATTGGTGCCAATGTTCACCATGCAATTCTCTCCCTCCCTCTCTGTCTTATCCTTCGTTTATGCAACATGCCAGCCTCATGCCCGCTTTATAATGCGATGTGAGCGGGCCAACCTATTATAAACTCAGCAGGGATCAGGTCTACAGGGGCTTATCAGAGTGAGGCAGTGTCAGGAGCTGTAACATGTTTGCCTTTAGTGCAGATATCATTGTAATGCAACATATTTCAGCCATTGTCAGCAACCATGTTCTGCCTATACGCCTGTCTTCTCATCAACCCAGTAAGCTTTGGAGCCTGTAATCCTGTTTTTTCTCTGAATGCTTTATGTTTCTGCTGCCTCTGGGCTCTGCAGATTAGCAGGTCTGAGTCTTGTAGTTTGAGTGATCGTTAATGGTTTGAAACTATCTTTAACAAACCTCTGCATGCACTCAGTGAAAGAGAATACTAAGGCTGATACTGATTCTGATAGTAAAACTCACAATTAAGCTCATAGCCAAAACCAATAGTTTACTTTGCTGTTATTAAACCTCCCACCTGGGCCATGGTCCAATAAATCTTCATTGCAGAGCCATTAGAGGACATTGTAAAAGTGATTCAAGCCTAATTGTGCAATGTAAGAGTGGGAAAAATTTAAATCAAATTAAATGTTCAGAATAACCTTTACCTTAACTGCATTCCACTTGAAAAATATTCTTTAATTTTGAAAAATATAACAGCTCATGGGCCTCTTTAGCAATCTTACCATCACAAACTTAGCAAGACATTTTCAGTGCCTACACAGTCAAACTAAAGCCTTATTTTTTTCTTCCCCTTCTGTTATCTAACTTAGGCAACACAATAGATACAGTATACCCAATGTCAACAACTGCAGTCAGTAAAAAACTAAAATATTTGCCAATGGGCTGATGTCCCTCAACAACAGGACCATTTCCTTCAACTGTATAAAAAAGGCCTAGTCTAGTTTCTGAAGCTAAGCTTTGAAGCCTACGGCTGGTATTTACCTTATTGGAAATGTTGACTCAACCTGATTTTTGTTTAACTTAACAGCAAGCAATCAACTGGCCCCCTAGACACTCAGCTAAAAGCTACAGCAGACTGTCAAGTCTGCCACACCCCTTTTTATGCCAAAATTTTCACCCTCATGTCTTCAAAACCAGTGGACCCCAAAAATGTACCTCATTGTGGACTGTACAGACGGATAAATTCAGACCTAAAAAAGTTTTGAATGAGTGTGTATGTGCCTTCCAGTGCTTTTGCAGCCAGCCTCAAGTGGACACTTGAGAAACTGCAGTTTTTAACACCTCTGAATTTGCACAATTTTTAAAAGACAGGAGGTTGCCACTTGGATATCAGCTGATATTAATACAAGATAATTTATTAGTGAAACCCAAACTCTTACTGTTAATAATAGCTGTCTTGTGAGGAAATAGTAGAGCTAGACTGTTGTACCTTTCATACTCTTAGTAGCTTCAATAATCCAGCTTTATCTGCCACTGACTGATTCTTGCACTATTGCTTATTTTAATGTCCCCCTAAATGTCACTTTTCATTTGTCTGTAAGACTAGCTGGACATTAATCTGCATTTTAATCAAGTGTAAGGTCTATTCAGTGCAGAGATGAAACTAGAATGAATATTTTGTCAACAAAAAAGGGTGCCAGTTTTGTAATTGATTATTGATTGAGAAACAAATTTCTGAGAAACTCTGTTTTTATTAATGATGTTAGGTCATTTATTTTAAAAGTTATAAAGGTTATGTTTGTTGAAATTCTCTCAACATTTGGCAGCTATCAATAATCCAAATGCTCTGATATTAAATTAAGCAGGTTAAAGCTTCACATAAAGCGTAGCTGTCTATCTCAGCTGTCTGTGCTTGAGGTTTTCACAAGAGAAAGGGGATTTGATAAAAAATGTTGATGACAGTGATTTGCAGCTCTCATTATGCTCTCAACACTGATAGACTTGTCCCTTACTGAGCAGCAGGTGCATAGATGTGTTTTCTTTATTGGCCTTGGCTATTGGACATTTAATGATAAAATACTGACAAAATCTAGTTTTCTCTTGCTTCTGTCTTCAAAAAGTCAACCCCAGCCTTAATCAAGATAACTCTCTGCTTTCGTTGCTCAAAAGCAGAAATTTCTGTCTGTAAAAAATCCCAATGAAGCTGTTGATAAAATGAAGAATTTTGGCCAATTCTTTGCAAATATTGTTACAATTTATAAAATGTCAAAAGGATTCAAGGATATTTAGAATTTAATAGTTCTTGTTCAGTGTAATGACTGCTGGACAACAAAGACAAAACTCAAGGTGACCTCACAGTTCTCCTGTTCCTGTCCCTCCTGAATGTATCTGTCTTTTTTATGTTTCTTATGTTTCCCCCCTGTGGGACTAAGAAAGGAATATCTTATCTTATAAATATTGGTTTATTCAAATAAATGTGGTCTGAGAGTTTGCATTGACTTTGATGATTGTACAGTAAAATTGCTAAAGAGTGCACTGATAAAAACTCACGGTGCTTAATTGGAACCCATCCTTTTCTCAGTGGGCTGAAAGTATAAAATGTTGTCTTCAGACCAACCCTTGAGTTGTAAGTATTTCTTTCAGCCTTGTACCTCCTTCACTCCTAAGATGATTCACCAGTAAGTTTGCCTGAAATATTTTCTGCATCATCATTGCCATCCCAACTGATTCAAACTGCTGATATGAAATGGTTATATCATGAAATGCACTTGTTTTAGGGAAACTTGCACACACTGACGTCAACCTTCCTTTGATTTGGCTCAGTGGAAAGCAAATCTGATTGCTCACGTGTTTAATCTGAAACTGTTAAGTGAAGACGTTTTCTCCCTTGTCAAACACAGAAAACGTGAACAAAAACGTGTGTTTCATTAGCAGTGACTAATGTGTTGTATCTCTGTATCTGTTTTTCAGTGTGGATACTCTTCTTTCTAATAGAAGAGGGTTTCGCTCTGGCACAGAGAAGTAAAGGTAAGCAGCCACTCTCCTCTAATGCTTTTCACTAATACTGCCAGCCTGAAAATAGGGGGTTATTGTCATGACTTGTAACACAGAGTAAAAGGGTTTATTTTCGTAATTTCATCGTGCCTCTTCTCCCTCTTTATTGCCTGTCTGCTTTCCCCCCATGCCAGTCCTCCCCTATTTCCTCCCTCCTCTCCCTGCCTTCCAATCGTTCCCTCATTGATCCCCGACTCAATAACCCATCTGTTCATTTGTTCTCTGCCTCTCTGCTTTAAGATATCCCAGCCGAGCATGGTGCCCAGAGCCCCAATCAGAACGACTGTGGCACATGGGTCCGCAACATCAATGGCGGCGTGTTCACTTCACCAAACTACCCGAACACGTATCCTCCCAACAAGGAGTGTGTGTACATCCTGGAAGGTAACGCAGACTCCTTCGTCTTGTGTTGACAGAACAGCTGACAGTTTCCCTCCTCTCAGCATATTGCCTCTTTCACTGAACGTTATTAGTCTGACTGACATTGCTTTATATAACCTCACCCCTATCTGATTTTCTGCTCCTTTGCTGGCGGGCAATCAGCCTGACATTTTCCGAATGAGCCATCCTCTGGAGTTTGTTTCACCCCACAGATATAGGCTGTTAAAATTGATGAGGAGTGGCGCATCGTTGTGGGTATCCCCTATCTTCTACCCTAATCAGAAGAGTGCTGTGTTCATCTATATCGGCAGGGAGTGTCAGAAGACTCCTGCTATTAGATGAAACATAAAAGAGATGAACATCTGCTGCACAACTGAGCTTTGGGGTAACGTCACTGAAATGTGAGCGTCCTTGTCAACACTTGAATGTTGAGCAGAAACATGACTTTCATCAGCATTTTATAAGGGACTCTGGGAAAGCAGCTGATATGTTGTCAAACTAAATTGATGAACTGTTTGCCCGTGAAGTTGAAGCACACCCTCTCATGCAGATGAGATGTATGCTCTGTTTCTGTATTGCAGCGGTAAGGAAATAGAATTTACACACAGCTCAAGGGCTCCCCCTGTGGAAAAATTAGGTGTAGACTCACTATTGATGAATTAACTGTAACTCCACTACAGACAACAAACTGGTGTGTGCAGAAGGGAGAGTCAAGAGCACACAGTCTTGACTGAACCGGCAGCCTGATGTATTGAAAGAGCACCTGACCATGGCCCAAACAAAGACCCAGAGGCATCTTTCCTCATCACTTACCAAATGAAGTCTTTAGTGAGGTAAAAGTAAAAATCTGCACTCTCTGAAATGAACTCATAGATTTAAAGGAAAAAGCTTTCCTGTGGAGCACATCTTTGCAGGCTGTGTTTCTACAAAGCTGCAAAAACCTCAGGTCATTATTGATGTTAAAGTACTTACCTCTATTGAAATGACAAAAATATTCTTAAAATAACAATAATTAGCTGTGCTACAATGTTCAAACCAGTGGAAGGGAAGTATCTTGCTGCTCTGAATCTGCTCCAGCATCCTCGACTATCGTGGCTGCTCCACTTTCATCCATGTTGGTCGAAGATATCACATTTACTCGCCAAGTTTCCTTCCCTTTTCAGTTTTGACCTGACACATCTTTTACAGTTTTTTAGGAGATGCATGCTGTTGAGCAAAGTGCCCAGAGCCCACGCTCTCTCAACCCTGTCTGTCTATTAGCAGGGCTCTTGTTGAACCTAAAAAAACAAGAAAACAAGGAATAACTTTGGTGTAATAAAACAGGTACACCAGCTTAAAAACATATCAAACATTGAATTCAAATTTAAAGTTTTTATTGCCTCTCTGTTTTTGGAGTGCTAGATTGATATTATGTTTGAATTAATGCTGAGAGACGGGACTCTTGCTAAGTCGTTTATCGATTGTTTTGGTACCTTCAATCATAATGAGACAAAGGTCCAGTTGCAACTAGCTAAAAAAGGGCATACTGTCACCTAACAACTTTATCTCTTTTTTCTCTGGATCAAAACAAAACATTGGTTGCGCTTACAAAGATGCCATTTGTCATTTACGATTGTTTACATCCAGGTGGTAAACATTATAACATAATAGCTATTATGTAATTTTTTTGTAGAGCAAATAGGCAGGCCTGAGTCTTGATGTTGAAAAAGCTAAATGCAAAAAAAGATTTACTCTGACTGAAAGTTAAGAAATTACACAGAAAAAGAAAAAGCAAAAAGGTAGAAACACATTTAAGATGTTGTGGTAAATAAAAGTGTTTTCAGAGAAAATATGTTAGATACAGAGGTCTGAAAACTTCACCAAAGTTTTAGTGAGTATTTGTGTATCTTTTTATTTGTGGAAAAAAAATCCAAATTTATTTTCAAACACATTTAGAAACAACAGCTGACTCAAGTCCTGCACCATAAAGGCATACAAGTGGAAAAACAACACTGTGAAACATGAAAACACCAAGACCAATTTCAGAAATAGGTCAAAAACTAGTAAGAAGGTTGAATAAAGTAAAAATAAAAAAAAAACATTGGAATAGATGCAGTGGTGTTTAAATCTGATCTCCAGTGTCTCGCCTTTTCTTCTATCTGTCACTGAGACAGTAAGATGCTTATGTTGCTCATCAGAAAGCTTTGCCCTCGCTTTGTCCCTCGCTTCATCAGCTCAGTAATACTTTCTTCCACTCTCTGTCAAGCTGTGTCACTTGTGAGCATCTGTGTATGAAGTTATAAAGAAATTGAAGCTCCTCACACCAGGGAGAAAGGAGATAGAAAGCAGGAAGTGCAGGCGAACAAGCTCCTCATTGAAGCAGAAAAAAGGAAAAGTCTGGCTCCAAGAACAGAGACACAAACTCAGAGAGAGAGAGAGAGAAAAGACAGTTCTATGTTGTTTTATTTCTCTTGCACACACACGTGCACTGCCCTTGACCTCTCTCTTTTTCCTCTCTAATGGGGCATGCTCTGCTTCTCCATGCCACAGATGATTCAGCGCCCCACTTCCCACCCTCAGCATCTTTATTTAGCATGATTCATCTCTGCAGACGAGCGTGGTTTGCCCTTGTTAAATACTTTGGGCTCTATTTTCGTGCCTCGCCGGAGACGAGCCGCAGGCGCGACGTAAGTCAGGTCCGCCTCGCCAAAAAGGCGTTCCCAAGCACAATTTGGTATTTTGGTGAGCGGCGTAGCCTGGCGTAAGTATCCCCCCTCCTTAACTCAGCTCCTCCCAGCAGTCGTAGCGAGGGAGGAGAGAGGGCGTGGAGTGGGTTTAACACAGCCGAGACCTGTATTGACCAATAACATCAGCTCCTCTGAAGACAGTAATGCCACACGATGGCGACAGAAGGCAGTCCCTTAACTAGTGTCACTGTAAGCGCTGCAGAGGGCGTCCTTCACACTCTCTCATATGAGCACAGATGGATTTGGTGTGTGTAATGTTGGACCCACTGGTAAGACAAACACCCTTTTCACAAATAAAGACACTCATATAAAGTTGCACATATTCAAACCTCACGTGACAAAGGTGGGTTGAGCGCACAGATCACATCATAAATTCCAAAAATGGCATCAAAATCGGAACCATCTGTGCGTAAATGACGCATCGCGCTCCGTGGCGTGGCTCTTTCTTTCATAGATGTTGGCATATAAAATAAATTTGGCTCACAAAACTGAATATTATAATATTCCTATGTGGGCTTAAAGTAAATAACTCACCTGATCACTGAAACAAATCATCTGTTCAGCCACTGCAGCAGCAGCTGCAGCAGGTACTCTGCACGCACTCTGCACGCACTCTGCCTGCTCTGAAAGCTGACCAGGTTTGAATCGGCAAGCTTTTAGCGCACTTTATACGCCACCGGCGAGCACGAAAATGTCCCTGGGGCAGCTGATTCTGTCGACACCGCCCTCTGCCATGCCACCACGCCCAGCTTGGCGGACCTCAGTGTGCCTCAGTTCACGAAAATACCAAACTGGCTGTACACCTGGCTCCTCCAGACGAAAATATCACTGAGTGGAGTCCGCCACCCTCTGCCGCCTCACTGGTCGACACGAAAATAGAAACCTCTGTCCATTTAGCACACAGACCCTGGATGTGCGTGACTGATGAACGAGTGAACTACAGTTCATGCTGTGAAAGTGATGTTCTGGATTCACTGACTCAGAGAAAGCTGACATGTCACACTGCATCTGTGTGAAATCATGCATGCGTGTGTGTGTGTGTGTGTGTGTGTGTGTGTGTGTGTGTGTGTGTGTGTGTGTGTGTGTGTGTGTATATATATGTGCATGTATTGGGCCTACAAAGGTGTGATGAATGCTTGCAAATACAAAAACACAACTCCATTGAGTTTGATCTAAATCATCTATATCTCTTTTGTATAATTAGATTTTTTTATTCATTTATTTGATGAGTTTTCTATTTAATCCTGTCTATCCTGGAGGTTTTACTTCCTGCCATTGTTTTTTACCCCTACATCTTTCCTTACAAACAAGGCAAAGACCTGTGCTAATATGTTTTGTCAATTTTTTTTTGTTTTCTCAAATTTTCTGATTTGGCTGTCCCTGTGTCTATGTTTTGGGACAGATTTTTATTTGTTATGAATTACAGATCTACTCTGAACGGTGCCGGGGCCAGCCTAACACTGTTAAACTACTATAAACAATTGTTATAAGCACACATACTGTATCAGATCTCCACATAACTGCAGCTTGATAGATTTGTAGTTATGGAACAAACATGTTTCAATGTTTGGTTGAAAAGCAGAAAAAGAAAAATTGGCATGTAACAGATACATTTAGTTCAAAGTGAAGTCAAAGTCAACTTTATTGTCAAATATGCTATACATGTTAAAAATACAGCACAGACAAAATTTCAGTCCTCAAAGATCCACGGTGCATAAGAATAAACTATAAGAATAAAACTATAAAAGTATAAATATAGAATAAAAAACTAAGCTAAACAAAAGGCTACCTTAAATACCATTAATTTACAAAATAAAGATAGCAATATAAACAGCATAACAGTATAAACAGTGTAACAGTATGAACAGTATTTTCTTTTCTTTTCATCTCCCTTTTTCCTTTTTCTAAATTTTTTTCTTAATTATAACATTTATTTAGGTTCTTAATATTAGGATCTTTATTTTTATAACTGCATTCCTGCACTCTTTGTCTGTGATGCTGCTGTGACAAATAATAAAAGGGAGTTGAGCATCCTCACTGCCTGGTTGAAGAAACTGTCTCGAAGCCTGCTGGTTTTGGTCCGGAGACTCTGCAGTCTCCTCCCCGACGGCTGCAGGCTGAAGAGACTGTGGGCTGGGTGAGTGGGGTCACCTGCGATCCTGGTGGCTTTGCAGGTGAGGCGGGTGTGATAGATGTCTTACAGAGAGGGAAGAGGAACACCAATGATCTTCCCAGCTGCTTTCATGGTGCGCTGCAGGGTCTTGCAGCAGGATACGGTGCAGGCTCTGTACCACACAGTGATGCTGCTGGTCAGGAGGCTTTCTATGGTGCCCCTGTAGAATGAGTACATGATGGGAGATGGGGCTCTTGCTCTTCTCAGTTTCCGCAGAAAGAAGAGTCACTGTTGGACTTTTTTGGCCAGACATATAGTGTTGGTGTTCCAGGACAGGTCTTGGGAGATGTGTACACCCAGGAACTTTGTGCTGCTCACCCGCTCCACTTCAGCACCATTGTTGGTCAGTGGAGCATGCTGGGTGGCCTCTCTCTTGAAGTCCACGACAATCTCCTTCATCTTCTCCACATTCAGGTGGAGGTTGTTGTCCTTGCACCACGTGGCCAGGCGGTTCACCTCACTCCTGTAGTTCACCTCATCGTTGTTGTTGATGAGACCCACCACAGTCGTGTCGTCTGCAAACTTGATAAAGAGGTTGGAGCTGGATGTAGGAGTGCAGTCGTGGGTCAGCAGAGTGAAGAGGAGGGGCTCAGCACACATCCTTGGGGGGCCCCTGTGTTCAGTGCGATGGTGCTGGAGGTGTTGCTGATGACCCGAACTGCCTGTGGTCTCCCAGTCAGAAAGTCCAGCAGCCAGTTGCACAGGGAGGTGTTGAGTCCCAGCTGGACCAGTTTGAAGGTGAGCTCCTGGGATTGATTGTGTTGAATGCTGAGCTGAAGTCGATGAACAGCATTCTGACATGTGTCTCCAGATGGGTGAGGGCTAAGTGGAGGGCAGTGGAGATGGCATCGTCGGTCTAGTGGTTGGACCGATATGCAAACTGGTAGGAGTCCAGTGCGGGGGGAGGGCAGACTTGATGTGGTGCATGACTAGTCGCTCGAAGGACCAGGGACCAGGATGATGGTGGTGGCTTTGAGGCATGTTGGGACAACAGCTTATCTCAGCGAGATGAATACAATGAAACAGCTCATCTACATTCTACTTGTAAGCAAGCCTACTAGCTATCATGCTACTGTGTTGTGTTTTGCACTTCTTGGAGAGGTCTGGGCTGTGGAAGTGGCTTCACGTTGGAGGTCTGCAGCCACTGTTATGTGGAAGTATCTTCAGCACAAACGTTTATATAAGTCAGGCGGTTTGCCATCAGATTAGGCTCAGTCAGTAAAGTGGTCCCATGGGAGACTCCTGCATTTCTGGTCACCAGCACAAGCTGTGTGACAACAGATGACTCACTGTTGTCATTGGTAGTGGACATGATGAGGCGGGGGCATTGCTTTTCTCTCTGTCTAAGCCTATGTCCCTCTGAGCATTGACAGCTTGAGGAATTATATGTAATGATATTTCATATTCTTAGTTAAGACAGCAGTTTTCTCAGTGACTTACATCAGTGCCATAGTAAACCATGTGACCAACAGAAAGAACCCAATGTCAAGGAATTCTTCAACTTTCTAGTCTAGGTGTTTGTTGTCTTTTTCTTCCAGTTTCTGGTCTCCAAATCTTGTTCCTAGAGTTTAAGTAATCTTTCTGGGTACACATCCTTCATTCTGTAAAAGAAATTTCTTCCTAAATGACTTTAATGAATTTACAAAGATTCAGGAGCAGGAAAACAACAGAACTACTCCTGCAATCATCTGACATGCCCACTTAAACATATTCATCTCATTTCAATCTGGTTTTCTGTGATCCTTCCACCCACACTAACAAAATCTAACACTCAAGAGCTCTCTTAAGCATATATCCATTCATTTCAATAACTGTTGCTTCTAAGTATAATACCAGCTATTTTAAAACAAGATTGATACGACAATAAGATAAGAAAAAACTTTATTTATTCCCAAGGGGGAAATTGGATGATAATAATTATAATAATAGTAAGCCCACAATGTGCTTTGTATGCATTGACTCTGCACAAGGAGCATGTCAGAGTTTAATGAAACATCTGCTCTTTATTCTTGAGAGTATTAGCAAACCTTAGTTTTAAGGGCCTACACTTAAAAACACTGAAAGCTCAGGTTCTAATTGATTCTTGAGTTCAATCCGCTGTTTATCTGTCTATCACCCTATTGCTATTACAGAATGCAAAAAAAAACAAAACGTATTTTTATTGTTCAGATGTAATCCAGCCTTTTCTGTTGTTTCATTAATTTTTGATGCAACACTAATATACGAGTTATCTTGACTTCAGGTTCACTTCTTGTTGCTGCAGCAAAGGGGTGTGCAGTTTCTGTACAAACAGAAAAATGGGATTTGCATTCATAACTCTCACTAATTAAGCAGCTGCTTGAATAATTTTTAATCAACAACACGGTAAGGAGACAAGTCTTCACAAGTTAAGTGTAAAAATGCTTTTTTTTTTTTTAATGGAAATTTTCAGATGAAAGCTTCACTCAGAGGGCTCTATTTTCGTGCTTCGCCGGAGACGTAGCGCGACATAAGTCAGGTCCGCCGCACCGACAAAGCGTTCCCAAGCCCAAATTGTTATTTTGGTGAGCGGTGCAGCCCGGCGTAAGTATCCCCCCTCCCTAACTCAGCTCCTCCCAGCGGAGTAAGTCGTAGCAAGGGAGGAGAGAGGGCGTGGAGTGGATTTAGAAAGTTAACCAACAAAGATGAAAATTATTGTACATATGTTGGTGAACCTAGAAAAATTCACCAATTGAGAAAACTCTAAATCGTCCTCATGCTCACACCACCCTGCTGCCCCCCACCCCCATGCCACCCCTCATCCCCCCACCTACACCAAACTAACACATTTCCAGTCAGAAGAAAGCCTGTGGCATTTAGAGTCTCATGCTGAAAAGAGCATGTGTGAAAGAACAAGTCTTGAAAATGTCAGGACCTGAAATTGTCTGAAAATTATCCAGAATTTCTGTGTGAAAGGTAGTAAAGTGTAAAACAACTTTCAAAAGTTTGCTCACCACAATCCTTTGAGGGCTGAAAAGTAAAAGCTGAAATTCTCAACTTCCAAATCCTGATTAACTCATATTTGACTTTCCTTTTGATCCATGCTGCAGTAAAGCACCCAGATCTGCCTTTATCCCTCAAAAAGAAGATTTAATTTGTTCCTTTTGTGTATTTACTCCTTTTGTTTTCTTTCTCTTCTCTATCTGTTGTTAAAGCTCTCCCCAGACAGAGGATTCAGCTGGCTTTTGATAAGAACTACTACATCGAGCCATCATTTGAGTGCCGCTTCGACCACATAGAAATACGGGATGGGCCATTTGGGTTCTCACCTCTCATTGACCGCTTCTGTGGGGGTAAGAACCCGGGCCTGGTGACATCGACAGGACGATTTATGTGGATCAAATTCACCAGTGATGAAGAGCTCGAAGGCCTCGGTTTCAGGATCAAGTACACCTTTATTGCAGGTAGGGAGCAGAAGTGGAAACAATGCAAATTGTAGCAACAACTGGATGAGTATTTGTTTAATTCTCTTGCATCTTTCTCAGTGCTGTTAAAATACAACAGATTTACAGTAATAGATATTTAACATGACTTTTTTGAGGTTTAGTATCACCGGTGATGGTGTGCATTTATGTGATTCTGATTTACAAGATCTCACTTTGATTCAAGTCCATTTGTCATCGGTATCAAGATGTTTTGGGATATTTCACTTACTATTGCAAGAAGATTCTCAGAGCAGGTAAAATGCTGCTAACTGGACAATGAGCCTTTGAACTGAGGGCATGCAAACAGTTTTGGTATGACACCTGCACTTTAAAATCACATAGTGTAGAAAGACAGTATTGTGAACAGCGGTGTACAGACATAGAGAATATCCGGACATATGAAAGGCACGCTGAATTAAAAGGGAATTTAAAGGGAATATCTTCTCCAGTGCGGTTTGTTGGTGCACATTTTAGCTGATGTTTTATTTAAGTGACACCTCAAAGTATATTTTGGAGATTTGTATTTCCACAATATTTGACCTCCATGTCAACCTCCACGGGGACGCGGCGGAGGGTGGCGGACCCCGTGCAGTGGTATTTTCGTCTGGCGGAGCCTGGCGTACAGCCAGTTTGGTGTTTCCGTAGACTGAGGCGCACTGAGGTCCGCCAAGCTGGGCGTGGTGGCGAGGCAGGGGGAGGTGTCGATAGAATCAGCTGCCACAGTGACATTTTCATGCTCACCTCCGGCGTGTAAAGTGCACTGAAAGCTCGCCAATTCAAACCTGGTTAACTTTCAGCGCAAGCAGCTGGTCTAGTGGTATTTTGGTAGACCGGCGGCATATTACGCATACGTCACCGATGCCTCACCGGCAGGTTTCCACAATGTCAGGCACATTTTAGTGCAATAAATAATCAATAACAACTAATAATCTGAGTCAGCACATACATTTAGATATATATAGATATGTTCTGATCTATATCTGATCTGATGAGCGCATTTGCCTCACAGAGGCTAAAACCAACAATTAAACAACAACAAAACCCAGCCCTCCCACCCACACATTTTTCTGATGCTACAGGACATATCATGAGAAAAGTAAGTGCAAAATTGCGTTTCTTAGTATTTCTGCATTCAAATCGCTGTGAATCTCTGGCAGACCCCAAAAGCAGGTTCAGACACAGTGAGATTTCCTACGTAACAAATCCAAGCTACGCCCCTGGAGCCTCTGCTCTGCAGGCCAGACTCTGAGAAATAGAGAGGACTATCGCATCCCCAAGGACATTAGTGTCTGAGAGCTGAATAGCTCCTATGTTACCTGCTCCTACACTGGCAATGTTAGGCTGCAAGCTAACTCGAGGAGAAGTGTGCAGAGCAGCACTGCCTCTATCGACGACTCAGAGGCGAATTGCTTATGAGATTTTTAGATTTGTGATTTTGGCTAAAAACTTCACAATCACAATTTAAAGACCACTGAGGAGGCTTTAAGTAGTAAAAAGAAAAAAACGAGTGGGACTCTTAGGTTTGTGATTCAAGGTTTGCCCATGGAGTGGGATGTCCGTGCTGCATCCCACCATGTTTTTAAAATCCGTGTCTCACATGGCTAGATTTGGTTGAACAAATAATGGTCTTGTGAGATGAGGAGCCACCTACAGGATAGGAAACATGTTGAAAAATTGTATAAATACCCCACACAAGCCCTACGTTTGCCACTACCTAAAAGATAATGCATGTGAGGGATATTCATTGATGAATTAGCACAAGAGTCATCGTAGTTCTGTCATCCTTTCTTGTTGAAATCTGTCTTCTTGTTGTGAAAAAGTCCTCATTTCTATGAAAGTGAAGTACATTAAAATGCCAGGAAAATACAAATACTTGTGACTAATTGAAAGGGATTCAAGTAAAGATTGCTGCCATCTCTGTTCTTTTCCAGCTCAAGGCACTTTGCTGTCTGCCCCCTTTTCTGTCCTCTACGTTTAGTTAGCTGTCCCACAAATAAAGACTGATAAGATAATGGCAGACTAAAACATAAAAGGAGAGAAATACTCAGACCTGGAAACTAACCACTTACTGACAGTCTTTTCTTCTGTATCTTCATGCTCTCAGACTCTTTGGGATGATTTTTGTACAAATAAACTATGAAAGTTTACCCTCTAATAATATGTGTCATGGTAAGAGCACCTGTTAAGAGTCTGTTATGCAAAGAAGAACTTGTAAAAAGTTTCTCGGTCCAGCTGCCATAAAATATAAAACATAATAATCCAGGACACTTAGCCTGAGTCATGCTGTCCATATATTTTACTCCCCCTGACAGATATCATTGGTTTGGTTTCACAAATCTCCTTAATATAAAGAAAACTGGTATTAATGTGACAAAAATCTTGTCTCCTAAATTCAAATCATCTGGTTAATATTTAGAATAAAAACACTCAGCGTTGAGGCCATATTGAATATAACTTATCTACACCAACATACCGTCATAATGAGCAGAGCCAGATCTGGAGTCAACAGGTCAGAAGTTTCAGCGCTCATCATGGAGGTACAACCACTGATTCAGTTTTAGATGCACAAATCCCTGCTCAACTGGTCAAGGGGGCACAGAGCAAAACCAAATTATAGACAGGCCCCAAGATGAATCTGTTGGAAGTCTGGTGTGAAATCAATCAGTCATGGTCTTATGACACTGTAGCCTCCATGAGTTAATTGTTTTGATGCTATTGCTGTAGTCAAGGTGAGTCAGGTGAGCAGTGTTACAGTATGATACCAGGTGTTCTGATATAAACCCAAAAGTAGAACCAGGAGCAGATGAAGCATTAAAGTGAATTTATTGATGGGAGAAAGATGGAGGGAAGGGATCCAGGATCCAAGGCCTGAGGAGTAAATCCAAGGAATGGTGAGGGTTAGCAATGTGAGGGCTTGTTGCTGCTGCAGGTGAGTGGTTTCCTGAGAGAGATAGAGAGTGTGGCAGAGTGGTAGAGAGTGGACAGATAGCACTGGGGCTCATGGAGGCCCTGGAAGAGGCCGAACAAATACAGGTTAGTCACAAGATAGGCACAAAAAATTTGGAAAAGAAAAACAAGTAAGTAACTCGAGATGACTTAAGCAGAGTTGGCTAATGTCTCACACAAGAAGTGGGAATAATCTGGCACTGGAGAGGCATCTGAGCAGAGTTTAAGAGCTGCTGGTGATTGCAGTGGTCAGGTGCAAGTGTGGGTGTGCAGGGAGAGCCACCCAACCTCTGTGGACAGAAGAAAAAACACTACTCCACCCAGGAAACAGTCCAGGAAATCACAAAAATAAAAACCAAAGTGTTGGAATCAACACATGCATTTCAGGATTCGGCTGTGGATTAGAGGAAGAAGTTGTAGTTGAGGCCCTAACTGTTTTCAGACACCCCAATAAAAATCGGATGTAGACTCACAAGTGGTCCATGAGATGTCAAGTGTTCCACTCATATAGGAATACTTAGAGCAGACTTTCCTTCACTTTACTCATTCTTTGTCAGACCCTCTTTTCCATCCCAGCCACCTTAATGTAAACCCAATGTGCCCAGAAATCAGTCTCTCCCATCAGGTGGCAGATATTAGCTTCAAACAGACCCCATTGTGTTTCATCTGTCCTGCCGTAATAGGATCTTATCTTGTGTTCTCTTCTTACCTATTTCTGCACTGTGGATTGAGAGTTATGTGCCTCCTGAATCTTATCATTTCAGACCCTGATTTCCATCTGCACGTGGGCGGACTGCTAAACCCCATCCCAGGTAAGCTTTCCAGTCCTGTGCTGGTTTTTGTTCAATTCTTTTTGAAGAGCTCCTCTGCACTCAGGAAGCTTACCGGAGGCTATCTCTGCCTCTGACGTCAGTGCTGAATGCACAAATGTACCTTGACAGGTGCACAATTCAACATGAAGGGGAAGGATGTTCATACACAAACATACACAGGTTTAAACACATAAAGGAACGCACACCTCTTTTATCCAGCTCTTTCCTTCCTGTCCTTCTGCCTTTGTTCCTCTGTCTTTTTTATTGTCCTTAATCCTAATCCACTGCGCTCACTTCAATACCACCTTAAATCCTTCACCACTTAAAATAAAACCCTTCATCTGTCCTTCTCTCTGTCATGTTCTCTCCGCGTCCTTTTTCATCTGTGGTTTCTCTGCTGTTTCTCTTTTTTTATTTCTTTCTGACCCCTCTCTCACCTCTCCTGTCTTTTACCTGTCTCTTTGTCCTCTAACTTTCTTTTTCTTCTCACCTCTCCCCCACACTTACTTGTCTGGCTGCAGACTGTCAGTTTGAAATTGGAGGATGGGATGGGGTTATTCGCTCCAGTCAGGTGGAGGAGGAAGAGAAAGTGAAACCTGGGGATGCTCTGGACTGCATTTGGACCATCAGGGCTCCACCTCAGTCAAAGGTCAGTGTGAGAGGACATTTAATCTGCAGAAATGATGCAATTAGTTAACTTGTCTATATCTATGCCCCAGTCCATGGTCAAAAAGTAGCTGAAAAATAAAAACTACAATGATGAGTGCTTTTGTCTGATTTTGAAGTAACCTCGCTGTTATGCTCAGGTCTTCTCATGAACTACACAGTAAATGAGATTATCAGCCACAGGACTGGCTTTTCTTTTTACATCTACTTTTGAATTTTAGTGCTTGTATTTGAGTTGAAATTTCTGTAAAAAGCCAAAAAAAAAAAGCATATGACATAATTGATCAATTTCATTTCTTCCATGGAAAGAATTGCCCTTCAATAACTAAATCATCACAGTATCTTTAAGAAGAATACAAGAAGTCAAATAAGGCTACCAGTGAGCTTAACAATAACTATAGATGTTCCTTCTGAGACATCAGAAAATAGTTTGTCTGCTGCACAGCATACTGCATGTTATACCCAGGTCAAACATGTTACACTTGGGTTGACTCTGTATGAATTGACTTAGTTTGATGTAGCTCAACCACACTGTGCATGTAAATGTCCTGAATGTCTCTCTCTATTCATTGCTGTCAGGATGAGATTGCACAGCACAGCTCTTGGCAACAGAGGAGATGCCGGTGGGTCATCTCGGTCGAAATCTTACACGGAAATGGGTCAAACTGCACAGAGCTGCAGGATCTGTGGGCATTTCTACATTTTAATATGATTCGCACAGTTTGCTTTGTGAATTACACCTTGAGTAATGAACTGATAATGGGGGCACATGATGTGCAATTTCTGGTTCAATTAACAATCACAATCCACTTTTTACAGTTTCACCGAAGCCTAGAACAGCAAACCAAACTCTGGCCATAGAGGTACCTTTGTGTTTTCTTGAAAGATTTTGGGCCTGGTTGGAGTGTCCAGTGAGGTTAAGGTGACAGGAGCTTTGTAGAGGTGGTTTCAACACACAACCTGTCTGCCAAAGCTAAAAATATATGTATACATTACAGACACAAGCTGATTTTAAATGCAGACCCTAACTTGTGTGACTGTGATGCACTTAATGTGGGCAATCTACCTGTGCTGTTCTAGTCCTGTGTATTTATTTTCTGTCTTCTGTAAGGGTAGATGTTGTTCTGCTTTGTCTTAAGCCTAACCAGCTCGCTGATGATCTGTTTCCTTTTGTGCGTCATATGGTGGAGGCGCGTTAGATTCAGCCTGTTTCATTATCAGTCGAAAAAGTAGTGTATTTCATGTTACAATTTAGAAATGGACAAACTTCCTAAGAAGTTTTCTAAACTTTCCCTAATCTGTCTTTGGCAATATGCTAATGCTAATCCAGCTCAAAGACCTCAATTTTCAATCTTACACCAGGATCAACAATGCTGCTCTTGCTTATATTTAACTATTTCACCAACTATGAGGACAAAGAAGTATTATGTTGAATATCCTTTTGGATGCTTCACAAATCCGGCTCAGGCTGTTTTTTTTTTTTGTTTGTTTGTTTATTTCTGGTTGCTGTTATTTTGTAATTATTGTAATCAGCATGAAAGCAGAAAGCTGCAAGCAGCTGATTTATTTTTTTAACCTGACAAATGAGATGAAATCTCATCTCGCTGGTGACGCACACAGTTAGTCCCAGAATAGATCTGAATAGTCATCCAAATAAAAGGAATGAGAGGAGAAATAACGAAGCTCTGAATATAAACAAGAAAAGAAACATCTCTGAATATGAAGCTGTGACACATTTTCAAGTATCGACCTGCAAAGCAGATTTGTTTCCACCGAGAAACGATTGTGGAGGATTTATGTATCCCCAGATCAAAGCATCTCCTTCTATCTCCACCTTTAAGGAAGTCCATCTACTGTATGTGAGTGTTTCAGTGGTTTCTTTGATGTAAATAATAAGTATGAACACAAATTGTTGCATTTTGTGTCCCATGAAAGAAATCCTGCTACCATGACTTGAGAGTAATTTAACACTTGATGGATGTGAGCAGCGCAAATACACAGATGCGCATCATGGGAGAAAGCAATACCAACAAGTCGTATTGATAAAACACTACTCTGGAGTTTCATAAGTGCATTTTAAAGCCAGGAGTGAAAGCTGAGTGATGTGTTCACAAAACTTCTGATTTTATGAGTGGATATGAAAAGGTCACATTGAATTCACAACCACGGCAAGCCTTGATTCATGGCTGCTCTGCGTCTTCCTCATGACTGAATGAGTCATCAGCACGCTCCTGTGCTACTCATGGGCCAGAATGTACTCATGCAACTCACACATACACATAAATTCATGCAAATATAATAAGCCATTAAACGTCAGAAAACATATACCGTTATTAATAACATAACAGTGTCAGTATGTGGTAATGTAAACAACCACCCACACATATTTTGATTTCCTGTGTATACATATTAACTTATAAACATTTATGCATGACTCACACTTACTCTAAATTATTCTCTCACACACAAACCCACACAGTGATTCCATTGGTCCTACATGTGCAGTGATAAGCAGCAGTGATGAGGATCTGAATTTAGCTGCAGCACTGAGTTGCTCAAACAGATATTAGTTCAATGAAGCAGAAAGAGCACAGCAACACGCTCAGCAGCAGCAGCCACCGCAGAAGCAGCAGCAGCAGTAGCAGTAAAAGAACAGCTACTTAGCTGCTGCCGGGCAAAGTACACACATTAGCCACTGAGGTAGAAGTGCAGATACCTGAGCTCAAAGGACTCTTGGAAAAGTAAAAGTACTAATTCAACCTCTTTAATGACGTCAAAGTCAAAAAGGACAGGCTATCCTATAGAAAAGTTTATTTCTATAGGTTATTTTCCTATGAAATTACCTAAACTTTTTGTTTCATTTGTGAGGGGAAACTTGAATCGTTTTACTTTCAAAAAACTGAAGAATTGCTGCGATGATCCAAACATATAGGACAGTTTTTTTTTTCCTTTTAGTGCAATCACTTTTCATTTTTGGGCTCTAGTAATTAGATGCCAAAGCAGTGGATAGCACCACCTATCTGCAAAGCTGTATCCTTCATGACTGAGGCCTGCCATCAATCAGCCACAGCACCAGGGGGATGAGGGATGTAGAGATACCGTGACTGTCCAGGGTAAACTGGGTCAAAAGTAGGATGAGTAAACTGACAACTGAGTCATCAATGCAGCAAAGAAGCTTAATTTGATGTATTACTTTATGTTGGCAATGAATAAAACATGAATCATCTGTACTAATGGGCTGTCAATGACAAAATATCACACAAAATATTGCAATGTAATGCATCAATTTTTGAGTGATGATCTGCAGAGTGGAGTTGATTCACCTTAATGCTGACATGCCTGTATGTCTGCAGATCTACCTGCGCTTCATGGATTATCAGATGGAGCACTCCAATGAGTGCAAGAAGAACTTTGTGGCCGTGTATGATGGCAGCAGCGCCATCGAGAACCTCAAAGCCAAGTTCTGTAGCACTGTGGCCAACGATGTGATGCTGGATAACGGTGTTGGAGTCGTACGAATGTGGGCTGACGAGAAGAGCCGACTCAGCCGCTTCCGCATGCTCTTTACCTCCTTCGTCGACCGTGAGTCACTGTGTCCCCAAACATGAGTACATGGTCCCTGTTTTACCGTCTTTTCATCTTTTATGTTGAGTGGTGGGGTTCATTCATTTTGCTCAGACAAAAAGATATCTTGTTTACCAAAAGTCTGAAACTATGCTGTTCTTAAACCCTTATTGATCTCATTTTGTGGTTCCCTGGTTTCATTGAAGGATGAAACAGACCTTAGTTGGAGAGACTTATACAACTCTATGTATTTTTGGCACACCTGTTAAGCTACATAAAAAGCTACAGCAACATTTCTCCATCCAGGATGATTAAAATCATAAATTTAAACGTTAAAGGCACAGTGTGTTTAAGTATGTATAATTCAGCAATATTTAGCAGAACAAACTTCCTGGCGATGGATTACAGCAGCCATAAGCAGTGTTGTGCAAGTTCACATCAAAAATGAACAAGCTCAAAGTTTAATTTACACTGTTTCAAATGATATTAGAACATTGAGGGAAACAAAACTGTTTTGGAAACTTAGAAACAACCAGCATGCATTGGAAGAAAATTGAGCTAAAGTTTTAAAATATGCAGGAAAAATCTGCTCTGAAACTGAGGATGTGGGAGAGATGTTTTTTGCATTCTGTGAAGTAAAAAGCGCTTTAGATAAAGAAATACTGAACAAACAATCACAATCTCAAAACTTTTACCTCTCTGGATCCAAGTGTTTTGGTTTTTTTTAGTGAGGTGGGATTGGTCCTGATCTTTTCATATAACTACGTAAAAGTCTGTACATTGCTTTGGATGAAAGCATCTGCTAAGTGGCATTGTAAAATAGTAAAATGTTCAAAAGACTCGGACTGCCTCTGCAGCATTCTCAACATCTGCTGGATAATAGAAGCGAGTAGCACTGGGTGTCCAAATTCGGCTGCCAAATTTTGTGGGTGAAAACTCTTACTGTTGGAGGAACATGACAACCTAGTAGATTACCACTGAAGAAACCACAAGAGCCATATGAGTGGGGGGATTATACTGATCCACATACCTCTTTTCTGAGCACCTTCCAGGTGATTAAGCTCATTCGACAGAGTCACTATTTTCTTATCCCACTTTCTCCTAATGTCAGCACAGCTTTTACCATCCTCTGTAGTGGGTGACGTCACGGTAGACACATAACTGTAAGTATTGTCAGTTTAAAACAAAAGAAAAAATGTAAACATTGGGCTGGGTAATGCTGAATGAAAATATTATTTGGTGGAAGGACTGTCACAATATGTCAGTATGGTAGTAACCCCCTTAATCAAAATACGAAATGTTGATATCGTGCAAAGATAAGCAAACAGTAATATTGTAAAGCATAGTTTTACAGTTTAGGAAATAAAACAACCTAAAATGCAGACAGGAAAAAATACCAAAATAAAAGCATGACAAACAGTTGTTTAGTGAGACGATGTCTTCTCTGAAGAAGTTTCACCTGCACAGCCATTGGTGTGGATAAATCATACATTTGAACGTAATTAGAAAAGGATGATGACTCGAACATCACCTGTGTTAGGTCTAGCTTACAGACTTGCAATATTATGTTAGGTTATATATTGTCTTACATTTTCTTCATTTTACTCACCATGTTTTTGAATTTAAAGTTTTTACAAATGAGTCATGACTTTTTAACCTACCCTCTTTTTCTGCAACCACGGTCATGCAGAAAAGACAGGCATTCCTGTTTGTGGATCATCTTGAGAGCTCCGTGTCCTGTACTGTCCTTTCAAAACTGTCAGCTTTAAATTATTATTGAGCTACTGTTCAGCTTGTTTTTCTAAATGCATCAAGTGGCAGAGGTATGGCTGATCTGACTGTGCATTACTCATCATGTGTGGGGAAAAAAACACACCCTTACAGTTCCCCCTGCTCCTTACATTTATATTTCACTCTGTATTTTATTCAAATGAAAAGCAGAAAATGTCATTACTTCACTGTAACAGCTGTGACATTTTCCACCCACTCACAAAAACAGATGATTTATGAGGTCTGCATCAGTAGTCACTAAGAGACACTGGAGTGTCATTTCAGTAAGGAAAGCTAATTACACTGTGCCATGTTTGGAGCACAGATATGAGAAAACCAATTATTGAGTCCAGCATTTGTAAATAACTGAAAGCATCACAATTTTTTTGATATGTGTGTCATACCATATCACTTTGCTCATTAGAAGAGGAACATTAGGAGTTTATCTGTTGGTTAAAATAAAGCAGAGAGAGGATAATAGATCTCCTGGAAGTAATTAGACATTCAACATTGTCATTTCTGAAGGACAATAAATCCTCAAACAGATGCTGCTTAAGACTGCGCATAAAGAAGCTCTTTTTTTTGTTAACATGCTGTTATAGTTTCATTACATGCCTGAATAGACTGAGGTGTTAATTGCCACATTTTCCAGCACACTCCTCGAACCCTGGGTGAATACTAATGTTGTTTTCATCAGCTTACTCATATATAACCATATCAGTGGATGCGTAATGGCTTTTTAAATTCAGCAACGGTGGGTTTTCTTTTTTTTTTTACTCGGAGAGTCCTTAAGTCCATTTAGATCCTCATTAATTCTGATCACACAGTTCATCTCTGAGAGGAGCCTGAAGTCTCTTGATAACTCTGAAACTTCATTTGGTCAGAGTCAGCCACAGAAGTTTGGTTGGAGGTCAGAGGGAACGATTAATCTTTGTCACTCAGAGAACAAGATGAGTTTTGCTTCTTGCACTCCATCATCTTTGTGTCTGATCCAGACGTAGTACGACATTACAAACACACACACACACACACACTCTTATGACACTTTGTGAGGAGCTTCATTTTGGAGGCGTGAGAGACACAATCATTTTGGAAGTGTTTGCAGTGTTAGGGGGGATAACCCTGTCTACAGGCTCACTGAGAGATAGATGAAGCAGACACTGCAGCACACACACTTTTTCACACACAGCCTTACAGACGCATGTGCAGCACATGTCCCTCAGCCAAAATTATTCAACCCTGAGGCAGAGGAAGCACTTAGGCAGGGAAAGTGTAGCCTCAGAGCCGTCATCACAGTGGACCCTGGAGCAGGGTTGAAGCTGGTAGAGCAGACCGCAGTCTGTTTCAGCCATGATAAAGACTCGGAATGGGTCTGTGGCTGCGAGACACTGCATGACTGTGTGTGTGCGTGCGTGCGTGCATGCGTGCGTGTAAAAAAGAAACCAGAGGTGGAAACATTTTGTCAAGCAGGCTGAGGAAGGGAAAACCATAATAGACAGTGTGAATGAAGACTGTGGTGAGGTGTGAAGTAACCACATGGTGCAGTTGGTGCCTTTACTCAGTCTTAACAGTGCAGCAAACTGAAGAGGTTAATCCTCAGTACTTCAGTTTATGACATATCTGGACTAAGTTGCATCATCTGGTATTATAAATAAAGCCTGTGTGGAGGTGCAGAAATGATATTTGTGGCTGGCTTAAGAGGCAAAGGAAACCTGAGATGACACTCCTCAATCAGAAAAAAACAGATGAAACAAACTGATGGACCTCTCTCTGTGTGTGTACCTCTCTCTTTCTCTGTCTCTCTCTGTCTTTCAACACTTGCAGCAGAGCAGGCACTGCACGTTATCAGATAAAAGAGGTGGAGAGCTCATTGATCGCAGATTGCGATCTTATACTGATAGAAAAATGTGAAAAATAGCTAGTGTACTTGTGCAGCCCACTCAGGTGTCGTCTGTTTGTGGGAAACACTGAGCTGAGTTGGGATTTATGACCTAAACTTCTGGTCTGTCCCTCTCTCTCCCTCTGTTCGACCATTGCCACCGCTACCCTGAAAAGTGCTGCAACCAAACCTCTATCCCCAGCATCCACCTGCAGGCTGTTAGTAAGGTGTTTAAAACATTATCTGATCTCTTTTCAAATGCAGACAGGTACGATAAATCAGCAAAGAGAGCCAGGTCACCCAAACACAGGCTGCTGCAATAAATCATGAGGTGTCTAACTGAATTATATTAAAAGGAGAGCACTTATTCACAGGAATGAATATGTGCTCACAGGGTTCCAAAAGACAAATTTGCCACATGTTCATTTTAGAGTGGTAGGTTTGAGGATAAATACCTTGTCAAAGATAATCTTTAAAAATGAAGTCGTATAGTCAGCCACTTTTGTTTATAGCATGTTTTACCTCCAGGTTTTGATCAAAGAGTTTTGTTGCAGTGCATCTGATGTGTTCATCTTTGATAGTGTTCAGTTAATGACTGCTACATTCAAGTTTTTATAGTTCAACATTTACCTACACCACTGAGGCTGCTAAATGTCATATATTCAACCCTTTGGTTGGAAGTTTGTCTTTCAGTCAGGACTGTTGCCTGTTGAATGCTGAGGTCAGGCATCAGTGACATCGCTCACTGTGTCAGACAGATGTGAAAAACTACACAAGCATTCACTAGTAGTCAGTTAGGTGACACACAGAGGTGCTCATAGCAGCTGCCACCCCTCTGCTGTTTCTCAACAATGGTCGTTTTTTTTATTACCTGTTGATCGTCCCCCTGACAGCTCTTCAGAAAGACGGATTTTGTTGGCAGAGCTCTACAAAACTTTTCCTTTGTTTCATAGTTATATTAGGCAACACCACCTTCATCATTCTTCCTCTTGTGCCTCACTATTTGCTTTGTTTAGCTGTCATGTATTTGGCAGATTTTTCAGTGCAAGCCAAGATGTTTATTCCCTGGTTCTATACCAAAACTAATGTCTGCAAGTCTGCCTACCTGCTCCCCTTTTTTTCGTATTTGGGTGGTGTAATTACAGATTTATCAAACTTTCCTCAAACTGTTCTCATTTCTTAAATTTCTGTTGAGAAACGTTATATCAAGAAGTATTGTGATCATTTTATCCCCTGGCCCAACTTTTGCTGCAGCTCTGTATAGTCTATTCCAGCCAAAGCAGCTGCGTCCTCCTTCAGTCTTGCAGCAGCTCTTTCCTTTGACAGGCAGTGCATCGATCTCCTGAGCCCAGCAGCCAGCATCAATTACCAGTCATCTCCGTCTCTGCCATCGGAGCCTTCATACACTAACAGTGACTTTAATGTGGGTGTCTCGTGGCACCTGCCAGACTATTTTCTCCCTGTGATGTCTCTAAGCCTTTTCTACCACCACCCACTCCCTTAATTTCTTTTCATCCTCTCCATTTTCCTCTTCTGCCCACTCACACCCTTCCAACTCCTCTCTCTCCTCTTTCTGCTGCTTCTCCTACTCTTTTGACATGAAGGCTGCAGCTCAGTGGAGCAGCCATGTCCCCCCGCTCATTGCCTCATGAAGTTGTGTCTGCAGGGAAATGATGATGTACGATGTCTGTGGACCGCAGACTGTCTCCATTAGACCTCTAGTATTTTAAGAAATAATAGAGCATTACAGCTTTCATTTCATGCCCCTGCAGATTCCTACACCAAAATTTTCACCTTTACTGTAGTTTTATTTTATTGTAATTACCCTCAAAATAGCTCCCAGACCTTTACACATTACAGTAATCTTTTACTCAGCACTATTAGGCAGCCGTTTTCATGATGTTGTTTTCTAAATTCTATTATCTCTGTGCATTTTCTTCTGCCTGCAGCTCCCTGTTCAGCAAACACATTTTTCTGTCACAGCAACATGTGTATCAACAACTCCCTGGTGTGCAATGGGGTTCAGAACTGCGTCTACCCATGGGATGAAAACCACTGCAAAGGTGAGCGTCTCTTCTCCTGATACTGTTTTAAGAATTTGTAGTTTTTCATGGTGTTTGTATCTTTTCATCTTTTTTTAAAAATCTTTATTCCTCTTCAGAGAAGCGATCCAAGGGACTTTTTCATCAGATCACTAAGACCCATGGCACCGTCATAGGTGTCTCATCGGGGATAGTTCTGGTTCTTCTGATCATCTCTATCCTGGTCCAGATGAAGCAGCCAAGGAAAAAGGTAACTCATCCTTTGTTGTCAACCTGTTGTTCAGCAGGGAGGCTGATCGATCCACAGGAAAAGTAGGGTTGGCTGCTTTCTAATAACCTGCCTTCTCTCTTTGACTTTATTTCTCACGATGCCTAGTGGGCAATTCTTACTCAAGATTCATTTACTAATGGTTTGTCTAATGAGGCTTCTGTAATTAAACAAATGAGTATCTCTGAATCCTTTGATGGATTTCTTCCAGTATGACTGATAAACATTGTGCAAAATGATTGTCATAGAAATAAGTTGTAGCTCTATTCTAATGATTGCACAAACAAAAACGCTTGGCATGGGCACCATACAAGCAGTTTTCACACTATAATTTGCCTTACATGACAGTTTACTCTTTGTTCTCTGAGATTTAAATCAAAATACAGTACTCTGAAATCTTTATTTAGGTCTTAAACTGTGATTAACAGTTGGTTTGGCAACATTAGCTGCAATTTAATCAGATAAGAGGAAACCTTATTGATTCAGATGTTGCTGCATCACAGAGACAAATCAAGTTAGGAAATACAAAAAAACCCAGCAGATAGATAAAATAAGAGGTATATAGATGTTTTACACACAAGAATAAAAATTTAAAGGGACTTTTATGGCTGGTAAGGGACATGTCATTTAGTAAATGACACATTAAAGTGGCAGTTTTAGGTATAAAGTGACTCTGTAATTTGATAAGTAGCAAGTTCACACACCAGGTGATGTTAACTTGTTAAATTTTTAAATGGAGAGTGGCAGCGCCCTCTAAAAAGAGAGTTGCGAAATTTTCCATTGCCTGAAATAAAAATTAGGAATGCAGAAGTCACGTGCCTCATGAGGAGCTCAGTAGTTTAGTGTTGGGAATTATGGCTCTTTTTAGTGAGCTAGATCATTTGGCTCAGCTCACCAAGAATAGCCAGCTCTTTCAGCTCTCCAACGGCTCTTCATTTTACCACTTATACATTTTCTAATTCAGCCAAATGTAGTATTGTTTGGCTTATGATATGTACGTATGTGTACACTTACCTCTTAAACAATTCAATACATCCTTTGTACTGAAGTATTCACAAGTAAAAATTACATTTTATAATATCAGAAAATTGCTGTAGCCAATTGTTTTTATTGCATTTATAGACCCTTGTAACTCTTTGAAACCACCCAATGAATGCACTGACTTGCTTGTAGAACCACTCTGTTTACTGGGGGGGTTCTTTAGATAATATTGTCATGCTCTTAACTCTGCTCAAAAACAGAAAAAAAGTTTATTGTAGTTCATTAGTTTGAGGTTGTTTAGTGTCTTTATTGCAGCCATGCTCTCCAAGACTGATTCAGCTGCAGTTGTTGAATGTTATGTTCCTTTAAATGATGTCAGCCTGTATGTGGAGAGCCACTGAGGCCGCTGCTGCTACTGAAAAAAATATTTTTTTATCATTCTTATGAACCTGTGTTTGCGGGCAGTGTGTGAACCCCCTCTAAATAAACCCACCACGCAATAGTGATCTCACGTCCATGCATGACAGCAGAGAGAGACATTTCTGAAGTCACTGTGAGTTTATTTCCCAGTGTGCTTTAGCTTTTGACTTAATCATTTTAGTCTCCCCACTGTTTCCTAATGGTATATTCAGACATCACCAGTCTTAAGTCTTTTTAAGTATCTGCTGCTGTAAACATCCCATTTTATGGTGAAAGCACTCCAATAACATGCTAAGTGGAGACTTTTATTGTGAAACCGTAAATAAAATGAGTTCATCATGGAATCACTTGGGTTTTAATGTATGCTGAATTTAGAGTTGTTTCCAATGACACCTCAGAAAGATAGACATTTTCCAGCCTTACTCTGTCTCTCACAGAGTAGTGAACTTATGCCCGCCCTTACTTCTGAGATACAGCTGTTCAAAGTTGCCCTTCCTTTATCCAGTTATGTCACTAATCAGTCTAAAATATTTTGCTGACACCACATCAAATATCAGCAGGTATTTTTCATCAAGGCAGATGCATAATGTAATCTGCATAATATCAGTTTTGACAGAGAACTATTACTATCAGCAGGTTAGAATTTTCTGCAGATATAATTATCCAATGGCGATCCTTTATCCTGTGCATGTATTGACAGCCTACTCATGTTGGTTGCAGAACAGACACCACCTTGATGTTCTTTACAATGGAGTTGTATGTCTGCAGTGATATCAGTACTAGCCAAAATCAGTTTGAAAATATGTGCATATTAAATATCAGCAACAATTCAGCTGCACCTATTTGTTGGAGGTAGGAATAAGTCACAAGCAAATCAGTCATAAGTCATAACCCTCAAGTCACAAGCAAGTCCCAAGTCACCGTTTTGAGAATCAAGCAAGTCAAGTTATTGCTCAGGTCAAGCAAGTCACAAGTCGTCATATTAAAATCTGATCATCTACATCAATTTTCACATTTAAATCAGTAAAGACATTATATTACACACACACAAATACAAACACATCAATATCACACACACACGCACAAGTAGAAACACATAATTTCAAGTTACCATTTGACCCAGCTAACAAGCCATAAGTTACTTCACATTTTTATTTAGAAGACAAATGCATTAGGTAGCTTGTTGAGCTATCTTGCTGTAGTGTTTGTAAACGTTAGCTAACAGCTAAAAGACACATATACATAGCTTACCTTTTTTGCAGGGTTTCGTAGTGCTGGATGAAGTTGGATGTTGCGGTGCTCTTGTCACTTATTTTACCGCTGTTCTCTTCTTCTTCATATCGACAGCATAATCCTTAACCCAAATTGAATTATACTAGGTCTGGCTGCCTCCATGACTGCTGTTCCTGTGGACCAGGACCTGTGTGACCTGTGGATCACTGTTAGTTTGTGCAGCATGCAGCATGCATTATACTGTAGACATTTGAATTTATAATAAATGTCTGAAGATTAATAATAATAATAATAATATATTTTATTTGTATAGCGCTTTTACAGGAGTTCAAAGACACTTTACAAAAACATAACAAAAATACAATGAGGCAAAGATTAATATTAACAAGCTAACAATAAGGTAAAATCGAATAAAAAGAATAAAAGAATACAAGTGGGAGGGGCAGATGTGAGGGGTGGGAATGTGGTGAGTCGGGGTGGGGGGGGTCAGGTAATAAAAGCAAGTGTGAAAAGGTGGGTTTTGAGGGCAGATTTGAAGCTGATGAGGTCCGGGCATTCACGGATGTGTTTAGGGAGGGCATTCCAGAGGGTGGGGGCAGAGACGCTGAAGGCCCGGTCCCCCAGAGTACGGTGCTTGATTTTGGCTGGGGGTGAGGAGGTTTGTGTCCGCTGAGTGGAGGGGGGCGGTTCGGGGTCTGGCGGACAATGAGGTCAGACAGGTGGAGGGGGGGGCAGGTCGTGGAGGGACTTAAAGGTGAGGAGGAGGATCTTGAATTGAATTTGGTGGGCAACAGGAAGCCAGTGGAGTTGACAGAAGACGGGGGTGATGTGGTCGTATGGGCTGGTGCAGGTGAGAAGTCTGGCGGTGGAGTTCTGAGGAGGATAGAGTGGTTGATGGTGTCCAAAGCGGCAGACAGGTTCAGGAGGAGGAGGATGGTTAGTTGGTTAGAGTCAGAGGTGAGCAGGAGGTCATTTGTGTTTTTTAGCAGTGCTGTTATTGTGCTGTGCTTGTGCTGTGCTTGTTGCGGAATCCTGATTGGAACGGTTCGAGCAGGTTGTTGGATTGGAGGTGGGCTGTGAGTTGTGAGGCGACGGCACGTTCTAAGATCTTTGACAGGAATGGTAGATTGGAAATGGGGCGAAATTGCTGGGACAGTTGGGGTCAAGGCCGGGTTTTTTCAGGATCGGGCAAGGCAGTGGTAGATGGAGTGGACTTTATCTTGGAAGTATTTGAGGAAGGTGTTGCATTTGCTGGTGGTGAATGATGAGGAGATAGGATCCTGGGGTTTGAGCAGACGGTTGACTGTGGAGAATAGGGATCTGGGATTGCTGGAGGCGGCGTGGATGATGTTGGAGTAGTGGGAGGTCCGGGCAGTGTTTAGGGCGTTGTTGTATTTGTGGATGTAGTCGGTGAGGGTGTGGAGGTGGACAGTGAGACCAGTATTCTTGTGGAGGCATTTGAGTTGGTGTTTTGTTCTGTTCATATCCCTGAGCTCAGGGGTGTACCAGGGGGCAAGGCAATGGAAGGAGACAGTTCTCAGGTGGATGGGTGCAATATTGTCGAGGCAGGACGGGAGGGTGGAGTTGTACAGCTTGATAATCTTAAATTATGACATTCATGCACTTGTTGAAGGGGCACCACCCACCTTTAATGGTGGGGAAATTTAAGAAAAACAAAAGTTTAATTCAGAAATCAAACATTAAGTTAATCTCAAATTTATCAATCTTATATCTCAAGCCGAAATTCTCATTTCAGGGACTCCACTTCTGGAAGAACACTAACAAACAGGAACTTAGAAAATAATGATCTGTTTATCACAGGATAAATGATGGTACAACATACATGCAATAAATGATGATAAGATAATGAGTATAAATAATAATAGGTAAACAATAAAAGATTCTGAGTCAGGCTAGGATCACTAAAGTTAATGATAGTGAGTGAATATGCTCTAACATATTAACCTACATTACCCTGCGGTAAAGCTAAATTTGGACGTGGATTTTGAGGAATCTAGGCTTACTAGAATAACATCTGAGTCATGACCAGATCAGACACCATCAGCCCTGTTTGGAGCTCTGGAGGTTTGCATACTTAAGTGAGACTGGTCCTTGGAGACGATGGAGCAGGTACCGAAGGTCCGGGGCTAACAGCAGTTCAAGAGGTTCTGCTCAGATGACGACCAAAGTCAGTCAAAAGATGGGCCAGGAGATGCAGCACTTGGGCCCGAGCCAAAACCAGCGCTGTATGTGTCCTTTGGATGCTCCTTTGGTCTCATTCAAAACTCTGGCACAGAGGATGACTTTGGGCCTGCTCGGTGGCATTCAGAAGTGACTTTGAAATCACGCAGATAACTCAGAAAAAAGATGCTTGATGGCCAGTCGAAACTATTTCAAACATGGCTTTGCGAAATTAAAGAAAAATCAGTTAAAGACTTAATCTTGGATTGCTATGTGCACAAAAAGTTAAAGTTTCAAAACTTGAACTAAGACGATGTTTAAGAAAAATCAACATGAATGAACACGTGGCGCAAAACTTAAAAGTCTTGCAGTCCAAGAAAAAGTGACTAAGAGCTCTGGCCGAGGTCTGGAGGTTAGTGTCCTGCTCCTCAGACCTTTCCTTAGGGTCTGTTTGTTCACACACTTGAAGACGGTAAATCTCAAATGGGAGACCTCAGTTGAGGCATTAATGTTTATTTGTCAGGAGTGGAGTCAGTTTGAAAGGTAATAAAAACTCTGTCTCTGTTCTCTGAATTGACCAATCATGAAGAGCCAGAGGTTTCGGTCAACCTCCGGTTGGGTCAGTTAGGTAACCTGAAAGTCCACACAAGTCTGGAAAGATTTATATTATCCTGTGTCCTGGGACCAGATAAGGGACCTTTCCTGCAAGGAATGCGTGAGTTTCACACTCAGGGTTTTCTTGGTGCTACAATACTGTAGAAGCAATTGCCCAATTGTGCTTTAAAATAAAACATAATTTCTAACGTAATCTTAAAAAAATATGTATGATATAAATAAGTATGTAAATCAAAAAAGTCGAGTCATGTGGCTCGAGTCCCCAACCTCTGCTATTTGCAAACCATAAAAAAACAGTTTTTATCCACATTGAACACCTCATCATAACATTTTTGGAGTAAAGATTTAAAAGCCTAAATTCTGTGAGGGTCCAGTTTACAATGGATTCAGCCAGTTTGATTTCTTCATGGGTTGTTGTTTGTCTGATTTGTGTACTATAGTAGTTGTGACAAGCACTGGCCCAGCAGTGTCATATTACCTCACCAAGAATAGTACAGACAAAAACGGTAATCTGGTGGGAAGTCTCTGCTTGTCCCATAACAGGAGGCTGAGAAAAGGGTTTTGAGGTCCCTAAAGAAGCATGTTTATTGTTATAATTATTCATTAGTTTTTCACCCAGCAGAATAGCTGTTTGGTGTCTGTGTTTTTTATGTTTCTACACTACGGTGTTTGTGGTGTGGTTAATGGGTTTCTATGTTTTTGTACTCTTTTTCCAGTGTTCCTATGGGCTTTGTATGTTTTAGGTAGTCCACTCTTATTTTATTTCTGCTATTTTAATCCACTGCGCTACACTTAGGTGAGTTTTTTTTTTTTAATATGTGCCACAGAAATAAAACGGATCGGATTTTATTTTCAGATTATTTTCAGACCTGTTTGCCATTTTCTCCTGATATTTCATAACAAAATAAAGAGCTTGACTTTTGATCTTCTAAGTTTTACCATCTAACTGGATTTTTTTTTTTTTTAGGTTGTTGCCCGCCGACCTGGTGTTTTCAACAAGGCGGGCTTCCAAGAGGTCTTTGACCCACCACACTACGAGCTCTTCTCACTTCGTGATAAGGAGATTTCTTCAGATTTAGCTGATCTTTCTGAGGAACTGGACAGCTTCCACAAGCTGCGGCGCTCCTCCACGATGTCCCGCTGCATCCACGAGCACCACTGTGGCTCCCAGGCCTCTGTGGCTACAGGTGGTGGCAGCATGAAGCACAGCCGCACCACCCTAAGCTCCATGGAGCTGTCCTATCACAACGACTTCTCCAAGCCCCCACCTATGAAGACCTTCAACTCCACAGCCAGCTACAAGAAGAGCTGCTATGGCTACAAGCAGCACTCACAGACTCACGACTGTGACCAACAGGTCATTGAGGACCGCGTCACAGAGGAGATCCCCAGTGAGATCTACGGCCGTGGTGGGGGAGGAGCAGGAGGAGCCACGGGCGGAGGAGCAATGGGAATGGGAGGACCATCAGGGATTGCAGGAGGAGGGATCGGGGGATCTGTAGGGATAGCAGGAGGAGTGGCAATGTCAGGAGGAATGGGGATAGCAGGAGGAGTGAGCATGGCAGGGCCAAGCGGCATTGCTGGAGGTATCGGTCCTGGGATGCCTGGAGTCTGTGGAACCCTCAGTATTCGTGGCAACAGCACTCGTAACAGTACCACCATTGTTGACCCACAGCAGCGCTCCATGTCCATGGACTTCTAGCTGCCAGGAGAGAGAAAGAGGAGGAGTGAGAGAGTGCAAGTTTCCTTAAAAGAAGAGAAGGAAAAAAGATTAAAGTGGATCTGAAGAAGTCGTTATGTGATCACTCCTGTCCTCTTCTGCCTTTGCTTTCAAAGCAATATCAAAATATTACAGTGACACTGAAGGATCTTCTCTGAAAGTCTGATCAGGAGGTCTCAGAAACTACGAATCTTTTTTAGGGTGGAGAGGGATGTAGAGTGAGCAGAGGGTGGAGACAGCCCTCCTCCAATTTACACTCATTTAATCTCTCCTTTCATAAAAAAAAAGGTTCGCATGCAAACCCAGACTCTTCTTTGTTTGGTAACCTTGAAGACCAGGTAACCAATCAGAAACAGGGAGAGAAAGAGAGAGAGAGAGAGAGAGAGAGGGAGGGAGACTGAGAGTTTTTACATGTATTCACCTGCCATGCACAGATATATGATATATGGTGCGTCTTCTAATAATTTGAGTCTTTATTTTTGTCGGTGTACTGTACTGTTCAGACCAGTATCTATATATATATATATATACATATATATATCCAGCCTCATGACGATGCTTGGCTTTTATCTCTTTAATCTTTTTCAAATGTTGCTTAGATGATTTTTATGAAGATGTCTTATCCTTGTCATGTGGCGATGATCATGAGGAGAGAAAATGATCAGAAATATGATGATGATGATGATGATGATGTTGATGATGATGATGATGTGATTATACTATGATAATTATGTAGTTTTTGTTGTTACCTCACACATACACAGAGGGTATCGCTCCATTCAGTCTCTCCTCAGGAAGAGCACATGAAGAGACTTATTTTGGTAAGAAGTTAAAAAAAACTCTATTTCTGCTATTTCAGGCTGTGAATGATCGTTTGTGGAATATGAATTTGGTTGTGAGGCCTCAAATGCATCAAAACAGCAACCATCCAACCCGTGAACCCAACCAATGCCAAGAGGACTTGTTATTTCTGAATGTTCCCATGAACTGAGTGTGTAAAAAAAGCACAACCTGTTTTCCTACAGAAAAAGACGTAGCCTATATTGACTCATTTATGATTTAAACCACTGGTTGTATAATTTCATTCTGTTGAATTAAATGAGAGTTTACTCACTACCTGTCTAAGGTTTTCTGTCTGCTGTTAGAAAGAAAGAGATTAACAACGGCACCACCCTCAGGCTGGAGATGCTTCAATGAGGTAAGATGTGTGTGCAGATAAAAAGATACAGACTGTTTAAGGTGTGTGGTTCAGATGTGCTCTCACTGTTAACTGCTTTCTGAATCTTAACATTTAATTGAGTTTATGATTGAAGATTTTACTATGATTGATTACAGTCATCATTGGTTAGTGCATAAAATTTGGATCAAGACATAATTTAATGGTTTGCTAATTACTTCAAACTTTTTAAGATATAATACAGTCACATGACTAAGTATAAAGAAGCCTACCGAAGAGGCTAAGTGTCTCAGAAGTCCAGATGGGAGGAGACCTAGGCGAGGAAATGGTTGAGCAGTTTCAGAACAATGTTTCAAAGCATGAAAGCACCAAGAATTCTGGGATTTCATCATCTAGAATTCATAAAAAGATATCTGTATAAAAGTAACAAGGCCAATAACTGACAAGGCTGGATGGCTGTGATCAATGACTGTGATCATCTCTATCAAAAGCAGACATAACTGCCATGTCCCCTAGTCTACAAATGCCAAATCTGTACCATGCATAGGAAACCATATATCCTGTAGTTTGACAAATCAAAACTTGACATTCTTTTTGGCCACACGCATTAGTGCGTATGGCTAGTGTATACTGAGAGGACAGCTTTAATGATAAACAGTATGGACAGGTTTTGGAGCGGCATATGCTGCCATCCAGAAGTGCTTAGCATAAAACAGCAAGAAGATGTCAAACTGGACTTTGCACAAATCACAACAGCATGGCTCCATAGTGGGAGAGTCCAGGTGCTAAACTAGCCTGCCTGCAGTTCGGACTTGTCACCTATCAAAAACATTTAGGGCAACATGACACAAAAAAAAATATACATTGAAGGAGACCTTTAACTGGTAAACAAGACCCTGCTGCAACTGTTTTGAAATGTGTGGCTTACTTCAAAATGAAAATGAGCACATATTTTCATAAAACAATAAAAGCTTTCAGTTTTAACATTTAATATGTTGTTTAGGTTCTGCTTGCCATCAATTATCGGATTGAAATGATTTAAATGCCATCAAGTTCTGTTTTTATCAAAAATTTTCACAGCTCTTATGGAACTGAGCTTGTCCATAAAATTGTACAGCTTCCCTCCAATGTTAACAAATGTGAGGCCACATGAATATTTTATTCTTGGTTTTCTGTCTGTCTGCAATCTCAAATTCAACCCACTCTCTGCTGTCATGATGCATTTGCCCTGTCTAATGCTTAAGGGTCTCTTTAAAAATATATGACAGTCAGATGGTCGCTCACATCCAGCATTAGGCTGCGGTGATGTGTTACACTTCAAAACAGCTGTGTGTATTCCCAGTGAGCCTTAGTTTGGCCTCAAATAGGATTCAGAAGAGCCACTCAGAAAAGGAAAGGTGAGGAATTGTATTCATTTGGCTTTTCATAATGTACATATATAAAGCTTAAAGTGCACCCTTCTTTAGGTTCCAATGATTCTACACCGAAGAAATATCCAGGTTAAAGGTGAGCTCACAGCTTTAAAAAAAAAACACAGCCACCGAAGGGTTTTTCTAGATGTATCCTTTTGAGAGACATCGAAATTTAAGTTCAACAACTGATATGTAATTATTTCAGTACCTTTTATTTTACAGATTACCCTCTACAATGAAGTGTGATAATGTTTCATGTTGCCTTTCTTTTACCTTTTCTGCATTAGAAAAAAACACTTTGTGTCCGCCGGTGAGGCGGCGGAGGGTGGCGGACCCCGCACAGTGGTATTTTCGTCTGGCGGAGCCCGGTGTACAGCCAGTTTGGTATTTTCGTGGACTGAGGCGCACCGAGGCATCCATTTTAACCCTTCCTGTTCCGCTAATTGGTGTTACATAGGTTTGGGGGGTTTTCTGCACCCTCAGTCTGGAATTTATTAAAGAATAACCTGAAACTTAAGGAGCTGGTGTTTTTAAATGTTTTTAAATCGACTATGTAGAACATTAAGAAGATTCTTTAGAATGCCATTTATGAATTACTTGGTTTCACAAGTGACTCTGAGATAATTGCCTGTTTTATTGGTAATTTGAATGCATAGAGACCGTGCTGGAGTTCTCTGTGAATCTGTAACTTTGTGTTTTGCTGCTGACTTGGCTAGGTCTTCCCTGAAAAACAGATTCTTTATCTCAATAGGACTAATCTGGTTAAATAAAGTTTAAATTTCATCCTGAAATATCTTATAATAAGAATGGCCTTACTCATACAATATATACTGTATTATACAATCAAAACCATTACATTGAGCCTGCACAGCACTCTCTGTGTGTGGCTGATAGTTTGTAGGACACAGAAAAAGGCAGTCAGAGCCATCAAAAAAAAGGAAGCTCCAATATATAAAACATTTCTCCTCTGTGTATTTATTAATTTGTGTAATGACTGAATGATAGGGAGAAGGTTAAAGAATGCTGATCTATGACACTGCGCAGTGTACTTAAAAACAATAACAAAGAAACTACACTTAATTTTCATCTGTGACAGAAGCACACTGACTGCATGTGTTCTATATGGTTGTATGGGCATGACCAAAGTGATGGCTTGGGGTGGCATTGACCCCTCTAAATATCAGACTAGCTACACTGGGTGCCACCCCTGAGTCCTAAACAATGATTTCATGAATTGCTTTGTTGCAACAGGATACCAGTAGCTTTCTTTGCAACTGAAATGTAGCACCGTTTTACTTCTTAATACTTTACAGAAGGCTAAGAGGGGATTCAGTCCTTCAAAAACTACCAGATAAACATTAACAACTACTGAACCAAAGAAAATTTAGTATTGACAGTTTCAACTGTGTGTACTTCACATTTTGGGTTTGCAATTACACTTATTAAGTCTTTACAAAACAAAGTTCAGAAGGTTTAAAAGTAGTCACCCTGTTGTGTTACTTTTCAAAGCTAAAAAATCATGTAATGGAAAACAAAATCTCTGTCACACTTGGGGCTCTATTTTTGTGTCCGCCAGGTGAGGCAAGGGAGGGTGGTGGACCCCGCCCAGAGGTATTTTCGTCTGGCGGAGCCCGGTGTACAGCCAGTTTGGTATTTTCTTGGACTGAGGCGCACAAAGGGCTGTGTCCCATTTCAGAGACCACATCGTCGAACGGCGCCGAACAGCGCATTTGAAGCGTGCATGATGTCATCATGCAGCGCGAACGGTGTCCCATTTGGCACGAAATGCATTTATGCATGCTTTCGTGCCACTGGTATCCCAGAATTCTTTGTATTTTCAAAAGTCATTATAAACCAGAATCATTTTCAAAGAAAATACAAGAAATCCAAAAACAGCAGACAGTCATCTCAGGCTGCATGAGCACATGATCTCTGAACTCACTAAAATCTGTAAACCAAACATTATAGATTTAGAGACAAACTGATCCGCTCTACTACAACAATTAAAAACATCAGAAATAAGAAAGCTGACAAAACAACAGCAGAGGATCAGGACAACATTGAGTTTTTTTTTTCTTTTAAGATTTAGAGATTAAAGTTGTAAATTTGGGAGAAAAAAGTCATAAAGTAAGTAAAGTCATAAATCTGCTTTTGTGGAGGGGGAAATGACTGAAGCTGGTCATCTGCAGGGTTATCTGTGGATGGATCAGTGGGTCATTCAGAGAGTTTTTGTGGTTTCTGAAGAAACAATCAAACTGATGAACAACATTTGTGATCCAGAGGGAGTCGAGCTCCGACGAGCACCACGTCTGTGACACCAGCGGTAACCTACACCTGCAGAGACACCAACACCTTATTATGACATATGGATTCACATCATAAATTAAAGCTCAATGTCAGTCACGGATATTTACGGCTGCATTGACAGATATATCCTCAGCATATTCATTTCTGCCTCCACAAAAGCAGCGATTTCCTTCAAGTACACCTGTTTTTTTTTTCCCCGTGGAAAAGACGTATTTCTCATAAGTCTTTATACTTGTGATAATGTGATGCTGATGTGCCAAAGGATGAAGTATCTCCTTGTTTGTGAAACCTATACTGAAGCACAGTTCCTTTAGTGCTTCATGGCCCTAATTTTAACAACTCTCCTCTGAAATAACAGGTTACGACTTTATTCTCATTAATTAATGACTATATTCTCGTAAATTCAGGAATTAAATCTCGAAGTCTTTAAAAAAAAATTCTCGATATGGCCCTCATACTCCTTCATACAAAACAATCATTGGATGAATAGTGCTTGTATGTATCTACTATTTTGTGTCTGTGCAAGGTCGCACAATTAAAACAATAAATGCTGCGCTCCGCGGGTTTTCTTTAAGTCAGTCGTGATGTAAGCCTGAGGGCAGGGACATTTGGCGACTCAACCAGGAAGTCCTCCTAAGGTCGTAGATATATTCTGATCTATATCTGATCGCGCAGCTCGACCTGGACATGTCTCCGTGTCCTCTCTCCGTCCTGCTGCAGCTGCTGCTGCAGCGGCTGAACAGATGAATTGTTTCAGTGATCAGATGAGTTATTTACTTTAAGCCCACATACGGATATTATAATATTCAGTTTTGTGAGGCAACTTTATTTTATATGCCAACATCTATGAAAGAAAGAGCCAGGCCACGGAGCGCGATGCGTTATTTACGCACAGATGGTTCCGATTTTAATGCCATTTTTGGAATTTATGATGTGATCTCTGCGCACAAACCACCTTTTTCACGTGAGGTTTGAATATATGCAACTTTATGTGAGTGTCTTAATTTGTGGAAAAGGGTGTTTGTCTTACCAGTGGGTCCATTACACACACCAAATCCGTCTGTGCTCATATGAGAGAGTGTGGAGGACGCCCAATGCAGCGCTTACAGTGACAGTTGTTGAGGAGCTGCCTTCTGTCGCCATCGTGTGGCATTACTGTCTTCAGACATCTCTTGATCTCTTTGATAACTTCACGAAAATAGTAAAATGCATCGCCGGTGGCGGATTTAAAAGCAAGGAGAGGAGCTTATGTGATTGGTGAAAACAGGTCTCGGCTGTGTTAAAACCACTCCACGCCCTCTCTCCTCTCTTGCTACGACTTACGCTGCTGGGAGGAGCTGAGTTAGGGAGGGGGGATACTTGCGCCGGGCAACGCCTCTCACCAAAATGCCAAGTTGTGCTTCGGAGCGCCTTGTCGGCGCGGCGGACCTGACTTACGCTGCGCCTGCGGCAAGTCTCCGGAGAAGCACGAAAATAGAGCCCCTTATGCCAGAAACCCATTTCAGAAACAGTTTGGAGAGTGAAATGGTGACCCAGTCTTGCCTGAAATATTTCAGCTATTATAGAGCCCATCTCTCCAACTCTTACTCTTAGATACCATTTTATCATACTATTACTAAACTCTTGCATATTTATGTAATTAGTAAGCAGATGTTTTTCCAGTTGTTGTTGTTGTTGTTGTTGTTTAAGCATAAAATAACTATTTTGGAGTTTATTGCCCCCGTTGGCTTAACTCCTTGCATCTCATTTAGAAAGAGCACAGAGGTGAATATGTTTTTCCTGATTCAGCATTTGTGCTCTAAATTCTATTAAATAGACTTTTATAGAAATTGCAAGCTGTTCAAATTCATGAAACCACAGTCAAAGAAACCTCAAACTAACCTTTAAACTTACATAAGAGGATTAAAGCCACTGGGGGGAAAAAGTTGCGATATAATAGTAATAGAGCCGCTGGGGGGAAAAGTTGCGATATAATAATAATAAAAACAATAATAATAATAATAATAATAATAATAATAAATATTATTATTATTATTATTATTATTATTATTATTATTATTAATTGTATTATTGTTATTATTATTATTATGAGAAAAAAGTCAGAATTCTGACTTTCATTTCAGAATTTATCTTACAGTGGACAAAAGCATGATTCCCTCAGAGGCAATTCGCTGTATCCACAACGGAGAGTTCATGTCCTTCCTGTTTTGCAAGTGGACGACTTACAAACTAGCTAAACTGAAATACAACACAAATCTTACGAGACATTTGCCATTTCAAATCAAAAACTTCAGACACATACAGGGTGAATATTCGAGTAAAAATGTTACACAAGTCCTTCCATTTAAATATCAAATACTTCAGTCGTCCACTCCTATGTTGTGAAACAGGTAGGACATCGACATGGATGCGGCGGATGGCTGAGAGAATCATGTTTATTACTTTGTTTTTATATTGGGAGAAAAAGTCAGAATTCTAAATTGAATCTCAGAATAATGATTTAAAAATAAAATAAATTTGACCTTTTTTCTAGAGGCCCTAATTCTCTTGATGAGATAAAAACAAAATAAAAACTTCAAACCGAGACCTTTGTTGAGCAGTTATGCCGCATACCCGCAGCCTGGAGGCAGCAGCGGACACAGCGTGTGTAAATTACCGGAAACTGACGCACGAGGCTACGAAAACATTTTCCACCGGCTCGTGCTCTTTGTCCATCACCTCCCGCTGAAGCAACAACGTCCACAGCAACACCATGGCGACTGTTGCCGATACCAAACTATACGACATTCTCGGAGTGTCTCCATCTGCATCTGAAAATGAACTAAAAAAGGTAAATAGTGGGAAAAGGCTGTTAAAAAAAATTATCAGTCTTACAGGGGTTTCGTTTGGTGTTAAAACGCCACAATCAGGAAATGCGTTGCTATGCGCAGCTAGCTAACTTTAGCTGTGTCGGGCCATCATGCTAGGAGCTAACCGGCCTGGATATTCATGTGACGATGCTGCTGGAACGTTTGATGAGTTACCGTGTGTGCTTGTGATTCATTGAGTGATATTCTTTTTTTGCTACAGATATTCCCCATAATTGTATAAACCCCAAACGAGGCTGATTTGACACATTTTTTAACACAACGGCGTAAGTGATTGACCTCAGGTTAGCTTTAGCTTATTAAGGAGAGCTAGCTGAGCCAGGCGAAGGTTGTGGAAAGATGGTGTTAGAGACTGGTTCTCAGAGCGGACATAGACCCATAACAGAAGTGTTTGCGATAAAAAAAAAAATCTTTAACGCCAGTCCTGTTTGATATGTTTCTGTCGTTACCTGTGTGATGTTACCACATCAGTATCTCTGTATCTGACACAGTCACTCTCTGCTGGTATAACGCTGTTTTAGCTGCTCTGTCATACTGATCTCCTGGTGTGACAACACTTGGGAGTTGCATTTACAGGACTGATAACATAACCCCATCTGTGTCCTCAGATAGTAAGATCTGTTGGACCTCACACGCATTCATCTCACCTAAGCGTCTACGTTTGAACTGCCAGACATTTTTAGCTGCCATTTCAGGAAAAACAGGAAATGTCCTTTACAGGGTAGTTTTCAAACCTCCGCTTTCGACCGCTGAGAAGGTTAATTAATGAACATATATACGCTCAACTTCATTGAACACTGACAGTACAGTTTCCGGAAGTGTTTTGCCGACTGTAACATCTGGTTTCGTCAGGAGGCACGTGGAATTGCGTAAGCAGTAGCTAAAGTATCTTTTTATGTGTTTGAGTCATTCAGTAAGTGATTTCTATGAGTAACAAGTCTGGTGATATTTCAAAATCAATTGAACTAATATGGCTCCTTCTTTTGTGTGATCACAGGCATACCGAAAACTGGCTAAAGAATACCACCCTGACAAGAACCCAAATGCTGGTGACAAGGTAAGACAATTTGGACAGTCTCACAGGTCCAGTTTTGAGTTAATGTCATCATAGGTATATAAAAAAATACAATACAAACAATGTATGTGTAAAAGAGATGTAGCAAGTGTCAAGCCCATGAGACAAAACAGGACATTGAGCTCACAGGGTGGGATTTTCAATAGGTTTTTTTAAGAATGCTCATGAAAAGGCTGAGAGAACTTTATTGAAGCACTTGTGTTATCTTACAGAGAGATTTGTCAGAGCTTGAAACAACACATTTTGTTTTCCTACTGTGAATATAGACCTTTTAAATATCATTACCAGGCCTGGAAGGCAGCTATAGAGACATTAACCAGTTTTTACTCTGTTTTTATCCTTCTGTCAGTATTTATTTGTGTATGTCAAAGCATTTAATTAGCACGCTAACAAACTAACCATGGCGAGGGTGCAAAAAAAAAAGATCAAATAAGTTATTAAGCATACCATACTACTCCAGTAAATCCCGAGGAAGGGAGAGCAGGACATAATAAGGGAATGTGATTATTGTTGTAAGTGAAAACATTTAAAAAAAAAAAAAAAAAGACAGAGAGACAGATTTAAGTCTGGTGTTGATCTGTACAACTGTGAGGTGTGTGAAATAAACTGAAGTCTGGAGTCCCTCTGGTATCACAGTTTTAACAAGCAAGATGCTTTGCAAAAATGGGCTCTCCTTCTCCTTTAGAATTTTTTAGCAGCACTTTCTACTAGGCCTGGGTGATTTGGCAAAAAAAATGATCACGCTTTATTTTGTCATATCGTCCGATCTCGATTATTATGATTTTTTTTTTAAACTGCAAGTTTTAAAGCATCTGTACTAAAAACTAAAAAACCTAGAGATTAGTTCAACATTTTATTAACATACAAAGTAAATAACAAAGCAAATTGAATAAGATACGCTTAGCAAAATCTAAAAAACATTTTAATTCAACAGTACAACAAATGTAGATAAATACTAAGTAATACAGAGAATTAGTTTACAGTCCTGAGTGTTTTTGCAGGTATGCAAGACCCAAAATAAACAAATCGCCCCCTCAGAGATTATGAAGGTGCTTTAAAATGTAAACATGAGGTGATGTAAACGTAGATGATACGCACACCTGCCAACATTTGGGTTATAAAATCCAGGAGTTGTTTGCGGCGCACGCTGGGCAGTTTTGGGGTGACTTCGTATGGTGGATATGAGCTAATTATGAGAGTATTTGTAATTAAATTGCTCATCCAAATAAGTATAAGTGAAGCTGCACACTTTTTTGTTTTAACAAAAACAAATGGTAAAAAAAAAAGGATAAAAGGTAGGATATGCCTTTAACTTATTTAGCCCACTAATATTAGTGTTAAAGTCTTCATATGTTTTACACGCTCTCCCGTATGAGGCTCTCTGAACATCTGTGCATGAACAGCACTATTTTATCCGAGGCTACCCTGAACACATCACTCTTGCATATCTCGAGTTTGTTTTTTCCTTTCACTGAAGTTTTCATTTTCCAACAAACACTACTTAAATATAGTTTACAGCTGAAACCTACCTGAATCATCCAAAACTGTAAAGTAAAAGTATCAATCCAGTCTGTGTGGCTCAGCAGAAACACAGGACGATCTCCGTTTGTCTGGAAACCTGGAAACTTTAGACAAATATAGTAATCCAATTCATGAATGAATGCGGACCATGCTACGAGAAATTACCAGGAGAAATGACAATACGGGGGGTGGGCAGGAGATATGTCTGAAATAGGGGAGAGTCCCGGGATAAACGGGAGTGTTGGCAGGTATGGAAATGATTGATCGCTGTTTTGGTCTGTGGCTGCACCGCTAGTTGTGGGTAAACTGCTAATGCTACTTGTACCGTCAGCAGGGACAGACTGTACAGACTCTACTCGCTGCTTCTCGCATAATCACTTGGGAAGAACAGATTTGTTATGTTGCCGGTTTATCGGCTTAATTGCTCGACGTCACTTTGGAGAGACGTTGAATAACTTCTCAACAATAACATCATTAGAGGATGACTCAAAGTCATGGCTGACAGCTATCTTGCTGCCCTCAGCTCCGCGTTTAGCTTCATGTTTGGTCATTCTGTTTACTTCTCCGGTAACTTACAGAAGTGAGCAGGAAAAGCTCGACTCTGATTGGCTGTTGTGACGCACGTTTCCGCCATGTTTGATCGAGTAAATATGCTCACAGCTGATCACCGTGATCGAACTGAAATTTATTGCGATCACAATCATATAATCGCCCAGTCCTACTTTCTACTCTTAAGAACCAACTTCACTATAGCACCCCTACAATATGCTTATAATTCCATAATTGCAGTTAAAGTAGACAAATCTACCAAGTACTGTCCTTAGCAAACAGTATACTGATCCCGTATGACAACTCATCACTTAGATAAAAACTCTTGTCAAGCTTTTGAGTAGTATGTTTTCTAGTGGCTGCAAAATGGACACTGTTTGTTGAAGTTTTATTGTGATCATGCCAAAGGGTTTAGTAAAGCTCTGCAGTCGTGTTTTTTAGTTGTAGTCTTTCTTTTCTGCCTTTTTTTTACCAATCAGATTTTTTTGAGTGCAATAAAACAAATAGAAATTTAATGTAAAGTCTAGGGCGCAATTTTTATTAAGCTCTGAACTTTGAACTTTTGTTGAAAGGGCTTATTAAAAGTAACTGATGGGATTTGCATTGACACCTGAAACCTTGACTGATCCAATTTTATTTAAATATATTATTACCTAATTGTCATACTAGTTTTTTACTTTAGGACCTTTTTGAGGCATGTTGCCAAGACCTGGACTTTGGTATTAGCTTATACCAGACTGGGAATTGTGTTTTCCAACTTGATGTATGTAAGCAGACTGTTGCACTATTAATCAATAAATCATAAATCTGCACTTACAGTTTTCTTTAAAAAAGGAACAAATTACAGAGTAACTGTAAACCACAAAATGTAGAAGTGGATTAGTCAGGAATTTAAATAAATCCAATCCAGTCATTGTCACAAAGAAGCCATGAACCTTTAGTTATTTTTCACACTCTTAAACCATCAGCAGGAAGTTTCGCACCACTTTGCAGTCTATCTGACCATGGTTACTGCCTCCATCAGGCTTGTGTTTTTGTTGGTTGGACTCATATTCTATTAAGGATAATAGAGATTTTTGATCCATTGGTTGTGTTATATTTTGCAACATTACCAATACCCTGCAAAAGATGAACTTTTTGCATATTTCAGATTGCTGCTGGAGCCAGGGGTGTCTCGATCACTTTTTTGGCCCCTTATCCAAGTTTAGTCTTTTAATTATCAAGTTTCCACCAATACTGAGTCCAATCTGCTACTTATTATTTCCGAGATAGTAGAGCTGCTCACTGTTTTTGGTTTGTTTGAAGCGCTAGGAAGTCAGTGTCTGAAATGCAGAGTTGAGACGACGACCCCCCTCTTTGTAATCTTGTAGGCCTTCACCCCCTTGAGAATATTTACCCTTTCTTATAAAGTCCAGAGTTTGTTGCTTCAAGGCAGAAGCCTCCTCGTCTTTTACTTTAAAGATTACGCTTTATAACATGTAGTTTTAAGTTGTGGTGTTGACTGCACATCTGCTGCTACTGCCTCATGAACTTAATGCATATAAGTTTTGGGATTTTGGGAGGATTTTGTATTCTTGGACATGCTGTGGTCAGGAATGTTGCCCGCTTTTGTTCTCATTTGGGCTGAAGTGACAAACATATTAAGCTGTAAAGTATCTTTCACTGAAAAGGAATGTCACTTGTCCTAATATTGCCCAAATGTGGATTATAGTTTTTTAGTTGCTGTTTGTTGTTTTTTTTATTTTTGTGCCTGCTGTTGTTTTCCTTTTATTCCAAGGTAATAACACCTTGTAAGATTTTTATTTATTTATTTATTTTTACTCTTCTTTCAAATCATAGTTCAAAGAAATAAGCTTTGCCTACGAGGTGCTGACCAATCCTGAAAAAAAGGAACTGTACGACCGCTATGGAGAACAAGGATTGCGGGAAGGAGGTGGGGGTGGACCTGGGATGGACGATATCTTCTCCCACATTTTTGGTGGTGGACTTTTTGGCTTCATGGGTGGCCAAGGGAGTCGCTCCAGGAATGGAGGTCGACGGAGAGGAGAAGACATGGTCCATCCACTCAAGTAAGACCAAGCTTGTTCACTAACCCGTAGGCTTAGGCCTGTCACGATAACAAATTTTGCTGGACGATAATTGTGCTACAAATTATTGCCGATAAACGATATTATTGACACCGTTTTTTTTTTATTACAGATGATAATATATGGCATAATAATGCGAGTACACCATGTCAAAAGCAATAAACTTTAATTGCTCAAGATTAAGAAATTTGAACTAGGATGAACAAATATAATAAACAAACAAGACAACCAAAAAACAATGAAAATAAAATGGACCCACATTCTGTTTTATCAAAAACTGCATTCAAATAAAAACCACAATCACAACTACAAACAATAAAAACTAGACCTTGTCTCTGGTAAAGAACAAAAACTTCGCTCCACACATAACAATTAAAACAATAAATAAAGTGGAGTCTCGAGTCTGTAAAAAAGATTGCACTAAATAATTATCTTTGGGTGCTATTCCTCAACAGGCCAACAAAGAACATGCATGCACACCTCAAGCACAATCATCCCCGCGGATGATTGTGCTTGAGGTGTGCATGCATGTTCGTCGTATTCCCCTTCTTTGTCACCAAAACTTTCGAACAAATGCGACATATCGTCAGTGTTCGTGGGCTCACCTCTTTCATTTTATTTGAAACCGAAATGTTCCCACACTGGGGCTGTTGCGTTGGGCTTAGACACCAAAGCTGTCGTTTCATCATTCATTGCGTTTGCTCCACACTGTGTCAGTGTGTGTGTGTGTGTGTGTGTGTGTGTGTGTGTGTGTGTGTGTGTGTCTGTCTGTCTGTCTGTCTGTCTGTCTGTCTGTGTGCGCCAGCGCCGCCCCCCGGGACAAAGAGACTGAATGACTGACAGGAGGGTTCACTCACTGCGTTCATTCCGCTATAGAGCCAACGCACCCAGTTGTCGAGGAAAATGCGCAGAGTGAGACCTCTTCTCTCATCAGGCGTGTTTGATAGCGAGAAAGGGGGAAAACAAACGCACGTTAATTATCGAGGCTGGCAAAATTACCAACCTTGTTTTTATTTATCGAGCGATTAGGCGATTTATTGTTTATCGCGACAGGCCTACATAGGCCACATGTTAAAAAAGTCTGTACTCTATAATGTGTATAGGTTCTCATCTGGGACTAATTAAGCATTTTTCCACAGGGTGTCACTGGAGGACCTCTACAATGGGAAAACAACTAAACTTCAACTTAGCAAGAATGTACTGTGTAGCACTTGTAATGGGTAAGTTGTCTAACCTACGTAACGATCTGGCCCTCATTCATGTGGCAGTTCAGAAATGTGTTTATCCTATTACACCTAAGCCTACACAATATCAATCTATCATTGTGTGTGTATGTGTGTAGGCAAGGAGGCAAGACAGGCGCCGTTCAAAAATGTTCAACATGTAGGGGGCGTGGCATGCGCATCATGATCAGGCAGCTGGCCCCAGGCATGGTCCAACAGATGCAGTCTGTGTGCACTGATTGTAATGGAGAAGGTAAGAGGTTATCTAACCATTAGCAGGTGCTTCCTCTTTGTGTTATTGTTGCTTAGTGTGATCTCAACCTTGTATTCTTTAATCCAGGTGAAGTTATCAGTGAGAAAGACCGTTGTAAAAAATGTGAGGGTAAGAAAGTGGTGAAGGAGGTGAAGATCCTGGAGGTACACGTGGACAAAGGCATGAAGCATGGACAAAAAATTACCTTTGGAGGAGAGGCGGACCAGGCACCTGGCGTGGAACCAGGAGATATAGTCCTTGTCCTGCAAGAAAAAGATCATGAGGTAGGTGGACCAGTCCTCCAATAATATTTATGCTAACATGTCCCCTCTTCCCCCTGGGCGCCTTGTCATATGAACATATATATATATATATATATTTTTTTTTTTTCAGTGCACCGTTTTGCTTATGCCATAGTTTTGTGGGCAGGTTCATTGATTGTAGTAAGCACATGTCAAAGGTCTTGTTAATTAAGGTCAGCCAAATCAAATCTGGCCACGGCAGCACAATGTAAGGGTACTGAGGGGTAACCCTGATTCTGAGGAGTTGTTGTGTGCAATATGTGTGTGAAAACTTTAATGTCGTTTTTGACTTGACTCATTATTCATGGGCAGAAAGGTAGGGTGACAACCTTGTACAGTGGCAGGTTGTTATTATACATTTCAAAAACAACAATATGAAGACTGTGAAATGAGGATTCATGGACTGAAAGTTTGATGCATGTAATTCCCCTCTCTTTCTTCCCAGTGTTCTGATCCAACCACCTGAAAAAGGCATGAAATCTGTAAAAATGTTCTCATATTGACATGAAAGCATCATCAATGTTCAACTGCAGAATAATCACCACCATTGAATATAGCTCACTAATCCTCACAGTGTTAGGTGTTTAAGTATCCCTTCAATACATCTCACACAAAGTTCTCAGTGCTCCTTAACTCCTGTGTGCTATTCTTGCTCCTTAGCTGTTCCATGTCCCTTTGATGTATAGAACATTGTTAGTTCTGGGAACTGGAACCACCAACCAAAGCTAGGATGCATTCAAAGAACATGACAAAAAAGCTCATCAGATTTTGCTTCAGGTACTTCAAGTACTACTAAACCAAACTAAACAATCATCCATGGGTACATATTGGTGATGACAGGCAGTACAACAAACTGTATCATAATAATGTGTATGACAATGCTAGTCAAGCTATTCAAAAAAGTTTCTGAACCATGCTGCAAACAAATGTATTTTTCCTCCAAAAGACAGTCTACTGGAATAAGTGTGTATAGAGTTACCGGTGCTTCTCGTAGGCCATCAGTGAAGTGCAGTTTCTAGCACTCTAGCATCAGCTTCATTTCACAATAGCAAAAGTCTCCATTGGGGAAGAGCATTGTTTTGATGTTTTAAGGTCTTGGAGCCCAAATGACTCAGCAGTAAGCATAGTTGGCTTTTCTGTACCACCTCTAGTCAACCAAAAGACAGCCAGTCCATTCCTGTTCTTATTAGATAGTCACAGTATGCTATTGCATAAAGAAGGATATTGAAAAGAGTGAAAATAAGAAATATTCTGATATTTTTAAGCAATAGGTAGTAATTTTCAAAAATTATATCAGAAACATAATGTTTGAAATGTTGAGGCTTGCGCATGATGAGTTGAGTTATGACTGGGTGATTATATGATCCTGATCGATGATCGTGATAAATTTCAGTTCAATCACAGTCATCAGCTGTGAGCTTATTTACTCAATCAACCATAGCAGAAATGTGCACCACAACAGCCAATCAGAGTTGTGCTTTTCCTGCTCACTTCTGTAAGTTACCGGAGAAGTAAACAGAATGACTGAACATGGAGCTAAATGTCGAGCTGAGGGCAGCAAAATAGATGTCAGCAATGACTTTGAGTCATCCTCCAAAGATGTTATTGTTGAGAATTTATTCAATGTCGGTTGTGTGGCGGTGGTTTGGGCATCTCCAAAGTGACGTTAAGTAATTAAGCCGATTTGTAAGGTATGTCGGCATACAGTGTGCTCAGAAACGGGCAACACAACAGATCTGTTTAATCATTTGAAGAAGTTCCTCCCGACTGATGATGCAGTAAGCATGAAAATGTGAGCGGAGTCTGTACAGTCTGTCACTGCTGACGGCACAAGTAGCATTAGCAGTTTAGCCACAACTACGGTGCAGCCACCAGATCAAAGCAGCGATTAATCGTATCATTTACGTTTACATCATCCAATGTTGACAGCTTAAGGCGTCTTCATTATCTCTGAGGGGGCGATTTGTTTTTTTTGGGTCTTGCATACCTTCAAAAACACTCAGGACTGTAAACTAGTTCACTGTATTATTTAGAATTTATCTAAATTTGTTGTTCTGTTGAGTTAAAATGTTTTTTTAAATATTTTTCTAAGTGTATCTTATTCTTTGTCATTTACTTCGTATGTGAATAAAATGTTAAACTAATCCCTAGTTTCTTTAGTTTTTAGTACAGATGCTTTAAAACTGGCAGTTTAAAAAAAAATCATGATAATCAAGATTGGACAATACGACCAAATATATTGTCATCATTTCTTTTGCCAAATCGCCCAGGCCTAATTTGAGTATATAATACAGTAAAGTGGAGTTGGCCAGATGAAGTCTGTAATACCCTTCTCAACTCTTTCAAATGTTTAAATATCTTGACTGATGAGAGAGTGCATTGGATAAATGGAAGGTCCTTTAAAGACTTTATGCAAAAGGGGTATTGAGTGTGAGGTGGAGTGTGTCACAGGAGTCTGGTCCAGCTGATGGTGCTTCAGAGCTCTCCACTGTTTGAGTGCTGGACACCAGATTGCCTTGATGTTCCCCTCTCTTATATGTGGACTAACACAGGATATGGAAAGACCTGAGTGGAAACCTGCCATGGGGAAAAAAACAGCTCGATCTAGTTGTTATCAGATATTTCTACCAAAATAACTTTTTTTTTAGATGTTATACTAAAACACTTAGAAGGAGACTATAGCTTTGTTTTTGCTGTTCTATTGATCCTTTAACCGATGTCCTCTGGTTTATTAATGATACTGGATTAGGCTTTCTTTCTGCCTCCCACAAGCTTCAACATTGGTTTGATGGGACTGCAAACTCATGCACTGTAATACATCAGCACATCGGACATGAAACTAAATCAGCTTAAGGTGAAATGGTACATCATAAAAACAGGGTGCTGTAAGGTCAGCTTTGCTGTTTGTACACTATAGACAGTAGTGTACTTTACAGCCGTTCTTCCTGCATGTCCTCAGCTGTGAGCATTGCCTGTTTAAAAACCAGGTTGCCTCTGACAATGCAAAGTTATTTTCAGTAAACTGGAACAGCAGGCTGAGCTGAAGAAATGCCCCTGGCTCTCTTTCCCAGCAGGTTTCTGTAATTTTTTTGGGGTATGTGAGTGGATACTGAAAGCAAAATTGGTCTCTGGACGTGGTTGCAACAGTACAGACAGCAGTGATAGGCTGTTTGCATGAAACTTAAATGCCATTTCTATGATGAAAACCCAGAAAAATATAGAACTTAAGCAGTGTGTTAAACTTAAAGGGGTGGTTTAATGCCTTTCCACATTTTCAAGGGACAGCGGCTAAAACAAAGTGTTTTGTGAAATAATATTATTTAGGGATGTTCCCAGCGGTTAAATTCACTGACGGTTAAACAACCATTTTGAAACAGAATATTCGAATACACGAAAATTAATTAACTCCCAGAAAATAGCCCAAATTGAGGACATGTCGATCTATATGGCCAGATATCATCTGAAATAAATATTAAGAGTACATGAAAGCCATGATTATAATATTAAAATTTGTTACAGAATCTTATTTTAGCGCTGCAGAATGACATAAAGTACGTGAAAGATCAACGCAATTAAGCTCTACTGCACTCAAGCCAAGCAACCTGCTGCGTCATCGGCCTGCCTCACATCATATGCACAAAATGAAGAGTCTTCAGAGTCAAACAACATAAATCAAAATACTCCCAAACTTTGCTCTTTTTTCTCATCGACATCCCTCGGCTGATCACGTGTTGATTCACTCTAAAGAAGTTAACCCACGATGCCCTGTGTGCTGCAGGCCAGCGCTGCGAGCCATGCAGAAAGAGTCACACGCAAATGATCCGCACATTTTAGCTTGTTCAATGCACACTTTTAAGACATGACACAAAAAACCTAATTTGGAAGAAAAAAAAGCTTTTTTTCCACTTTTTTCTTTTTTCCCCCTTTTCTTTTTAACGGTTGCATTTGCACTTGCTTGGTTTGTTGCTTTTCTCAAGTACATGCTGTGGTCCGAAAGATGATGACAAGTTTCTTCATGAAGATAGAAAAGCACAAAGTTGTGCTGTGTTTGAGTCATTGATTTTGTCTTCATCAGTTCCTATAACTGCCTCAACTTGTAAATCTGTAAAAATTAGCCATTTTGTGCCAAACAGTGATTTGTTCCTTTTATTATGTTACTTTTTATATGCAAGGGTATTTTTTTAATGGCGTAATTTTTTTTTCCTTTTTATTAAATTAATTAATTTATTTTTACCACAGTGTTCATTGGGTTTTTCAGTCAACATGTCTAACCAGCTTTTTCTCCCAATATGCAGACATACAAGCGAGAAGGCAACGACCTGTTCATGACCCACAAGATCGGGCTGGTGGAGGCGCTGTGTGGCTTCCAGTTTATGCTGAAACACTTAGATGGAAGACAGATCGTGGTGAAGTACCCTGCTGGAAAAGTCATTGAGCCAGGCAAATTTTTCTCAATTTTTCATCACTTCTCTGATTCAACATTTTACGAGCAATCAAAAGCAGCTGCAACCCATTTTATAGAAAGGTGGAAGTTCTGAGTGTGCGACATTAACTTGCTCACAAAATGTAGGCTCTGCAGAGAGGAAGGAGAGGCCTGAGGGGGAAGGAGCATGCAGCATATTTGCATATGTGTTAGGGGTGGGAATCACCAGTAGCCCCACGATACGATTTTATCACGAAACTTGGGCCACAATACAATATTATTGTGTTTTTTAACATTTTGCAATACAGTGGGTATTGCAATACAATATATTGCGATTTTCAACTATTTAGCTAATTAAGCATTGGGCCTTCCTTTATGTTTGTCTTATTTACACAGTCTTTTATTTTCATGTAGCTTATCTTGCAAATCTTATATAAATTTGTTGTACTAACTCTCTCCTGTTCTATGATAACACCTCACTGGACAAACAGTTGATTTTGTTTTTCCACTGTCTTAGATCTGAGTTCATATTAGCCTGGTAAATGAGACGATGCAATATATCTATCATATATGTTGCAGTCCAGAAGGTGATGATATTGTTAATTCAAAAATACGGATTAAATGCTGTCAGGTTGTTAAGTTTTCTGCAAAAGCAGCAAAGAAAAAACACATCACTGTGTATCACAATAATGAGAAGACGCATAGCAAATCTAACGTCTTTGCAAAGGTGGTAAAAGCATGACTCCCTTACTGGCAGAAGGAGGAGATAAATAATTAACCTCAAGCAAAATAAACACGTGAATTTACAGATTGTGTCACTGGTTACCATTTCAGCCCCTGATAAGCAGATCATGTTAAATTCAGAGACATTTCCAGTACATTGAGCTTCAGGATGCCTCTGCTGTACTTGTGCTGGCTTTATGGGGAGAAATGAACAATGAAACAGCAGCACTGGAAAAAACACAGGCATCTTTTCCCCATCACTCACAGGACATTTGGCTATAGTGTAGCCTATAATGTATGCATTACAACAAATGCATGTAGAGTACAGTGACATAGTTCTTATATTGAATTGTGCTGATTATAATTTTCTACGTGTACACAAAAGTAATCTTCGACTAGGTTTCTGCTAAGAGTTAAACGCAGGCTAAGCCACATCCACAGTGCTTGATGAGTGAGGGTATAGTGGGGTCAACAACATCCTCAGCAAGAGGTCTGGACTGCCAGAAATAATAAGACTCCTTCCCCCTCAGGCTTCTCCGTCTCTGCAGAGCCTACATCAACTGCCCTACACAGCATCACAAGTTGTGTGTCAGAGAAAACTGTGCAAAGTTTTTTATTTCTAACTTGCTGCATTTCTTCCAGGCTCAGTCAGGGTGGTGAGAGGAGAGGGCATGCCTCAGTATCGAAATCCCTTCGAGAAGGGAGATCTGTACATCAAGTTTGATGTCCAGTTCCCTGAAAATAACTGGATCAGCCCTGAGAAGCTTGTGGTACGACACATCTCTCTTCTTTATGCAATGCATTATCATCTGTGGTGTAATCGGACTAATTACTGTACAAAGAAAAACTGCTTTAGGCCCTAAAAAATGCTTCAATGTCATCCGAGGCTTATTGTGAAGCTAAAAGTGACGTGCAAAGATGTGAAAACACTTAGCAGTTCTTGCAAACAGGTACTCAAGTGATACCATTCAAACCTGTGAGATGAAAAATTAACATGTTGATCTTTTTAAAACAGCAGAGAGAACTTTCTGCCTTTGACTACTTTCAAGTACTATAAAGAGTGGACAGTCCCTCACTCTTATCATACCTTGTGCCCATGCTGCTAGTTACAATTTTAGACCTGCTTTGCAGGTTCCAGAGATTGGTGGACAGTAATGCAGAAGCTATGCATCTTGAGGGTCTACAGAACACAAAAGAAAATTGAACAGAACAGAAAGTACAGTAACCTGACTGTAAGGCAGCGGAAAGGGAAAATAAAAGCATCACTAATGCCCGGTTTATGAGGCCATATCTGCTCTTAAGACTGAAAAAAAACTGGACTGCTTACACCCTGATAAAATTGTATTATAAATTCAATAAATGTGAACCCTGTCATGACCAACGCTGGGCTTCCACCAAACAATTTTCACAGTCCCAGACTAAAAACTGAAAGTCTTGTGTAAATCTAGGAGTTTCATTGGGGTCACAATGGAGTCACGCTGCTCCCGTCATCTCAATCGTTAAGTTTAAGGTGGTAATCTGCGCTGTTTCATATCAGTCTTTAGATGCTATCGCAAGTCGCAGTGACGTAAAACAAACAACAACCAATAGATGAGCTCTAAAGGGGTGTTCAGACCAAAAGCGACCAGGTCGCGTTGGTTGGTCACGTCGCGTCGTGTGGCGCCCTGGTGTAATCACAACGGGTCCAAAGCTGAGGTCGCAGGACGCGGCTGGTCGCCGCTGACCCGCTTCTCCCACCTTCCTTCTCCCTCCTTTTCTCCCTCATATATACATCCCGCAGCCCCTTCCAGCACTTGCGGCACACACACACACACACACGTTGAAACATGTAGCCTAGCAAGCAGGGGAAGTTTGCTATGTTTTACAGAAAATAGTCTGCTGAATGAAATAAATAAACAAACGACCAGAAAGCCCGACATCATGGGCCACCTTCTGTAGCAACGCGACTTGGCGTCCTGCGACCTCGGCGACGCAACTTGGCCACCATGCCCGACCTGGTCGCCAAGTCGCGTCAGGTCGTGTCGCAGGCAACCGGCGGTCGCCAAGTCGCGTCAGGTCGCGGCTGTCCATAGACTTTGCATTGGGAGCCGTTGCTGACGTCGCCGAGGTCGCTTTTGGTCTGAACACCCCTTAACAGAAGCGGAAAAGAAAACCAGAAAGCCAAAACAAGAAGAATAAGAATGTATGAAGAATTACTGGTGATAAAACATTGCAAGTGGACTGTCCAGAAAAAGGAGTGGATACTGGAGCTGTGGGCAGATCACCCTTGTCTATTCTATATCAACTGCAAGGTAGCCCTTACATGCAATGGCATAATGTATCAGTATATGCAGCACATAATATGGGGCGCATGTGCTGAGTATTAGCATTAGCTAGTTCCGAGTTGTCATATAAGAAGACACAGTTGACCAATGAGCTTCCCCCACTGAACTGTCAAAAAATGTCAAAACAATCTCATTGTAGTCTAGTAAATAGTGACTCTGCTTTGTAAAATCTCAGTCTGGGACTAGGATGTGACTAAAAACTCTTAACACTTGTCTTTAGATGTAAGCAGGTGTGAGCTGATAGTTTTCCAGGAGTCTTTTCCAAATCTTCTCACAGTCCTCTGGTGGATAGCTGGCATAAGGGATGAAGTGTATCATGCTGTCTGTGGTATAGTACAGTTGACAGGAAACAAAGACAGAAAAAAGCAACCTCCAAACGAATAGTTATCTTGAACAGGAGTTTATTTTCATGAACAGCTCTCTGGATAACTGGGTTTGCAGGTTTGTAGTAATGTCATTACTGATGAACCATCGCCAGGAGTTTCCCAGATTTATCAAAGACTTCGCTGTGAGCTTTATGTGACAAGTGTAACACAAAACAAACAAAAAAAAAAATTAGTGCCAGAAATTTACCATGTTTCAATTTGTACACCTTTGTTTTTAAGCAAAACTGTCTAGTTTTATATTTATAGCACAAACTAGATGCTAAAGTGTGTTTTGCAAACTTCTCTGAGGAACTGGCCCCTATATAAAAGTACAGGGGCCAAGCCCCATTGTTATACTATGGGTTTTTTCTTATTCCTCTTTTGGACAAATGCCGACCCGCTACTAGTCCGACAGCCTGAAGAGTTGTAGAACAAAATATATATCAAACATCGAGTTTGATCAGGATCGGTGTGCTATTACTTTTCTCTATCATATACAAATTTGCTTGTAGTTTTTCACAACTTCCTCTTTTTCAAACATTTACAGCTTCATCAAACTTTACCGAGAGACTCCATTTAAACTTTAAAATGTGGAAAGGAGTCTTAGTTATTGGTGTATAATTTCACGTTTCGTTAGGTGTTGTAGTTTTTGATCACTGACTGTTAAATGACCATGATCATTTTTGGAGACATTTTGAGATTATAGTGGGTGCTTATTGCGTTGAATCTTCGTTCTAGAGTGGGTGACATCATCGGCTAGAGTGAGAGAAGTTGCCTAAAATTGTGAGAAACTTTATCTTTCAGTGAGTCCTTATGATAAACACGGTCTGCTTTCTTTCTGATTAGAGTGATCGTTTTGTCAGAATGAGACTTGCGCTGAGGTGAAAATATCACTCTCTTTCTCATTTTGACTGCCCCAGCCTGCAGTGCGTCTATCTTCATGGGCAACCAGCTCAAGTTGCCATGGCAACCTGTGAGCCTCAGGCCAGGCTCACAGCTGACACCAATTCACAAATCAGGGACTGCTCTGATATCTCTGTATCATTGAATCACTTTTAGACCAATTTGATTAACAATAAATGCTGACTCTATCGAAATCCTTATCAGGGCCATGAGGCAAACCAGAGATGTTCTGTTTTTTGTTTTTTGTTTTTTTTCATTGGTTACTTACGGGGCACATTTACTCCTCTAATTCCCTGTAGATGTTTCCCACTGAGTTTTTTTTTCCTCCACAGTTGAATATTCTCTGTGCCCCCTCATGCTTGTGTAACATCTGCAACTACACTTGATCAGAAAAACTTGTCTGTAAAGTTGATCTATGTTGAATTGTCTACACCTGCAGGAGCTGGAGGACATGCTGCCCTCACGATCAGAGCCACCCATCATCACTGGAGACACAGAAGAGGTGGACCTGCAAGATTATGATGTCAGCCAGAGCTCGTCGTCAGGTGGCCGCAGGGAGGCCTACAACGACAGCTCTGACGAAGAGGGTGGTCACCATGGGCCGGGGGTGCAGTGCGCCCACCAGTAGTCTCCCAATCTCCTATACACACACATTTGATCCATGTTGTACTTGGGGAGAAAATGTTTGAGTTGCAGAGTAAACAAGGAGGTAGGTGAGACTGACGAGGCTCATTAGTTCTTCAGACTTAAATCAAATAAATATACTTATCATTGCACCTGAAATTAATAATATTATAGATATGTGTGCGCTGATTATTTTGATCTTTGCCTGAAGAACTCACACTGGGGCAGCCAAAGACTTGTCAAACTGCTTCTGGAACAGATTTAGACACTTTAAACAGCAACTTCAGGTAGAAGTCATATTTAAGATGTATAGAAAGTACAGTTGCCCCAGTGAATGCCATGTAGGACTGTGATCTGGTGTTCAAGGTGAACCCCTTGCCCCTCTTCTCTTCTTTCACCCCAGTTTATGTCCATTCCCCCCTTCAAGGGAACTCCAGATCAATTACAGAAAGGAATGTTTCTTGTTTGCTGAGTGTGTGACTTGCATTTTGTTTTCATAGTATTTACAATAATTTAAAAACTAACCAATGTGCATACACAAAGCAGCTGAGCAATGTGATGTGCAGATCCTCGAACTTGTGTAATCATGGTATCATCCACTCGGCGCCATTCGTAGGATTTGCTTTGATTTTTACAGCTTTATTTTCTTTGTAGGTTTTTACTTGTTTTTCCCTTTTCTTTATATTTTAATTCAGATTGAACATTGGATTTGGTGTGTATTATATGACCTGGTTGTTGGTAAGCTTCATCAGCTGCTGTATTCAAAAGCTATGTGATTTTTAAAAAAGAAAAAAACTAAGTGAAACGACAAACATATAGCCTGTATCTGTGCTGAGACCATATGCATGTAAAAAGCTTTGGTTCCTTGCACTTACTCAACATCAATCAAAGCAGCACACTTCTGAAGAAAATGTCTATGAAGTTGTTGAATAAATTGTTGAAATATCACAAATTGTTGTGTGGGGTCTGTTTTTTCTTAACTCTAAGAGGATCATAACTAAAAAATATTCCCCCAGTGGTCTTATCTAGTAATTAGTTCTTCTGATTATATCAAGTTTCGAACACTTGAGCTACAAGATTAGGAGAGGTTGAAACTGTGAACGAGTGGATTGCCCACATACTAGCAAAGTGGACCACTAACTATTCTCAGTCATTGATGATCCCCCTCCAAAATACTTGTGATGCTCATTGTAGAGCCTTCTGTCTCCCACAGAGTTTCCATCATTAGTCAGTCACCCGAGAAAACCGAATGAGATCACACTCTGCTCTAAACACAGCCTGACTAGATCCAAAGGCCTGCAGACACACTACAGTGTCTTGAAATCAGTTACTTTGAGAAGCTATGGAACATCAGATTTTCTATCAGTAATGCTGCTTTGCCCTTATTGTAGGATGTTTGTTTTCTGAAGTCTAAGGTCAGGTTTTTGCATTATATCAGCCCGGAAGTGCAACGAATATTTCTTGTATCAATTAACCTGTGGCTTCTCTAAGTAATGAACCAGTCTCTTTCATATCGATCATTCAGATTGGATCTGTAAAGCACATTTCATACAACTATAATGTTACAAAGTGCTGTACATAAAAATGAATGGGAAAACACTAATCTGTACACAAGGTAGAAAACACTCACTAAAAACAGGAGTCCACAAACAGAGGAAATGCTATTATTAGAAAGCGCGACGTAGAACAATGTGTAAAAACTCAAGAAACTTAAAGTAAAAAGAAGTAGAGATGATGTTAAAACATCAAACAATTGAGTGAAAATAAAATGTAAAAACTCTCAAATAAACTGCAACAAGATAATGAATTGAACTGCGTCTCCAAGCGAGTCCGGCCTCTCGCCCGAAATGCGCAGCTGTGCAGCGGCACGCAGAGAATTCTGGGATACCAACGGCACGAAAGCGTATAAATGCATGCTTGATAAAGGGGTAGTGTGGTTTTGAGACCGGATTTGAAGCACACTCAGCATTTCGTGCCAAATGGGACACTGTTTGCGCTGCGTGATGACCTCACGCACACTTCAAATGCGCCGTTCGACGTGCGGTCTTTGAAATAAGACACAGGGCCCAGAATTTGTAGCCTGGCGGGGGTATCCTGTTGCGTGAATCACTTGCTGTTCCTTCACACAACAAAGTCAAAGTCAACTGCAGAATTAACGGCGTTCTTAATGAACAGCGCTTTGAAAAGTCGTGCAGCATGTGTTAGACGTCGCCATCTACACATGGACCAATCAGGGGCTGCCTTTCCCTGTTGTCCGGGGAACAGTGGAAACACAATCACTGATTGGCCCGGTTATTTTCTGATTTCTAATACACGCTCCCAATGGGCCGAAGTCCAGACTGTTGTGTAAAGGAACGGCAAGTGATTCACGCAACTGGATGACCCAGCCAGGCTACAGAATTTGGTGCTATGCCCCTGGGTCAGATCCATAGACTGTATATAGAATGGACAGAGTCTGCCTCCTCGCTAGGTGAAGCCACTCAGATAACAGCACCCTCTGTTGATGGGCTGCAGTATAGGTCATAAATCCTGCCTCCGTCAGCAAAGCTTATGGAGCTGTGCACAAACTTTAGAAATGTATTACACAGAACATAATTTTTTCTCCCCCCTGCTTGTGATGTTGACCTGTAGTTATTGTAAGACTGGTTTTTGATCAACTCCTCTTTTTTCTGTACAGCTCCATTTTTAAAAGTTATTAGGGGGTTCATGTTTTCTATTATTGACACCTGATACAGCCCCAAAAAAGAAAACACGACAGCAAATCACATATGCGAACGCAAAAAAGAAAATGCAACTGCAAATCCCAAAACACGCCAGCATCGTCTGTCTTCTTCTTCGTTGTAGTTTAATGGCAGTTTACTCCGCTGGGGGTGGAGTTCTACCTCCATCTGCTGGATTGATGTCAGAACGGGAAAGTAAGCACTCGAATTGACTTGTCTGTCCTTCGGAAAGACACGAACCGTGGTTGACAGTCGGTGACGATGTATTGCCGATACTGTGGCAAAGAGCTCCAGGGACAACCCAACTTTTGCAGCAGTTGTGGGAAAAGGCTGCAAGAAGCAGACGGTGACAGTCCATCAAGTAAGTAAGGGGATGTTCAATTAATGTGTTCTGCTACCTTTGCTTTCCGTGTCCATGTTCGTGTTTACTTTTCCGTTCCGACATCCAGCAGGTGGCAGTAGTACTCCACCCCCAACGGAGTAAACTGCCATTAAACTACAACGAAGAAGAAGACAGATGATACTGTTGTGTTTTGGGATTTGCGGTTGCGTTTTCTTTTTTGCTGTCATGTTTTGTGATTTGCAGTTGCATTTTGTGATTTTTGTGATGGTTGAGTTTTCTCTTTTGCGTTTTGATTTGCTGTTGTTTTCTCTTTTGTGGGTTGTGTTTTGCACTTCAAGGCCACCGCAGAATGCGCGCATCGCTACTGCGCAGCGCTGGTTTCAGGAAATGAAGAAAAATCCCGGAAATATTGAGAGCTTTTTGGCTTCAAATCCGTATACAGGCGGCAGGCGGAACCAAATTGTCCATAGTATATACAGTCTATGGTCAGATCATGCCACACTGTGGTTGCCTATGAAAGACTTTAATTTTTGCTGTTTTTTTTCTGTCCTGTTGCTTTTGAAACTCATTGGATCTGACAAGTTATGAAAAGTTATGAAAAACCAAACCAACAAAAAAACACACACATATATATATAATATACATTTAGAAAGAAAGAAAGAGAAAAAGTTGTTTAATCATCTGACATGACATGAACTGACATTTCTGCCACAGGTCAAATTATCCAAACACCACTCAGAAGCTTTGTAGAACAGACGTTGGGGGTTTTCTCCAGAATAAAGCAGGTCTTCGCGATACTAACCCTATAAAAGAACAATCGATTTGATATAAATCTACAAAGATGTACCTTACAACAACTAGTTTAGACTAGGACCCCGTTGGGGCACTGGCGGGCCCGAGCCGTGTCGCGTCCCCCCCCCCCCAAACCTGCTGCCTTCCCGTCCCATTTGTGTCCTCTGGCCATCGCCCTCTCTGGTAACGCCCATCACTGCAAAGACCCTTTTCCTTCATCGGCGTTTGCTGTTCTTCCTGCCAGTGCGTGTTGCTTTCACTTACACTTGCCACAGCCAGCCTCGTGAGTGCCTAGCCTATTGGATATCACTGTTACCTACACAGGACAGTCATTACCTTTCTATTAATACTTTGTGTTTTAATTTCACATTAATTTCCATATTGTATAAACGACTGGAAAAAACTTGAGCCCCTGCCCCTGTATAATCATGTGCATGTCTCTGTTCTAGCTCCAAGGTGAATCTTCACTGCTCATGTTCTCCTCAGAAATAGTCACCTCACTCCCCTCAGGTTACTGTACACATGCACCAACTATCTGCTTCAGGTTTGAAATGGAGCTTCATGGTTGTCTTTTGGAGAAATGACCAGTCAAGTTGTGTTTGAAATTTGATTTTTTTCAGGGGCAAAAGGAAGCCTCTGCATTCTTGTCAAATATGTAAACAGCATGTTTTTGCAGGTGCTAAAAAACAGACTCTGAGTGTGTGTGTGTGTCTGTGTGTGTGTGTGTGTGTGTGTGTGTGTATGTTGGCGTGTGTGTATATGTGTGTGTATCCTGCAGTACTCTGTACTCCTGCAGTGGCCAAAAAGACTTTTAAGAATGTGGATTTTTGGGTCATCTTTGGCGCCCCCTAGAACTGCAGTACTCTGTACTCCTGCAGTGGCCAAAATGACTTTTAAGAATGTGGATTTTTGGGTCATCTTTGGCGCCCCCTAGAACGTAAACCGTGGGGTGCAGCGTCATGATTTTTACAACTTTGAATGGGCATGGGGTGTAGATTGCCCTGAGCAAATTTGGTATCGGTGGGACGAAAGCCTTAGGAGGAGATAGCCACATTCCAATGTGTGCGAATCGGCAAAAAATGCAAAATAGCCCTTTAACCGTACATTATACAGATACGCGCTCTTTGACTTTTTCGTAGATCTAATTGAGATACACATGATTGTCAAATTTTGTGTCAATATGACAAAGCGTATAGGCGTGAATCTCAACAATATGTATTTTCACCTTAGGGGACAAGAAAAAATGGACTTTTTTCTCCTGCCATGGGGGGGCGCTCTTTTGGGGAGTAAAAATTCCTTCACAAATGTGTTGATGGCTGGACATTGCATCATCCTAGAAAACTTGGAGGCCAGTGAGGACAAAAATAAAAAGTTATAAGACTTTTAAATATGTGGATTTTAGGGTTGTCTTTGGCGCCCCCTAGAACCTAAACCGTGGGGTGCAGCGTCATGATTTGAATAACTTTTAATGGCCATGGGGTGTAGATTGGCCTGAGCAAATGTGGTGCCGGTGGACAGAAAGCCTTCGGAGGAGTTAGCGAAATTCCAATGTGTGCGGATCGGCAAAAAATGCGGAATAACCCTTTAACCGTACATTTGACAGATACGCACGCATTGACTTTTTCGTAGATCTTATTGAGTTACATGTGTGTGTCAATTTTTGTGTCATTTTGACAAAGCGTATAGGCGTGACACTCAACAATGTGTATTTTCACCTTAGGGGACAAGAAAAAATGGACTTTTTTCTCCTGCCATGGGGGGGCGCTCTTTTGGGGAGTAAAAATTCCTTCACAAATGTGTTGATGGCTGGACATTGCATCATCCTAGAAAACTTGGAGGCCAGTGAGGGCAAAAATAAAAAGTTATAAGACTTTTAAATATGTGGATCTTAGGGTTATCTTTGGCGCCCCCTAGAACCTAAACCATGGGGTGCAGCGTCATGATTTGAATAACTTTTAATGGCCATGGGGTGTAGATTGGCCTGAGCAAATGTGGTGCCGGTGGAACGAAAGCCTTCGGAGGAGTTAGCGAAATTCCAATGTGTGCGGATCGGCAAAAAATGCGAAATAACCCTTTAACCGTACATTTGACAGATACGCCCGCACTGACTTTTTTGTAGATCTTATTGAGATACATGTGTGTGTCAATTTTTGTGTCATTTTGACAAAGCGTACCGGCGTGACAGTGAATAGTGTGAATTTTCACCTTAGGGGGCGCTATGGAGCCATTTTGCATTTTCTTGTTTGGGCGACTTCGGAATATCAAATTTTTCACCAGGCCCGGTCGTCCTGCCAAATTTCATGAGTTTTCGCCAGTGGGAAGTGGGCCATTTTCCAGTTCAAAGGGGAGGAAAAATAATAATAACAAAAGAAGGAAACTACAGGAACAAGAGGGCTCTCGCAGCTGCTTAGCAGCTACGCTCGGGCCCTAATCAGCTCTATTAAGAAGCTTTATATATGCATCTTTCCTGTTGCTCTATACCGGCGCCGTGGCTTAGTTGGTTAAAGCGCCTGTCTAGTAAACAGGAGATCCTGGGTTCGAATCCCAGCGGTGCCTTTTCCTGTTTCTACCTGAAACGATGTTCTTGCCACTATTTAAAAACCGCTTTCATCGCACTGACTGTGGTGTTTTTTTTTTCAATAAAAAACGTTAAATGTAAATGTACTGTGTATTAGCTGAGGTAGCTGCAGTGCATCCATCTCAACACAGGAGGGCGGTAGATACCGGGCCCACTAAAGCAGGCATCCGCCAGACTATAATGGAGGGATCTGGAAAAGAAAATCATGTAGCGACCGTTTCATAGCCGTTCTCATTCATGTCAGCCAGCTGACGGGGATTATTGTGTGATATGAAACAAGAAGGAGGTGACAGCAGGACATATCTATTTGTCTGCATCGTTTTCTTACCAAAAGAAAAGGAGAGGACTTCAAACACGGAATATAATGGGCCACATCGTTCTGCTCGATGCAGGGAGCTGGACACAAGTGGGCTTTTAATTTACAGGAAGTCAAAGCTGCTGCTTTCAAAATAAGATCTAAATAACGCTGATGTCTCTACAAAGCTAGTTGCTGCATTTCACTTCTTACAAATTTGTCAGACCTAATACAACAACCTATAAGCACGAGTGGGCTATGCAATCTGCATGCGCCCATAGGCTGTATCAAGTGTCAATCATAGAAAACATAGACCCCCAATAACTTTTAAAAATGGAGCTGTACAGAAAAAGGGGGACTTGAGCACAGACCAGTCTTATAGTAACATTTCAACATCGCAAGCACGGGGGAGAAAAATGTTATCTGAGTAATTAATTTCTATTAATATCTTTTATTGTTACGCAAACCGCACATTGCACTTTGTTTCTGCATTTGATGCACTCTGTTCATGCATAAAATACTGGTATGACTGACATATGCTATTTTTTTTACCCTCTAAATTGTCTTAAATGCATTTTACCTTCTGAATTGTTTTTTTATGTAGGTATTTCCTTTATTTTCTTTTATAGTGTATGGCAGTGTTTTCAATGCCTGTGCTTGCTGCAACCCGATTTGCCCATTTTGGGACATAATAAAGTTGAAGCGAAGTGAAGCTTTTATTTTGAAGGCTGTGGCAGGATCTCGGTAGCTCTGCTGCATGAACTCAACTGTTGTTTCTCTTGGCTCGGTTCAAAGGACACAATGCTTTTCTGCAGGAGAGACTTCTCGGTGAGTACGGTGCGTGTGAGCTGAAAACAGATGCGGGAGCCTCTCTGAGAATACAGATGTCGAACAAACCGCAGAAATCCGGTCCCAGGTAAAAAGGAGAAGTCCCCGCCGGAGCCATGGGACCGCCGGGGCTGCTACTCGGACTGCTGTGGCTCCGGTCCGCTCTGCTCTGTGCAGGTGAGACACAACAATGCATCCACAACGATCATATGTTTACATCTGCACACAATTCAACCCTGCCGTTAAAGCTGCCGGAAAAATATGTGTGTTTGTAAGACATTCACATAATCAGGAGGACAGACTTTAAATCGTACGGCGTCTGTTCTAATGAGAGGTGCCGATGTAGTTTTTAGACCGCCGTCTCCTATCTGCTTACCACAGCAAAGATCTTCCATTGAACACGACGTTCACACCCACACAGCAGTGGAAGTGTTTAATGTTACCTTCTGCTCTCTCCTCTGTGTCACTGACAAAGTGATCTGACTGATACAGTCTGTTTTCATTGTTGTGATCGGATACAGAGAGAAGATGAGGCTCTCCTGCTGCAGAAACCTGCTCAGGTATTGATCTGTGGTGGGTAAACGATCAGGGCCGGTGTGGAAACATGGATGCTCTTTCACAATGTGATGCTACTATCAGCATTACATCACTGCTGCTCTGCAGACAGCCCCCCCCCCCCCCCCCCGCACTTTCTTGGCAAGAAAGTACAGGGAAATTGCTAACCAGTGTGCTAGCAGGAGATTTTATAGGTGTGTGTGTGTGTGTGTGTGTGTGTGTGTGTCTGAAAGGAAAAGAGAGAATAGACCTACAGAACAAATTTCCACACACTTGTCAGTACTTGTTTGACCCGGCATCTCTTCACACACTGAGTACAATATACTCTCTGTCTCTCTCTCTTTCTCTCTCCACACACACACTCAGCCTCCAGCCCTCTGAGCAGCTGCAGAGGGCTGCCATAGATACAGTGGTTAGAGTTTTATGGCTGAGAAAGAAGACATGTTTATTTTAGACTTGAAGCCTTATCTGCTTCTGTTATTCACTCTCTTAACCTGCAGAGGATTCATCTTCTTAAAATGCACTTAAAAAAAGTCCAACACAAAAGATTAATCCTCTTGTACCTCTCTGAGATTGGTGTTTTTGTGCCATTTCTTCTTTCCTCACACTTCTTTACTCTTGGTATAAACTGTTGAAAACCGCTTTGTTGCTTGTGCTTTTAAGGGGGGGGGGTAGCTTATAGATTCTCCTTGCTGGTTCATCTGAGCTTCTGGCAAAGCTGAATGACCTGCCTTTAACAGTATGTGAGGTGACACCCCCAAAATCCCTCCATAAACTTTAGCTAGTCCACAATTCTGCTGCCCACATCGTTTCCAGAACCCCTTCCAGTGTTCACATTACTCTAGTTCTTCAGCAGCTACACTGAATCCTGGTCAGCTATCACTTTGATTTTTAGATTCCTTTTACACTCTCAGGTCCTCTTTCTCCTTCCACCTTACTGTCCCATCTGCCCATTTGACCACCATGGGCTCCAGAGCCTTGAGTCGCTTTGCTCACCAACCCTGGAACTCCCTCCCTCCAGACATCTGTTGTATCAACTCTCTCTCTATTTTCAAATCCTGTCATAAAACTCATCTTTTTAAATTAGCATATTCTTGTTTAAACTGTCCATGGTTTTAACTTATTTTGTGGACTATTAATTTGTTTGGCCCTCTCTTGCAAGGTGATCTTGAGTGCTTTGAAAGGCACCTATAAAAAAAATGCAATATTAGACATTTATATATGTACAGTATATACATGTCTATAGGGGGTAACATTGCTCAACTGATCAACCACAATAAAGGGGGTGGGGCCAAAACATTGAGCTCTGCCCTCAGTTAGCTTCTGGAAAGCCCCTGGAGAGATGGCCAATCAGAGGAAAGTGGGCTTTTGGAGGGAGGGGGCCTTTAAGAGACAGCAGCTAAAACAAAGTGTTTCAGACAGCGGCTGAAATAATATTTTAAATCACCACTGTGAGAAATTTAAAGCTTTTTTTGATACGAAAATCATGTAACAATATTGCAGAGGTATCAGAGAGGAAGTATAGAAAGTGAAAAATGCACAATACTTCCTCTTTAAAGGAAAAAAGAAGACTATTATTCATTTCAGACAGTTGTAAACTGTATAAACATGATACGTACATGAATGAAACATGATGCAACCCTTCCCAACATTTCAGTTATGCTGGTTTTAATATTCTTAGTAGAAATATATCTTAAAGCTCCTGTTAGGAATGTTTTTTGCTAATCCTGACCTCTAAATGCTTCCACAGTGTCTTCTGACAAATATGTCACCCCACTGTGAATATTTTGTGTGCAAAGTAAAAAAGAAGAGCTGTGTCTCAGCTACTAGACTGACACCTTCTCTCTTGCATTGATTTCAGGTTTTTAAAAAGTGACAAAATAAAATCATCAGCTGTGTTGCTGATGGTCTATTTTGCTTGACTGGATCATGAAGATGTGACTGGATGAATTTTAGTCAGTTTAATCGATTTTGGAAAGTCTTCATAGGAGCTTTAATTTAGGTTATAGTAACCACATTTGCCAAAGTGCCTTCCCTTATAACAAGGCGGATGGTCCCTAACCTTTTAAGATCTTAGGTTGCTGTGGCCAATGTTTTCAAAAAAGAGGGTCACACTTTTATTTATCAGTCCATTTGGTGTTGATCCATCTTAAACGACTCAGACCTATAGATTTCGCAATGTCTTGCTATGGATCATGTACTTTGAACCCCTACTCTGTCCAGCCCAGTTTCACATCCATGTGGTCGATATCCATCTCTGAACACTCAAAGATTTCTCTCTTGCCTCCCTGTTTCTGTCTGCTGACTTCACCAATTTATCCAGACAGCTTGAAACAAACAGACACGCTCAGCAGCAGAACTGAGCTGAGTCTCTGCTGTGAGACCATGTTGAATGATTGTTGTGCGACTGTCCAGGGTTTAAAGGGATTCTCAGCCCTCAAATGTTTTTATTTCTTACATTTTCTCAAAAAATATTCCCATTCTAACCATTAAGTATGTGTAATTAAAATATGGATCTTTGTCTTTTGTTTTAACTATGTCATGCACTTAGAAAGCTCCCCAGACTCCAACTCTGTATCTGTGACATTCCTGTATCACGACTGTACTACCACACAGAGTATTGCACTATCGTAATCAAAAAGAAAAGGAAAGTACTCAATATACTCATCTGCCACTAATCCTGATTCATATAGCTGAGAGACAAAGAAATAACTTTGAACCGTCACAGAGCAAAATGATGCATCAGCTGCTCTTTAAAGAGACCTCTGCATGAAGATACCCTGTGTTCCTCTCAATCTTCTCTCAGTGTGTTGTTCCCTAGAGTTAAGGTGTGGTGTTCACAGGGATGCTGTTGCCTTGGCTGCAGGTTTGACTGCTGCTGCTTCTGTTTAAGCCGCCATGTAATCTGAGCTCCTCCAAAAGTCAGTGAGGTCATTTTGTGTTTTATTTGCACCAATCGAAGACAAAAAGTCTGTAGAGGAGAGTTATGAACGTTCTGTACAGTCCTCTACATGTCAGTTCTAATGCTAGAATAGTTAGAGCTGCTATTTTTATTTCCTTCTGATTAAAACAAAAAACAGCTCTAATGTGTTTGCTCCCCTCCCCCTCTGTCTTTTTGTCACACAGCAGGCTGCAGTGAGCGAGTGGAAGTCCACACAGAGCGCCGGGGGGTGATTTATAGTCCCTCCTGGCCTCTAAACTACCCTCCTGGAGTCAACTGCAGCTGGCACATCCAGGGCGGTCAGGGAGAGGTGATCACCATCAGGTACATTTCTCACACACAGTTTACAGACAGTAGGAGCTGTCAGTAAGCAGTTAGAATAAACAGTTTCTCCTTCTAGTTTCCGAAACTTTGACGTGGCCGAGTCGAGGAATTGCCTGGGAGACTGTCTGCTACTGACTCCCACCTGGAATGGAGAATCGAGGCTGTGTGGCTCCACACTGCCCCCTCCCTTCATCTCCACCAGTGGGCGTGTTTGGCTGTATTTCCACTCTCAGGCCAACAGCTCGGGGCAGGCTCAGGGCTTCCGTCTCTCCTACATCAGAGGTAATTCACCTCATAGGTTGCCAAGCTCATCTTTGGGTTAGTGCCTACATTCAGCTTTTTGAAATGCAGGGTACAGATAAGTATGACTATGGACTTTTTTTTTTAAATAGTCAAAGTGAAGCAAAACAAACAAAAGCTTGAGTCAGCAAGAGGCAAGGAGTTGAGATAGGCCTTATGCTTACTCCTTAGACACTGCAGTGGGCCTGCTGGACAGGGAGGTCAGCCATGCCCCTCACAGTGCAAAACTCAAAACCTTTATACCAGAGGTTGTTGTCTCGGATAAACTCAGTCTCTTCTACTGTTTATATGTGTAGCACATCTTAAGTGATGTGCAACTGCCTCAATACAAGCGTCACCCCGTGTCCCTCCTTGTTGAACTTGATCTCATGGCCATGCACTTTGAGCCTTTGCGCAAACTTAACAGCAAATTGTGACTTATCCAATGTCTTATGCCGTAAAACCCAACCAACCAGCTCTAACTGACTGATATGACTGAACAAACTCTTCATAGATGCCAGAAGCCATGTTGTTGTGTTTGTCTCAGTAGAAAGCAAATGAGGAGGGAGGAAAAGAGAAAATCAAGATTTTCATTTCTAAAGTCATCAAAAACAACAAATATGAATGAAACAGATTTATTGCCAAGTCCTGGCTGTTGCTTTTACCATCACCTACTGTATCCCAACAGAGTAACCAGTGTTATTTTCACTGGTTCTAAAATGCCTTGAAAATAAAACTGGTGAAAAAAACCATCTAAAGGAACAGATTTTAGTTTGAGTAAAAGAAGTTCCTGGGTCTAAAAGTTCCTGTAAACACGACTGTCTTTATGAGTGTTCACTGTTTAGCTGGAGCCAGCACTTCAGGCTCTGGTCAATCATGAGTACCCAGAGGTATCATTATAAATCGACTTCCAAGCGTTTTACTGTGTTTTCAATATTCTTCCATTAATTTTATAATATCCAAGAAGTCAAAGTGTATTAAATATCCTTTGTGTATTATAACTGATAATAACATTTTAAACTTTAATCACATGATATTAACTCACACTAAGTTTTTACAAATAAAATGTCCAGACAAACTGCCAAGCAGCACTGAAAAAGGGAGTAAAGGTAAATCAGCATTAATGAGCTTTTTTTAAAGGTCCAGATTAAAAGAAGGTGACCATCAAAAAGCCTGCAGGTCTAAATTGACTTTGTTAAAAGGCAGGAGTTTTCAATTGGTTAAAAATACACTTGATTGGTACAAGACTACCTGAAAGTGCTTGTTTTTAATGAATTGATGACTTCTTTTGTTTGGTTTGGCTCCTCTTTACACTCTCTGCCCAAACAGCCTGGGTGTAATCATCTTTAGATCTGTGCATTTCTGGGCTTCAGACGTTCTAAATGCAGAGCTGTCAGTCTGTGTTAAGCTTGACTCTTCCTCTGAGTGTTGGGAGCTGCTGATGTTGCATCTTGTCACTCTCTCTCCTCTGCAGGTCACCTGGGTCAGAGCAGCTGTCAGTCAGATGAATTTCTCTGTGGGAACGGGAAGTGTCTTCCTCGCTTCTGGAAATGCAACGGTCAGGATGAGTGCGGTGATGCCAGTGATGAGCGCAGCTGCTCCCCCCCTCCCACTGAGGCCCAGCCCGGTCTCTGTCCTTATGGCGCCATCCCGTGCACAGAGGCCCAGTCCACCCGCTGTCTACCCGCTGCTTTGCGCTGCAACGGAGCTCGAGACTGTCACGACGGCACAGATGAGTTGGGCTGCCCTGATACCACATGTGGGAAACGTTTGGGGAACTTCTATGGCTCCTTTGCTTCCCCTGATTTTTTCCGGGCTAACAGGAGCACAGAGGTGGAGCTGAGGTGTTCCTGGCTGCTGGACACTCAGGACCCCAAGCCCATCGTGCTGCAGCTAGACCTGCAGCTGGGGCCCAAAGACTCGCTGCACGTGTATGACGGCCTGCTGCAGCGGGCGGAGCACCTCTTACAGGTGTTGTCATATCATAATAACAGGCGCCCAGCACTTCTGGAGTCCAGTCGGGGACAGATGAGTGTTCTGTATATGGCCCAGCCTCACAGCCCAGGACACGGCTTCAATGCTACATATCAGGTACAGCTGCCCGGGTGTATTTCACCCTGATTTAAAAAAGCTTTTTTCTTTGCAGCCAGTTTCAAGCAACTGAGAGCTCCAAAACTGAGAGCTCCTGCCAGTGCTAATTAAAAGAGTCTGTAAAAAATATGGTTATGATCTAAGACTTTGTGTCTCTACTCAATACTTGAATGGGGCAAATTTCTGCATCTGAAAAAAAAAAAAAAAAACAGGGTACTTTTGCTTTGATACAAGGGGTGAGCACTCTGCAAATACATCCATTCTTTTATGCCCTCTAGTGATGAGTTTCATAGCCTACCAAATGGCTCCCCATGTCCCCCACAGCTGCAGACAGATGGGACAGATGGGCAGCAAGAGCCAAGTCATTACTGGGATTAGTAAGAGAGAATCTCCCTTCACCAATGACTCTCTGAGTTATCCCATAACAATCAAAAATCAAACCTCTCTGTATCACAACAAAACTCACAGAGCCTCGCCACATCAAACAGACTGGGGCTCTTTTCTTGCAAGCCCCCCTAAAACATGGTATAAACCTGCAGCAACCCTAGAGGTCCAAACAGAAACACAGTAAAGAAGAGTCTGTAGCAAGACACTAGAAAGAAGACAGGAAAGGCAGAGGCAGGATGAGAAGCCTGTTTGGACTGGAGCTCATCCTTACCAGGGGTGCAGTGTGGCAGTGAGGCATCTAGTCTGTGGCTCTGTTGGTGTCAGGGAAGCCCAGGTAGTGGCCTTTAATTAGTCTGTACTTTTGGGTTGTGTGTTTCTCATTCTTCTCCTGACCACTGTCTCACAGTTTCTCTATGAGGTCTGGGTCAGGACAGTTATCTTGCAAATCAAGCTAAGTGATGTCATGGTCAGCAAACCGTTTGGTAGTAGTTTTGGCACAGTGGGCAGGTGCAAAGTCCTGTGGGCAATGGAAATCATCAAAGGAAGCATCATTATGTAGCCAAAGATGGATGCATGAGGTGCTCTAAAGACGCCTGGTAGATGGTGGTGTTTTGACTGTGTGTGGACTTTATAAAACAGAGATGACCAGCTGATGACACGGCACCCCAAATCAACACGCGCTATAGAAAATTCATGCTGACGTGAAAAACCTGATCCTGTTTCTGCTCTCATTATTCCCACCGTCCTCATATTTCCTTTTGTACATCTCTGTCGATATTGAATGAGTCAAGAACATCCTTCCTGATTGTCATAACTGTTTCTTATTTATATGATTCAGAGAGTAGTTGTCTTCACAGAGAATCTGTTGTCATGTTGATGGCCAAATAATGACGTGTTTCTTTTTTCTCTCAGGTCAAAGGTTACTGTTTCCCTGGAGAGCGTCCTTGTGGCAGTGACCAGGGCTGTTTCTCTGAACGCCAGCGCTGTGATGGTTACTGGCACTGTCCATCAGGTCGGGATGAGGAGGCCTGTCCAGGGTGCCCTGATGGGGAGTTCCCCTGTGAAGGCGGCACCGGGGTGTGTTACCCGGCTTCAGAGCGCTGCAACAACCAGAAGAGGTGCCCAGACGGATCTGACGAGAAGAACTGCTATGACTGTCAACCTGGGAACTTTCACTGCGGGACAAACCTGTGCATCTTTGAGACGTGGCGCTGTGACGGCCAGGAGGACTGCTTGGATGGCAGCGATGAGAGGGACTGCATGGCGGCAGTGCCCAGGAAAGTAATCACAGCTGCTTTGATTGGAAGTCTGGTCTGCAGCCTCCTGCTGGTCATCGCCCTTGGCTGTGCCCTTAAACTCCACTCGCTCAGGAACCGAGAATACAGGTGGGGACGACACATCTCAGACCTTTTCTACATAAAGCTTCTATTACTGCCCTTTCCATCTTACAAACACACTGCTGTCTTTGCACTGTGTCACCATGGAAACAAATGCTGTCTCTTAAGTCTGCGTGCCTGAGGAGCCAAAACTTTGTTCTCATATTAGACTAAACTGCAGTCCTTGTGCAGAAAATGCAGAGAACCAGAGTCACACCTTTGAAGTCAGTGATTTTTTTGTGATACTGATCCAAAAAAAAAAAACATGAATAGAGTCAAAGAAGAAAGCCCATCATGGTCCAGCTGAAGGTGAAGTCCTGGGCCTGGACTAAGAGGCAGGATTCATTGTTAGTAAGGTAACCAGAGGGTTGACTCTTGGTCATCAGTTGCAAATGTGCTTCACTTTGTAGATCACCATACTTCTTGATGAGAGTCTTGGTCATGGAGGTCTTTGAGCTGATCTTTAAGAGGGAGAAGAAAGAAAATGGTGCCAACACTTTGTCTTTACAAATGAAATTTATTATCCAAAAATTGATTATAGGCACAGCTGGCCTGGCAGTCTAAGCATTCACCCCATTATGGAGGATCTGCTCTAAGGCAGATGGTTCAGGTTCAGTTACAGCCTGCAGCTCTGGTATTGCATGTCACTCCTGGTTCTCTCTTCCCATTTTCTGCTCTGTCCATCACTTGGTCTTCTCAAATGAAACTAAAGAAAGCCCGGTAATAAAACAAATAGATATCTTTGCATTGGTTATGCTAAACTGATATCATCCTATGACTGGTAACAAGAAGAAGAAACCTAAAGCCTTGTATTTCTGTCTTCAAAGATTTCATTTATGTTTCACTTCAGTTTTGTGCTAATTGTGCTTAATGACAGGTTTGAGGTTTGTTTATCAATTATTTTCAGACAGACATTTGCTGCACCGCAGATCCACACTGACTCAAACTTGCGTACATCAGAGCTGTGTGAGATTTGATCGTATCGTACGCTCACGTGCAGATTGTTAAATGCCGATCCTTGCGTGGAAATGGTCGTATGGACAGTTTTCTGCCGTACGTTTGTTTGATAAATGAGGGCCATTGTGTTACTCTTTAAATACTATAATATCAAATTAACCTGCAGTCTGTTGGATGAAAGGTCTGCTAATAAACATATGTTGGTTCCTTTTTCTGTAACATATAAACACAGGCTTTTTTTCTTTAATTTTGACTGTCTTTGACTTTTCACAGGGGCTCATGGTCTTCAGACACTCTCTGTATATCTCTGCAGTTTGACAGCTGTCTTGTGTCTTTGCTATAGTTAGAACTCCACACATCAGTTATTGCTTGACTTGACCTGTTTTTGAGGGACTGTTCACCACCCCTCTCCATGTTTCGTCTGCCTGGCATTATAGCAGTGAGTGATGGCTGACATCAGTCATAGGGGTGCACTGGCCTCACAGAATGTGGTGCCATCTTTTTTAAAGAATATGGACATTTAATTACTAAAGTGTCAGTATGAGATAATCTCACTTTTTTTCTTGTGGTGTTAAGTAAAAAAACATCTGGTTTTACATCCTGGTCAATATGATAAATTCTTCCTAACAGACGATTAGGAAGATTGGCCAGACTGTGTTCACTCTAGTCCTCTTTTGAAGACATGCATATAAAAGTTCTTGATGAACTTACTGAGTTCATAACCAGCTTTTAGACCTCATTTATCAGAATTAATGCAGGTAGTTAACCAACAAATATCCCAAGTATGTGCACCTATAGTGTATTACAGACCCCAGGTGCTATGAGCAAAGATACTGAGGAAGAAACCAACAGTAACCAGAAAAAAAAGCTAAAGCCAGAGACTTTGTACTGGAGGGTGTAATGGGTGTGATGTCTTTACACACTAAATCACATGCATACAGAACTGGACGCTTTTCATGTGATAGTGTATTTTTCTGTCTTATTTAGCTCACCTGTCTAATTTAATAGTGGAATTTATATCCAAATAAAATGACTATCAATAGTGAAAGTGATTTGAACAGAAATGCTTCATGAAAAGAAAAAGGGGTGGTGGCAGCAACAGCAGCAGTTCTGCAGCAGTGATGTGGATGGCACTCTTCCTATTTGTGCATTATGATGGTATAAGCTGCAGCAGTTCAGAGAGGTTCCCGTCACACACTGTCCAGGCAAACAGAGTGTCCCAGGCGTCAAAGTGATTCATCTTATACAGCGTGTGCTCCCCAAAAATATCCTCCCCTGCTGTCTGTTAGTGCAGCATATCACTATTTCTGCTAAAGGAAAACATGCCAGTAAAGATACATGAGATGGATGAAGAGAGGATGAGGGATGGAGGGAGTCAAGGATGGATGAATGAGTGCGAAACATGATGTATAGAGGTGTAGGCATTTAGCCTGGGATTGGATGTAAGGCATGTTTTTTTTTAGGCATTTTTCTAATGTGCTGATGCCGTCAACTCAGAGTACTTTGAAGTTTCCTTGCATTTGCTGTCTGTCCTCATTACTAAATGTATTCCTCTCTTCTCCTGTCATCCTGATCCCCACGTCCCTACTTTTTCCTTTTCAGAGCCTTTGAAACACAGATGACTCGCATGGAGGCGGAGTTTGTTCAGAGGGAAGCGCCCCCTTCATATGGTCAGCTGATCGCACAGGGTCTCATCCCACCAGTGGAGGATTTCCCTGTGTACAACCCCACGCAGGTAGTTTGTTTATACAGTTTTTTTTTCTGTTTACCACAGTCTGTTTGGTTCATTTCTAATCTCAACTCCATCTCACAGACTTGAACAGCATCAGTCTGTGAGATGGTATAAAAATAAAGGATAGGTGTCATTAGCATCACAGGCCTCCGGGATACTTCCTTAGCTGATGTTATTGAAGAAATAAATTAACCTGTGGTCAAAATGTTCACTGACAACCTTTGTTCCATCACAAGTTCTCTTTAGGCTCAATAACAAGAGTTTCTTCTCAAGTTACTTCTTCTACCAAACAAAATAACAGCTTCAAAATAAAGGCACTGTGAAAATAAGGGAAGCCTCGCCACAAAAAAAGGAGGGCTTTTGCTTAGAAAAGTTCTCTCGCTGGGGTATGAAATGGTAGTTTTAATGCTTGGACTTAAATATAGCTAAGTCAGGACCACTTTTATTAAATAATTGCTTTCATGCAAAAGTGATATTTGGCATTTTGTCTCTGTTCTTAGGGCTCCCTGCCCTTCTTTGTACCTCTGTGGAGGGCCAAGCCTGCAGAGTACAGAACACACCTCCTCTCTTTTTCATATGCATGGCATGCATGAAAAACCAAGGCAGGGAGAGCAACAGCAACAAAATCCCTGGTACAGAATAGAACAGACATCCGTGATAATATGAATATATATATATATATATATATATATATATATATATATATATATGTGTGTGTGTGTGTGTGTGTGTACACTGGTGAGATCAGACACAGCATAGAGGAAAAGCTGAAGTGGAAGTGAGTTGTAAAGCCACTGCAGAGGAAGCAGTAATAGCTGATGTTTGAGCTTGAACTTGAATTTCATGTCTTGCTTGAACCAACTCCGTGCTCAATCTGATACAGAGCCAAAACAGCTCTCAGCTGATCACTTTCTTGTATATTCTGGTCAAAACCCACATGCAGTTTGTAGAAAAAAATCAATGAGTCTTCTCTCAATTTTCGTCACATGAGATGTGCTGCTCATGGCCACAGCATGAATAGTCTGATCCGCACACAAAATGCACAAGCACATACAATGGAAACAGAGCCATTCAGAGCCTTCGCACAGTCGACACATTTCCTAAGAAAGCACTGGGCTACTGTACACTGGAAGTGTAAGCAAGATTGTGGTTTTACTGCACCAAAGTGTCCTAAACCATACTGGACCATCAGGTGGGATCATATGGTCCAGTCTCAGTGAACATTCTCCTGATGGCTTTCTGATCAAAATAGCTGAAGTTTACCATGTGGAACATTCGAAGTTGTCCACTCACTTACACCACTGACTCTACTGATACTCACATCTCATTTGTTCTGCAGCATTATTTATGTTTCTGTAAATAAATGAGTTTATTCAGGTATAATCTCTGTGTCTCTCCCTTTTTTAGCCATGGCACTTTGAGCCAATCAAGACAGGCTGCTCCCACTGGGACCTGTCAACCAGGATTGAGACAGAACAGTACATACCCACTCTGTCTTCCAAATATAGTCACTTTTGTGCCCAAAAAACAAGATGTCTACCTCCACAATTTCAAACTCAGGCCTTTAAATCAACAAAAAACTCATGATATTTTATTGTCAACGCCTGCTGAGTTCCTCTCTGTAAAAGCCACTACAGTTTCAGGTTAAATGTATTTAAAATTCTGAAAAAAGGACATGAATAGTTTCTCTGTCTTTCTTTCTGCCCCCCTTCAGGCCTCTGTGTTACAGAACCTACGATTGGCGATGCGTAGACAGATCAGACGCCACTCGACACGACGCAACACCTCCTCCTCTCGGCGGCGATTAGGGCACATCTGGAATCGCCTCTTCAGAGCAAGAGGTCATGCCCCCCTGCTTGAACCCCCTGGACCCACACAGATTACACTGGGGCTCCACAGCTACCGTACTGTCAATGTGCAGGGGGCCCAAGCCAGGTCTGGAGCCGGGCCTGGGGACGAGGTTGACATGGGGGGAATATCAGGCATGGACTTGCAGTCCTGCACACCAGAGAGCCCTGCCTCACCTCTCTCCTTCCAGTCTGTGGACAGTCCAGAGACAGAGGAGATGTCACCTGTTAGCAGGGGGAGCAGTAGAGCCACACAGTCTGAGCCCCCCACTCCTGTGCAAAGTGACTCTTCATCTCACAGCGGACCCTCTTCCACTCTCCAGGACACCTCTCTACACCCTTGCCACCCTCGTGCATCTAGGAAACTGGTTCTAGAGCTGGCTGTAAACCTGAAGGGTGTTTCCTTACGGCGTTACTCCCCACTGGGGCCTTTGTCCCCTATTTCACCCTCACAGACATCCCTCCCTCACTCCCAAGGACCACTGGTGACTTCCCCTTCAGAGCCCTCGTCGTCTTCTTCTTCTGTGAAAGGAGAGGACAGTGACAGCCACTTCACTGTGGAAGTGCCAAGCTGGGAAATAAGCAGCAGGGACAAGAAGAGGAGGGAGGGCAAGAGCAGACTGTGCAGGCTGAGCAGGGCCTTCAGTGAGGAGGGAGGAGACTCAGGGAGGGAGACAACACCATGCTGAACAGTTTAGGAAGATCCTCTCCTTCCCCTCACTCTGATCAGACCTGCTGTCAGCAATACCTGCTCTGACAAAGTGTCCTTGAATTTCACCCCCACATGATTCAGAGGTAAGATCCATACCGCCACTCCCACATGAAGGAGGAAATACAAAATGCATAGATATCTTCATATGCACAAAACTCTACATATGCAGTCCTTTCCTGGAATTAAACCAGCGTATTACAGCTTCTGGTCTGTGATTTGAAGAAAATGTCTTTGTCAAAAAGATGCTCTATGTCAAGCCCACAAATCTGCCTGTTACTAACTGTTCAGAAGTAAATGTTGCCATAACCATCCCAAAAAATCAAAACCTAGAATTGGCCTCCATTACCACAGTAACATTGTCAAGAAGTTCTTAAAGCGCCAAAGTAGCCTTTGCTTCGTTACCAAGAGCCATTATGCACCGCTGTATACTGTGAACCAGAGGAGCCTGTAGAATAATCACCATTTATCTTACCCCAGTTTATTTTACAAGTCTAAGTTATTTTCATTCTTGTTTGACATGTCCACATGGTCATGGATGAAAGCCATTTTAAGGAATAAAGGTTATGACATTAATGTTTGGTCAATGCCCAGAAACCAATAGCAGAGTCCAAGTTATCAGAGATATAGTGTAACTTCACCTCCCAAAAAGTAAAAAGGGATATAAAGATGGTTTTGATGGTATGCACATTTTGTCAACCCCACATTTGATTGAAAATACGAACACATTAAATGCTAAAATAGAATACTTTTGCTGTGTTCAGAAAATAATTACTGATTTGAAATTTGATACCAGCAAGCTTTTTCAAAAAAGCTGAGGCAGGGACATCAAAACCCGAACAAAGTTGAGAACACCTCAAGAAACCTTTTAGGCTCCCGTGACTAATTACGGGAATAAACAGAGTCTTTGATGGGAGGCTGAGTCTCTCAAAAGGAATGATTGGAAGAAGTTCATAACTCTGTAAAAGACTGTGAGCAAATAGTTGGAGAATTTCAAAATAATGTTCATCCATGTAAAAACTGCAGAGAATTAGGGACTCCTCAGCTACTGAAGGCAACATCATTCAAAGAAACCAAGTATCTGAAGACATCTCTTTTGAAAGAGCCAAAGTCAAAAAATGAGAGATGGTCATGTGGTTTTCAGGCATGCAGGCTGCTTTAATGACTGGAGTGAAAATCACTGTACGGGCTCAAAACCACCTCTTAGGACCATCATCTGAGAACAGTTTGTCACTACTTCTACATATGGGGGCTTAAACTATGCCATGCAAAGAGGATGCCATATCTTATCATGATCCAGGAACACCAGAGACTTCTCTGGGTTTGGGTTTATATGGGATGGACTGAAGTGTCCTGTGGTCTGGCTAATCAAATTTGACCTTCTTTTTGTAAATCGTAGACGCTGTGTTCTCCGCTCACTGGTAAAGGGACCACCTGTCTCATTATCAGTAAACGGTTAAAAAGCAAACATCTGTGCTGGTATCAAACATCAGACTGCTGGCCGTTGCCTTTTCATAAATTTTACAACATGGAATTGATCTTTCAAATAAATGTATTGTTTCTTTTTTGGTTATGGTATATTGTATTACCCCTCAACAGGAAAGTAGCCAGCTGCCAATTCTGAATTTATGTTTTAATATTGTCATTATTCATCTCTATTGGTTTCTGTGACTGTCAATCAACACACAGGTCTCTGGCCCCCTGTCATTGAAGGAAACATAAACAATGTGCATAAACAATCATTAATCTGATTGCCAAAAAAAAAAAAAAAATGGATGGAAACTGAAGAAGGGAATGGAAGCTATATTGTCAGTAGCTCTGTTCAGCTCATGATCCTCCTTAAATCTAACCCAAACTCACCCCCAGGAAGCTGAAAACCACTTACATGAACTGGACTTTGTCACTGTCTGCCCTTAAATTCAATAAATCTAGTGCAGTATAGATTTTATTGAATGTTCAAGAAATGTTGGCAGAAGAGGCTTCACTCCACAATATGGCATTGATCAAAGAGTCCTCTTCGTTTCGTGGTAAATCTGCAGTACTGCTGACTTCTCACTGGCCATGGCAGATGTCTGACATGCTGGTTTACTCCTTTGGTAATGTATTTCTATGCTGGGTAATTTTTTTACAAAAGGAGTCCAAGACAAAGACCTCTATTTTTCCGTCTTTGTTGAAGACCTGTACTTGTGCTCCAATTTCTTTCCCTCTGCCTTGACAAATGTTTTTTATTGGATGAACTTTGACACCTATCTTTGTTTTCTTTTTGCAAGCTTGTTTCTTAAAGGTCTGCTACTGATGACCCTCCAATCACTGCTGGACTTCTAAAGAATGTACCCCTTATTGAAATCAGTTCATTTGCTGCTGGACATTGAGACTGAACATAAAAGGGAAGTTTCTGCTGTAGATAAGAGTTTGAGAAATAACAAGGAGTCAGTGCATCTTGATTTTTAGCTGCAGTCAGGTTTGCTGAATGTGCCATGCAAGAGGTTTTGTTACAAAGGCTGCTACATGTCATGTGCCATTAGAGATGTGTCCATAAATCCCCACAATTAATAGTCTTTTTATTCTTTTGATACCATATCCCTTAGTTTCACATATTTTTGTGCTTTTTTTCCATGTATTTACGTTCAAAGCTTTGTTTGAGTAACTTATTGAATTTGAAAAAAAAGACCTTTAAATATCTGTGACATGTACACGTTTCTTTGCTTTTGTATCTACATAAGTGAGTAAAAATGTCTTACTGGTTCTCCATTGCTGTTGTAAATATCATGGACCATTTCATGGATCAAAGTTGGGGCTTACATGTTTGAAGAGATTGAATTAGTCTGTGTGTTTGGATATAGATGTATGATGTATCATGTGAATGGTACAGCTGACCTCTCTGGGGTTGTAGTGCACCTGTGCATCAGGGATCTCTGGGATTATTGTGATGGAGGAGTTTAAGAAATAACCTTTTTTTCTTAAATAACCTTATTCAAGTGTATAAATCTGTTTATTTAAATGTTGATCAGTGAAGTCTTCTTAGTGGCATTGCTTGATCAGGGTTTTTAAGTCTACAAGTTACTGAAAATAAAATGTTCACATAATACAGTGGGAATTTCTTTTTCACAAGATAATGGCCTCTGGATTTTAAAAGTTTGTTTAAACTGCTGTAAACTGCAGGGCAGTAGGCATGTGAATATCTTAACTGTATTTTTTCTGCCTTTACTCACCCTTAAATGTGGAAAGCCACAGACATGATTCTGAGGCTTTGTACTGTACAAAAGAAAAAAGTTAAGCATTTTAAAAGCATTTCAATCATATTTAGAACAATATTTTGTGGAGAGCATACACCATTATGGGGTTCTTATCAAAACCCTGTCCTGCCTTTTGGTCACTATTTTCATTTACCTTCAATAAATACATTTCAAACCAACATCAATCAGTTTTATTTAAAAAATGTTTTTAGCTGATAACTAATTAAACGTTCTGTGGAGAACTTTGAACTAGATTTGAAAAAATCTCTCATTTTTGCTGATGTCTGCCTGTCACAGCGAATGAGCCCATCTGTGTGAAGATAATCTATTTCTACATAGTGACAACAGGGAAAATAGGAGCCAGTGGTCGGGTCAGGACCACAAGCGAAACTCAGACCAGAGACGATACATGCTTTTTTCCCTCTTATTTTGCCTTAAACACTACAAGCTGTCATCACAATAGCTAACTGATTTAAAAAGAAAATGTAAGTTGTTCATTCACGCAGCTATTTGAACAGTTAATGTTTTGTCGGAATCACTTGACACCTGACTCTGTTGCTGTGGTAACTTCTCTGTCGGGTTAGCTTGACTTGAGGTTAAGTGGTTATTTTAGCTAGGCTCTAGTACCTGCTAACAGCTCTGCTCCTTTACCTAGCTCCTTTTTTAGCTCAGTGCTAACATCTACACCCTAATGGCTCTGAGAGGGCTAAAATGCTGTAATATGGTAATAATAGTGAAGTTCATCTGAATACCAGTTGTAGAAAATACAACATAAATCACTCAGCTCAAGTGAAGTCAGTTAGAACAAATCAGTGAACATAATGTAATATGAAGAGTAAAGATTTTTGTCAATGTAAATCAAGATCAAAACAAACCAAAAGACCAATAGAAATTACTGTCACACCACTGGAGAAAACTGAAAACTAGAGATTTATGACTATATTGTTCTTAAGAATAAAGTACTGTGATTTGAGAATTACAACCCAACTTTTTGCATTTAAAAGTTTTTAAGTTTTTGTTTTCTTTGATTAAAAAAAGTGATTCTCACATGGTCCACAGTAAAGATTATTGGGGAATCACAAATTGTAGCTGCTAAGATTGAAATTCTTTTGGTAATAAACACAAACAAAATCAATGGACTGCTTTTTTCACGGGCTGCAGAAATCCACACAAACTGAAGAGTCTCGCGAGAGTTTTAAGAAATAACGCATTTCTCAATTGAAGAAATCCTCATGTTCAAGGTACTGCAGCTCTTTTTTCATTGTACAGAGAAAAGGGCATCCACTTGAAAGCTGGGTTTAGAGTTCTGGATTATATTAAATGATGACGATGCTGTCAAGGCGCCAAGTTAGACCAGATCCTCTGCCAAGTTACTGAGGTGTCTGGACGTGGGCAGGGATTTATATGCACTTCAAACTTGGACACCCATTCAATGCATATGATGCCACACAAATGTAAGGTTGTACATTAGCAAGCCAACATTTGCTTACTGCAGACCTGCAGAACTGTTTTTGACCAGATAACAGAAAAAAAGTTCTTTGATGAGGGACACAGCACCAACCAACCAAACAAAATAAAATGATTTCCTCAAATTTGCTAAATTTAATAGGCAATTACATTGTTATTCTTTAACAACTGAACACTCTTTACAAAACACATAGGTACACCCATCAATTGTACAGTATGTAAATGCAGCACAATACATCTGAGGAATGTGATCTTTATCGGAGTCTGGTACAATGTAACAGTTCTTTCTTTTCTTTACACAATATTTACAGATTCAATCTGAGTCAACGGAGCCTGGAAAAGGCAGACAGTCACATATCAACGAAAGTGTGCGTCTCTTTTTGCGGATTTGATGATAGGACAGACTCCCAGTATGCTGGTCTGGAGAAGGAAAGCTGTTAATTGCTGGCTCCACACGCTGGTCTACATGACGTTAAAAAGGCCACTGGCCCACACCTTCATATGTTGTTACAGCATAAACAGCTTAGACAAGTGCTAAAAGAGACTGCCTGAATACACGTAAACATTAAAATCTCTTTGACCACAGCTATAGAGCATACTGTGTTAAGGTAGTAGTATCACAATTCCTGTAAGAAAAACATTTAAAATTTGGAAAAATCTGATTATAATGGACATAATTACTAAACTTAAGCAGTGTCTTACACATAGACTGTATAAAAGAACTGTATATAAGACTGTATTCACTTCCTTGAAACCAGAGCTGCTCAGTAGCAATGTGCGCATTCGGCCGCACAGTCGCCTAGAGTCCCTGTGATGATGCTCGGTTCAAACAGCGTATCCCCCCGGGAGAGCTAAGCAACCCCTGAACGCCCATAGGCTGTATCAGGTGTCAATCATAGAAAACACGAACCCCCTATTAACTTTTAAAAACCACAAACCAGTCTTACAATAACTATTTGTCAACATCACAAGCAGGGGGGAGAAAAAATTTATATCCTGTGTAATAAATTTCTAAAGTTTGTCCACAGCTCCATAAGCTTTGCTGGTGGAGCCGGGATTTATGACCTATACTGCAGCCCACCATCAGAGGGTGCTGTTCTCGAAGTGGCTTCACCCAGCAAGGAGGCAGACTCTGTCCATCTTATATACAGTCTATGGTATTACACCACAGAAAATCTCAAGCAGGTCAATTAGTCCATGAACAATTCAACTTTGTTGACAGTATTGTAGTGCATCAGTTGGACAAGTCAGTAGACCATTGTGGGTGCTCGTAGCGATGTTTTCTATCAAGAAGAGTAACAGACAGTCCATGCACACGTTTACATCCACTACCAGGCACCCACTGACCAAAATGGATTCTGAAAATAATCCAACAGCATGCCGTAAGTAATAATTGTATTACAACATCAGGTGTGACATCTAGAAACTGTCTTAGCTGGTTGAGCAACTTATTAGAGTTCACAGTGGTCCTCCAAGAAAAGGGAACATCTCCAAAGCTTAACTCAGAGTGCAAGGACAGAAACAGGTGAATATTTATACCTGAAAAACAGCCTGTCATCATATGTTGTAACCATTTAGCTTATACAGATTTCTCAGAGGGTTCAGCCATTCCTCAGAATGACTGCCACAAACTTCTTACCATCCTCTCATGTCGTCTGTTCTGTGCATACTGGTAGTATTGCTGCTGGCAAGTGTCATGTAGATGATCTGTAATAGTAACAAGAAGGCACCTACAGTTTCTCAAAGGAGAGAGAGTGATATGACAGTAAGAGCTTTTAGGAGAGGGGTGTAAACTTAAGAGGAAAAAACAAACACTGTAGCCAGGCAGAGATGCATAGAGTTGTCAAATGGTAAACATCTTGTGAGATATTAGTGAAACAGAGCTGAAAGTAGCAGCAGTAAAAGACAAGTATTGCTAACTGCTGGATCTTCTTGCATATTGACCTCATCAAGTTAATCCATCATCAAAATACCCGCAAACCAGTACACTACACCAACATATACATTTGATAAGGCACATTAGCCCAAGGATTTAGTTAAATTATAAAAGGGTAATATCTTGCAAATAGAGCGAAATACGACAGATTCCTTGAGTGAGCAGAGACAAGATAAAGATGAAGCGAAAACTTGACGCACAGATGGAGACAATGAAGAGGCAGTACAACCAAACAAACAAATAAAATAAAAATGCATTGCGTCACTTTAGGGCTTAAAAAACCAACACCCAATGCATTACATCTTTTGCTTCTTTCAAAACTTGTGCAGCCACATTCAGGGTGCATCTGTGCAAGAACCTAACAAACCATCCTTTAACCGTCCAGACACTGACCACACAATGTTACACACAGAGAAAATAAAAGGAAGAGCAGGCATCGATGTAAAACTGGAATCCCTGGTTGGTGGCACTGTTCAATCAGTGGCTTTGGAGGAAGTGAGGGGTTCAGTCTCTGAGGGGTCTTCCTGAGGAAACACAACATAACACACCTTCTGGCCCATGTATGTGACTTTTTCTGAAACAACAAAGACAAAGGAGGGGTTAATCGCAGAGACACAGCTTACACGTTTCAGTATGTTTAAAAGTGAATCTCAGAGTGCACTGAATCATTGCAAACTCACCAACTATCCTGTAGATCCATTTGGGTTTGTCCTTCCACCTAACACCCACAAAGTAAACTGGGACTCCAGTTAGCATGATGACCATCCCCAGGCCACAAACCACAGGCTCAGAGTACAGACTGAAGCACAGCAGCACAGCCCAAAATATCATGTAGCTGATGGGGATCAACATGTTAACCTGTGCAAGACACACGCACACACACACAAACACAAACACACACACAAACACACACACATTTTAATACAGAATTCAGAGAATCTTTGAGACTTTTTGATTATTTTGAGCACAAAATGAATTTACTGTTTGATTACACACACACACACACTGCTTCTTATTTTCATTACTTTGACAAATGGGAGTATGATTTCTGTGCGACGCTCACACGCACTTTCTTTTTGTGACACCAGGGGGCACCAAACCACCAGGAGGTTACAGTCCTGAGCCAGGGTCCATGCTTGACCTGCTGGCAGCTTCAACGTCCACTATGGTCTCTGAGGTGATGTTTAATTTCTTGGACTGACTTTGACTAAATGCTGACTTTTTAACGGTGGAAATGACCATGACCGAGCACAACTACAGTCACTGGCTGGTAGGATTTTAAGTTTGCTTCCTTAGTCAGTTTACAGTTATGACTATTTGAGGCAGATTCTGCTTTTGTCTTTTGTTACACCAGTCTTTTTTTATAATGTTTATCATCTGCAGCCTGTTAACCTTCCAGTGTCACACCCTGCAGTGGATCTATGGTTCTGTGGTTTCTGTACCTTAATGGGCCTCATCAGGTTTGGTCTCTTCTTGCGGAGGTAGAGGAGGCCAGCAATGGTTACCCCATAGGACAGGTAGTTGATGAAGGACACGTAGTTAATTAGGTTGTGTGTCTCTCCAATGCACAAGATAACAATGGTGGCAATACACTGTGGGAGATGAGGGTGAGATCAAATAAATGCATGATGTTTTAGTCAAACTAAAGCAGAAATAAATAAATAAAATAACAGACAAGTATTCAACATATTTTCATCTGGACAGACATTTTGTATGCTGTCCAGGGGAAGTCAGAGGGGGTGGGAAAAAAATTGTATAGTCTGAATGTTAGACGTTTTAGTGGGAGGTGGATGATCATGTCCTAGAGTTTGCATTAAAGTCTGAGTAGGCAAAATGAAAACTTATGGAGGGTGTGTGATTTTATATTGCACCCACTCACTTTACAGGAATGCCCTTTAGAGTCTTAGAGCCTGAGGCTTGGAGTTTGGTATTTCGCCTTTTTATGTTCTTTCGAGCGTGACAATAAATGTGCAGTACTCACGCAGACCAGCAGGGCAGGGATTGGAGTGCAGTTCTTCAGGTGGATCATAGCCAGCAGGTAGGGCAGGTGACCCTCTCTGGCCCCAGAGAAACACAATCTATAGAAAAACATGTGCAGTTGGATGAATGTATGATCAGATATCCAGTATGCAATAGTAGCGAGCAGCATTTAGCTGTATATTAATATTTAGTGAGTGGTTGCACAAAAGGAGAGGGTAGTGGTTGTTGTGTTCAGAAAAATTGTACTGATCGACATTTCAGGTGGTTATTATTTGACAAGTGACCAAGGACAGGACGAGTAAGCGAGGGAGCATTTCGAATGTGACCTCTAAATATTGGAAAACATTCACATTCTTACGCAGTCTACCTTTAAGTTTTGGCTTATGTGAAGATCTTACAAACGGTTCACAAACCTGGAGGAGGTGAACAAGTATCCGTTGATTCCTCCGAAGGTGGAAAGCGCTACAGAGATCGGCATCACCCAGGAAAACATCCCCAGCAATTTTTCCCCGAATGTCTGGAATGACACATCATAGTACATAGTATTGACTATAACTGAGTGATATACTTATTGACAGATTTATCACCTTGCAGAAGTACTGCTTTAAATTATATATATATATATATATATATGTATCTATATATATATATATATATATGTATATATATATTTACATATATATATTTATATATATATGTATATATATATATATATTTATATGTGTGTGTGTGTGTGTGTGTGTGTACATAGACATAGATTTTTTTTTTGGTTCAAATTAAAATGTGATTTTAATTTGAAAAGTTTCAAACTGAAGTCATCACGGCCAATTGTGTAATTCTCTAAAAGTCACAGATAGCATACTGTACCTTTTCCAGTCAGGTCTTTCTGGACAGAATCAACAGCTGTACACACCTGCACTAAAAACATGTTTCATAGAAATGCTCACCACTGCCACTGCGTTGGAGGCCAGCAATTCTTCGGGAGTCATGGAGGAGAAGTAGGCAATGTTGGTCATGGTGTAGACAAGGGTCACAAGGGGGATGGAGATGTAGATGGCACGGGGTAGATTCCTGTTCACATAATAAGTAAGATTTATAATTAAAATGTGAGGGTTCAAGTGTTAACTTTTTAAAAAGGTTTAAAAAAATGAGGTGAGGTAAAACCAACTGTAGAGGCTAAAGTAACTGGGTATGCTAAACATCATCTGAAGCCTAACCCCCTAAGGTTGTGTGTTTGGTGCTTTTTGTTGGCAGTGTTGGGTGCTACGCAGCAAATACATTCCCATTCTAATCAATGCAGCATCACACACAGAACGCATCTCAGCTCTGTCCCGGAGCATCTCTACCCACTGCTTTGCTAAAGATACGTGCCAAGTCTATTTTTGATGGAGCAGCCCGTGTCAATCTGCACAGAGAAGATTGTCCTAGACATGATGTTATCCACAGGAGAGGCACATGTAATGCGGACTCTCAACTGTTTATCCAATCGTATAGATCGCATGGATTTATCATTAACGCAGAACAACCCCAAAGGCCAAAAAAAGTATAGAAATAAAGAAATCAAACTGTAAAACTAGATGTTTTTATACCCAAGTATGTGAATAGAGCCTGACTACACAACCATCTCAAATACAAATGACCCCACCAGAGATTTGGAGACAAGTGTGAGCTTAATATAACAGTATTATCTGTGAGTTCTTGTCATACTTGCGTGGCTCCACCACCTCCTCTGTGACGTAGTTCAGGAAGTTCCAGCCACTGTAGGCGAAAGAGGCCTGCAAGAAGGCCAGAGCGATCTGTCCCACTGAGGGGTCCTCACTGAACTCGAAGGCTGTGCTGGGCCGCAGGGCGTCATAGTGGCCTGGAGAAGGTGAGAAAGGATGATGTGTGGAGATTGTAGGTTTTTTTTCACCATTTTATCTTTTTTTTTTTTTTGATAAACGTTTTTATCAGTGGTAGCTGCAACTGGTTGGGACCAAGTCTATGAACTGTCCACAACTCTCTTTTTCAAAGAACTCATCAGGAACAAATAATAACCCTCATCGCCTCACAAATCCTTGGATTACTTTTTTTCAGGCTGTTATGTAGAAATCAAATTTTAAAGTTATATGTTTTGGGCCTTTCCAATGCTTATATTTAGAGGCAACAGGCCAGTAGACAGGGAGGGAAAGGAGCCAAAGACTGGCTAACTGCTTAAAGCATATAGGGTGTACTTGTAGACCGCTCTGCCAGCCATGCCTTAAGAATTTTACTTTTTTTTTTTACATATTATGTTAACAAGATCAACTTGCTCTATGGAGAATGTGTGATAGGGTATGTTTATATGTGAACTTTAAACACACTAATGCTTCTACGCAGATCAATTTCTGGTATAAATATGGTTATTTGAATTCAATTGATCTAAAACCAAGATATTGTTGGCTTATGAATCTGCTCAAACTTAAAAATCATATCTGCAAACATATAATGGTATATGTCGTCTTGTATATGATTTCAAAATCCCTCATTATGATAAAAGGGAAAAAAAATGTTTCTGTCACAGTATAGTGCAGAGATTTTAGATATTTATGAATGTAAAAAAATGGAGGGTTTATTACTCAAAGCTTTACATTCCTACCTTCTACCTCAGAGTTCCTACAGAGGAGCTTAAAAAAAGAGCTGCTGCTATGTTGCACTGAAAGAAGCTTATTAAGGTTGGTTAGACATTTAATAAGGAGGCTAACCTCCTTGCTAACCTGAGCACCTCCTTTGAAAGACATTATTTCTGGGCTAATACAACCATGAGGACAATGTGGAGAGACACAGAACTTGCTGGGACCCATACTGTCAATCAGCTTCTTTACAAAGTGATAGCCCTAGCCAGTAATGACCATGTCTACAAATGACATGTATGTGTCTTGAATTCTTTTATGAATGATCCCAAGATACACTTTAATCCTTTTGAGTTAAATAAGATAAAATGATCAAAACTAAAACAAACTATGGATTTAACTATTTCACTCCTCATGTGTAACTGATATAGAAAGTACAAAAGTTGAACTTTGTAACATAGATCACAGAAAAATTAATCCTTTCAGGTAGGGCTGGGCGATATGAGAAAAAGTTTATCATGGTATATTTTTTTCATATCAGTCAATATCAATATATGTCACAATATAAAAAATGAAATTTAACAGTGCTTACTGGTAGCATGTATTTTGCCATGTCTTTGTGTCTCTGACGTTTTGTCGTAAGGTGTTGCACTAGAGAACGCAGACTGAATTGTTGGCTGTTTCGGCTGCACAGATGCGATGGGCTCCTTGCTCCACTCAAGGTTTGTAACCTTTTACATTGTGCGTGCTCTGCCACGTGTCACTGCTTCAGGTGGTGAAAAAGATTTGAGATATACTTCGACTTTGCAGGAACATGTACTCCACATAATTTGCAGAGCACATTACTCTGCTTCATGTCTGACCTCGAAAAAAAAAAGAAATTCCTCCACACAACCAATGTTTTTGTGCCAGTGTTGTCGACAAAGTTATCATCTGTTGAGCATTCATCTGCATTTCTGTCAGGGGTAGTGTTCATTTTCTTTTTTTCTCACAGACAGTGCTGTCGTCTTCATCTGTTAAAGTGCTGTGGTTGTGTGTAGCTGCAATCTGCTACTATGTAGTTGTTTGCTACTTGATTCTAATTCAGCCTGATTGGTTCAGCGCAAAGCGAACCAGGAGCAACTCCCCTCATCATTGGCTATTTGTGTAGTCTAACAAAACATGGCAGAATGCCAAATATTGAAAAGCATATTGATCATGTTTTATATTGATATTGAGGGAAATTAATTTTTGATATTTATCGTTATCGTTTTATTGCCCAGCCCTACTTTCGGGATTTTAAATTTGTTGAAATGCATCTATATACATCGCACCATATTCTGGGAGTGTCTCAAAATCCCCCCATAGGAGCTGAAAAATGTTATTGATGACACGGATGTTCATGGATATCTGATCAAACTGGCTCCACCTTCACCTGTTGGATAATCTGAATAAAACAGGCAGAGTAAAGGCCTCTGTTACTCTATGAATTCTGAAATAGTCAAGTTTTGATGAGTTTATAAAGTTTAATAGATAGACTATGTTTCATAAGCACACTGTCCAGATGCTCTGTTTTGTTTTTCTATGAACTTTTTCTCTGCCTCGCCCTTTACCATTCTGTGTATTCATAGTTTATATATTATATTTGTGTGTGTGTGCGTGTGTGTGTGTGTGCCTGCCTGTGTGTGTGTGTGTGTGTGTGTGTGTGTGTGAGAGAGAGTGCGTGCTTACCTCTACAGATCTGAACAAGTCCAACCACTATGATGAGAACCAGGGCGAGGAGTTTTCCCACAGTGAAAACGTCTTGTATCCTCGTCGCCCAGCGCACACTGGAACAGTTCACCCAGGTCAAGAACACTGCAAGAGCACACATACTAGAAATTAATAACCACTCAACAAATGAAGTACCAAACACATCAAAACATGAGAAATAAACATTACACATTAATCACAGGCTGATCATTTTGATATTTATGCTTGATGATGTGTGTTAAGTTCAAAGCTAAACAACTCAGACGGGAGTATCAGAGCTCCTTCAGCAGCGAAATTACAGTTCCAATTCAGACCAAAGGAGGAGAAGTGGGTCTGCTGTGAGCTTGTGAAATTGATTCATGTTGTTCTGATCTGTCATGTAAGTAATGCAGCACAGTGGCTCTCCAGTTATCTCACCACTCAGTTTAACGACCCAGTTTGTGCTGGCTTCAGTGCAGGAAATGCAGATTTATAGACAACTTTAGAGGAGCTCACAGAGCCATGTCTCCGCCTGTGCCTCAAACATCCTTAGGCTGTGCTGCTTTATTGAAAGGGTCAGATTGTTGTTTGTCCTCAAAGACTCCAGCACACTGCAGTAGATTTAGCGCTTACATCAACCTCATTATCTCGTACATTTGTCAAATGTCACAGAATCAAACTAAAATGCTTCTTAGTCTTGTCCTTTGGGCACAAGCTGTTTGTATTTGAAGGTCTGTTTTTCTACAGTAAAGTGAAGTGCAGTGAAAGACACAAGTTAATTTACATTTAAAGACTCTTTGAAACCATGCATCAGAATAAAATCTCATCATCCTGCACAAACTGGGCAAATATTTGAACCTCCTGTGTGGGGCGTGTAGTTTCTGTTTATTTTATCACCCACTTATTTTAAGGCACTGACTCAGAGTGACAAAGATCTTGCTGTTTTGGACCCGTTAGGTGTATAAATAGGTATTTGTAATGTCAGGCATTGTTTATAGAAAATCTTTACTGTGAAAAATAAACAGCCTGTTTCTACAGTGGAATAACAATCTCATCTGACTGCATTTTATGACATCAATATTCATTATTTAGAATAATAATCTTGTGGCTGATGGTCGGATTACTTCTGTAGCTCACACAGAGGAGTGTTTTCCACACATGGACAATGGCTGGGTGGGCTACACGAGAACATTCATGGCCAGCCATGATCAGTATCTTATTGCTCATAGTTTATGTGACTAGATCAGACCCTACTGCAGGTGATCAGACAGAGAGAAACAGAGGGACGGGCCCCTTAGTAAGCATATTGATTGAAGTGTAATGTATCACCTGTAAACAACATTAAATTGTAAAAAGTGAAACATTCTAAAACTTTACTCTTGTTTTTTGAGAATTGTTTCCATACACATTTAATGTCAGTTATTCCCGGTTGTACTTGTCCAAAATGCTAATAACATGTATTGTTGAAGCTATAGAAAAACTATTTGCTGATAGTGTACTGACAAATACCAAAATGCTCCACTGCACAGATGACAGATTGGCATTTGGTGGCACAGCACAGGTTGAGAGCATTTTGACCTAAAATGGACAGTTGTACCTGGGCTGTTTCTGATGCACTCAGCAAATAGAAAGAGGGCAGATGGCAGAAAAACTGGTTTAACAGAGGCAGAGTAAATGCCCCCCCCCCCCCCCCCCACACACACACACACACACACACACACACACACACCGGTCCGACAATCGCTGCTACGGGGGGCAGCTACTCTGCCTCCGTTAAAGGTGGGGCTGCTGGCCCACCACACATTTTTCTGGCATCTGCCCTCTTTCTGTTTGCTGAGTGAAAGTCTGTGTTAGTTTAATATTCCTAATCATTTAACGGAACATCATAAGAGAGTAAAATTAGTTTTTGAGTGTGAAAGAGCATTTTTTAAGAGATCAAACTGTCACTTAATACTTACTTGACAATGTAAAACATGATCAAAATGAGAAAATGCCGATGTCTCACCTGAAACTCTGGGTTTACTGAGTTAAACCTGGTCCCGAGCAGGTTAGGTTCACGGAGTCTGTTACTATGGTAACTGACCGCAAGGTTGAGTTACCTCTCTTTGTGAAACAGGTTAGAGTTACCCCTCTCTCTCTGGTTTAACTGACCCTCCTTTGTGAAACGGAAAACTCAGAGTTTCCCTGTTTTCAGGGTTAACAGACTCTGAGTTTCCATTAAACCTGCTACGTGAAACGGACCCCTGGACGAAAGAGAGTTACTACAAAAGCAGAGGATAAACATAGCATTGTCACCAGTAAGAGAGATCGGCAAAAGACAGCACCACAAATAAGGGAGGAAATCAACATGACAAGGTCGAAACCCATATCTCTGACAACCATGAAATGACGTTTGAGAGAGGCTGGTCTGAAGGGTTGTGTATCTGCAAAAAAAAACACTACTTCGTCCACAGAACAAGAAAAAGAGATATGAGTGGGCAAAAGCTCACAAAAATTGGACTTATGATGACTAGAAACAAGTTTGCACTGTTTTTAACTTTTGTCTGGCGGTTCCGCCTAGCTGGGTGTGGTGGCGTGGCATGGGGAGGTGTCGACACAATCAGCGGGCGCAGTGACATTTTCGTGCTCGCCACCGGTGTATAAAGTGCGCTGAAAGCTCGCCGATTTAAACCTGGTCAGCTTTCAGCGCAGGCGGAGCGCAGCTGGTCTAGTGGTATTTTGGTGGCGCGGCGGCATATCGGCACACGTCACCAATGCCTCACCGGCAGGTTTCCACAGTGTCAGGCACATTTCAGTGCAATAAATAATCAACAACAACTAATAATCTGAGTCAGCACATACATTTAGATCTATATAGATATATTCTGATCTATATCTGATCTGATGAGTGCATTTGGCACGCGTTTGGACACACAACCTGACCAAATCAACACAGCTGAAACCGCAATAAATTAAATATCTAGTAAATAGACACACATGATGAAGTTAACAAGATATGTAATTCATCTCCCTCCTTTCTTCCTCTCCCTCTTATTTCTTGCACAGCTCGACCTGTACATGTCTCTGTGTCCTCTCCCCGTCCTGCTGCAGCGGCTGAACAGATGATTTGTTTCAGTGATCAGATGAGTTATTTACTTTAAGCCTACATACAAATATAAAATTCAGTTTTGTGAGCCAAATTTATTTTATATGCCAACATCTATGAAAGAAAGAGCCAGGCCACGGAGCGCGATGTGTCATTTATTCACAGGTGGTTCAGATTTTAATGCCATTTTTGGAATTTATGATGTGATCTGTGCGCTCAACCCACCTTTGTCACGTGAGGTTTGAATATATGCAACTTTATGTGAGTGTCTTTATTTGTGGAAAAGGGTGTTTGTCTTACCAGTGGGTCCAACATTACACACACCAAATCCATTTGTGCTCAAATGAGAGAGTGTGGAGGACGCCCAATGCAGCGCTTACAGTGACACTTGTTGAGGGGCTGCCTTTTGTCGCCATCATGTGGTATTACTGTCTTCAGACATCTCTTGATCCAAGACTACTTCATGGAAATAGTAATACGCCTTGCCAGAGGCGGATTTAAAGGCAAGGAGAGGAGCTGATGTTATTGGTCAATACAGTTCTCGGCTGTGTTAAATCCACTCCACGCCCTCGCTACGACTTACGCCGCTGGGAGGAGCTGAGCTAGGGAGGGGGGATACTTATGCTGGGCTGCGCCGCTCACCAAAATACCAAATAATGCTTGGGATTGCCTTGTCAGTGCGGCGGACCCGACTTATGTCGCGCCACGTCTCCACACCGAATGTCAGCATATATATATATATATATATATATATATATATATATATATATATATATATATATATGTATATATATATATATATATATATATATATATATATATACATACATACATATATATATACATATATACATACACACACTAAAGGCCAAAAGTCTTGCTTCCAAACTTGTATATGTGTTTCCAAACTGTTTATATATATATATATATATAAACACTACAGGCCAAAAGTTTGGAAGCAAGATCAGATTTGTACAAAAAAAGACCATAGTTTCATATATATAATTTGCAACACAATAAACATGACTATTGTGTAAAGAGTAACTTATCAGAAGACACTTTGACTATAATTATTAGATATTTGAGTTATTGTTGCTTAGACTTTGCTTTCTTTAAAGTAACCTCCTCTGGCTTTAACAACAGCTTGGCATATACCAGGCATTCGTTCCACAAGTTTTTTAAGGTATGTTCCAGGGATTGCATTTCAAGCTTTCTTAAGTTCATTAAAAAGAGACTGCTGATTTGTGGGACCAATCGATCCAATTCATCCTGCACAAGCTCAATTGGAGAAAGGTCTGGAAACTGAGGGGGCCAAACCATCTTTTGAAGAACACCGTCCTCTTCATTTTTGTCTAGGTAACCCTGACAGAGCTTGGCAGAGTGCTAAGGCCCCTCTTGCTGCAAAACAAACTAATGAGCCACAAGTCTGAGTCCAGATGGAACAGCATGGTGCTGGAGGATGGAGTAGTACTGTTCCTTCTTCATGTTACCCTTTACTTCAAACAAATCTCCTACTCCATCACCTGCAAAACATCCCCATACCATGGAACTACCACCTCCATGCTGAATTGTGGGTGTAACACATGGTGCTTTCAGACGTTCACCAGTTTGACTGCGGACATAGACTCTGCATTTTGAACCAAACAGTGCAAACTTGTTTCTAGTCATCATAAGTCCAATTTTTGTGAGCTTTTGCCCACTCATATCTCTTTTTCTGGTTCTGTGGACGAAGTAGTGGTTTTTTTGCAGACACACAACCCTTCAGACCAGCCTTTCTCAAACGTCATTTCATGGTTGTCAGAGATATGGGTTTTGACCTTGTCATGTTGATTTCCTCCCTTATTTGTGGTGCTGTCTTTTGCCGATCTCTCTTACTGATGACAATGTTATGTTTATCCTCTGCTTTTGTAGTAACTCTCTTTCTTCCAGGTCTTTTTCTATCATCATAACTTCCGGGTTCCTCTAGTCGCTTCAGACTGTAGTGGACTCCTTTGTTAAACACCTTTCTGTGTGTATCCTTCTTTCCTCAATGTACAAATCTGTACTTTTGTTTCTTTACTCAGTTGCTTCTTTCTAGCCATTTTTGAGGTAGTTTGAACGCAGTTGAGATTTATTAGGATTTTTGTATGCAGACTCTCAAAAGCCAAAAAGTTGGAGTGAATAATCCAACTGTGATTTGGTTTTTGTTTTTGCACTGAAGTTGTGACTCTTGCAAACGTTTTCAACCCTAAAACTAAGCCCTCATTATCTTTTGCTGACATATATTTAGAAATGGTCTGTTAACATCAATGTATATCTAAAGGTAAATGGGGAAAAATCGTACATTTCCATGAAAGCAACATCTGAACATGGAGTAAATACATCCCAAAATACAGAAAACTCATGCTGGATCTTAAAAAAAGCATTGTGAAAAAAACTTGAAGTTGCTCCCAACTGTTCAGCCTGTAATGGCCTTGCTTCCAAACTTTTGCCTGTAGTGTATATATATTTACACACACACACACACACACACACACACACACACACACACACACACACACACACACACACACATCTATATATATATATATATACACGGACATTTTTTTCCCCCTCGATGAGCTTTTAGGAGGCCTCATATTCATACCCAAACAGAAATACACATAACCCACATTTGACCTCCAAACACAGGTATCCTGACCTCCTGTTTCCTTTGATATTCTAGCATGCGTGCATGCTGTTCCCTCACGGTGTAACACACACTGTATATTTGCAGTCCTCACAGACTCATTGTGCTCTGTTGACTCTTATATTTACTTTTATAGTCTGTTGTCACACTGCCAACTCTTACCCCTCACCAGCTAACATGAGCAAGTGTGTGTGTGTGTGTGTGTGTGTGTGTGCGCGCGCGCACGTGCATGTTGCATGGACCTCTCCAGCGACCCTCATTTTGGCCTTGTTTTTGTGTGCGGCCATAACAAGGGCTGGATTGACTCCAAGTGAGCCAAACCAAGCGAGTGTGAGTGGCTCTCCAGTCGCCCTCTAACTCAAGTGCAGGCTTATGAGTGGGAAGTAAACACAGCAAGACGTGTGAGTCAGAGAAAGGAAAACTTTTGTTTCTACGTTTGTTGCATCAATTTAAATTCCTGTGCACAAAAAAAGAACACAAATCTGACTAAAAAAAGTGCTATAACTGCAGTTGAGTCAGCCAGCTCTGGTGGAACGGATCATTATGTAAAAGTAAAATATGAAGAGCTCAGCAGACAGTAGGTACAGACTACATCAACTTCCCCTTTAAGGAATAGTTTGACTCTATGGAGACTTTTGAAGGAGCCCTCTAAATTTTTGTGTTGGAGAAGTAGCAGCAGATTCTCAGTGACTGAACTTTCGGAGATCTGAGGGTTTTTATACAACACCATGATAAAAGAGGTGTAATTTAAAAGTGCCACAGTGAGATGACTGGATAATTTATGCTTCATCGTAACAACTGTGTACCACATGATATATGATGCTAAGATGGTATTAACCTTCCTCACATATGCCACTTGTTTCATTAATACATGAAGAAGATATAGCATCCAGGTCCCATGTTTGAAAAAGCTCTTTCAACAAGACTGGAGGTGAAAGTGTCACATTAACAAACAGAAGGGGCTGTACATACAAACTTCTCACTAAGCTCCAAATCCCATACTTTTCAGGCTATGGCTTAAGGGCATGTGATATGCCTGTATCTGAAAAGTGATATCAAAACACCTCACACTCCCCTTAGTGACTGGCTTAATCGAGGGTATATGCAGCAAAGACACAAATCTAAGCAAGAGACTTTATCCGTGTGCACAGAAGCAGCAGGGAGGAAAAGGAACTAAAGGTGGAAATGTTAAAACCCACAAGCTCAAGAGTCATCTAAATGTTCGGAGCTGTGAGTGTGTGCTTCAAACCAACAAAGAAGATCTGACAATGTGGACATTTGAGATAAATCAGTTTGGTAAGATGTGTTTTGAAGAAAACTGTGTAATAACTGCAGCTCCACCTGCTGATCCTTGCTGCCAAAACTGTAACTGTATATGAACCAGCAAAATATGTCTGTGACATTATGACCACTCTCTGTAGCTGCTCTTTCCCAATCAACACCCATTCTTATGAATTTTTGGTTTAATTACAGCAACGACCTGCATATTTATAAAATCCAAGTGGATAACAACTTTTCATCTGTCTTGATTTTTTGTTTCATTCACAGAAAACAAGAACTTTGAAAATCTCTTGTTTAAAAAGGAGGCAAACTGCTGATTTTAGTCTAGGTCTTTCTTTTCTCAAACTCTCTCCCAGCAGTGGCACAACAGTATATAAGCGTGTGTGTGTGTGTGTGTGTGTGTGTGTGTGTGTGTAAGAGAGTGCGCGTGTGTGCGCATGTGTGTGTAGGAGCATTTAAGAGCAGGGGGTGTTATCGACCATGTCATCCATCACTGGTGCTAGGTTCCCCTCCCACCACAGAAATCGGACAAACTGCTTCCGCTGGCACACACACACATACACACACGTGTGAATTTTTGGCAGGAGGTTTCAGTGGCACCAGGCAGAGCTTTCTCTCCCTTACGACACCAACGTGTTTTATGGTCACTCACCCTTGGGGGTGTGACACGCATTTCCGCTCCTGTGTTCCTGTGAACCCCCCCCCCTCCCTCACCTCCTCCTCCCCCTGTTTTCCTCTCTGTTGACCCTGACAGGAAGGCGGTGCCAGTGGGCTTTGACTGTGACAGTGCAGGTAAATCTGTGTCCTGCCATCACCTCCTCCATTGAAGGCTGCATCAGCACCAGAATACTAAACTAATTACTGCTTTTACTCTTAATGGATTCTGATCCCTTTCTTGGTGCAGATTTATCAGGGGCCTTCACCTCAGACACACCTCCCCCTGGTCTGCGATCTGGTCACTGGAGGTGCTGAACTGGCAGTGACCTCTCAGTCCTGTATCTCCAGAACAAGGTGTCTGACACCATGATCCCCTCGGATGACAGTAAATATACAGGATTTATTCAGGGTCAAATAAACACAGACATAGGTCTTGGTGATGTGGAGGAGAGGTAAAGAAAAGAAAAGCTCCGCTGAGCCACTAAAGTTAGTTTTTACCTCAAATTTGGACTAGCCATAAGACAACACTGAAGTTCTATTTTTTTTGAGCAAAGTTAAAATCCAGTGGAATTTATATAGAAATACCTATAATTGAGAGTAATCGTAGCCTTAGCTCATGACATTTCACAAATAACTGACCCAATGCTGCACATTATTATGTCGATTATGTTAGAGGACAGTCAGATGGTTTATTTAGGAGGGGAGGTAAAAATCTGTAAAACACACTGTGATGTGTTCTCATAGAGTTCACTGTAATCAAAATGGCTGAATCTAATTTTTTTAATAACTATTTTGAACAGTTAGACTAATCTCGGTTTAACTTGATTTAAGGATTTAGAAGAAAGAAAAGTTACCTGAAAATAAAGAACAAGCTCGTAAACTGGGTTTGTCTCGGCTTCTGCAAGCTTTCTCTTGGTTTTGTAAAGTTTTGCTCAGGGCTGTGAGGTGTCAGCGCTCTGCATTTGTAGAAAATGACAACCAGCATTCCTGTTTGACAGAAGCAGGTTTCCATCCTGCAGGTTTGACAAAGCTGTGTGTCGACACGCCTGCACAGATTTGAACACAGACAGGACTAAACTGCCTTTTTTCAGGGTTTCTGCTACAAGCTTTCAAATTTTCCACTTTTTTATAAACACAAGGCAACTCATATATGGAAAATGCTTTTTGTTATTCTATTTTACATAAAGGCATTAAATAATATATATATAAAATCATATTTTATATTTAATGTATCCGGGTTATAATTTTCTCTAAAACAGCTAGCTAATTGACAATACGAACATGCTTGAGTGACTATTGAGAAAAAAAGGTTTATAACTACAAAAGGCCCTTCAACCCACTATTTTGAGTTATATATTAAGTCATAGGTCAGCATGTGAACTGCTGGACTGAAGCCCAAAATGTCAGATTAAGGGATGACGAACTGACCACTAAAAATACCAAGACTGAACCCTGACAAAAAATCAGTATACCTCAAGTACATTTATAAAGAATACAGAAGTTCATTTAAGTATTATTTAAAGTATACTTTGTACTCTGACACAAAAATACTACCAGTGTACTAACAAGTAAACTTCTTGGGACTGAATTGGCCCAATTTAATTTCATACACTTGAAGCAGATTGAAGTTCTTGGTATACTATTAGATTACTGAAAATTAACTTCTAGTCACATGACATGCAGCACAGGGTGGGGCTGGAATCAAAACCACGACTGCTGCAGGGACTGTGGTTATCAACATGGGATATATCTTAACCCGCTAGGCCATCTGTGTGCCCTCTTGAAGTTACCTTTTGGTATGCTATTATTTCAGCAGTGTACATATTTATATACTTGGTTTGTACTGCTTATCTTTTTAAGAGTATACTCTTATAGAATATACTCTTTATAAAATGTACATGAGTATTTACCGACCAAGTATACTTAAACCTCAGGCACGAATACATACTAAAGTATATCTAGAAAAAAAGTTTATGTATAAGTATAGGTTAAATATTTTTAGACTTTTTTTTTAGACAAGCCAAGTATACTTAGTTTTTTCAGCTGCTTCAGTGCGCTTCTCACATCATTATTAACACTTGCACAACAGTTAATACATTCCCCAAACAATTAGTAAAAACTGCAAAACCTAGTTGATAACCTGCAAAAGCGCGTCACTTGCACAGAATGGATAGTTCGCCAGTAATAAAAGCAAGTATTCATGTCAATGTAAGTGTCAGTGTCGTCAAAATGAAAAGTCCTGATACTGTTTCGGCCATTTGGCAGCTACAGTAAAGTTACACATGACCGTATTTAATGAGGTACAACTCTATAACAGCACTTTGTATCTCGCTTAACCTAATGGCATTGTTTGAAATCACCATTACACAAATGGCTTCCTCTTGTTGCTGAGTAAAAAGAGACCCTCATCCACCCTCTGACACACCTGGCACCTCATTGCCTCACTGAGTAAATTTTGACATCAAATGGTTTAATGTGACTCCATGAAGTTAATAAGCAACTTGTGATGTTCAAATATGATTAATTGCCCTTTATCAAAACAACATTTAGAGAGTCTTGGCACAATTACAGTATAAGTTAGAAATATATTTTTCGCTCAGATGAGTGAAGGATGAATATCTGTCTTTAAACAACTGTTATAGGGCACCAGTTGGCCTAGTGGTGCACCCCATGTGCAGTGACAGCAGGCCTCACTGCAGCAGCCATGACCCTTTGCTGCATGTCTTTCCCTACTCTCTACTCCCTTTGTTTCCTCTTTCCGCTAATAAAGGCAAAAATGCAAAAAAAAAAAAAAAAAAAAAAAATCTCTGATTAAAGCAACAGCAAACACAAAAGACAACTAGAAAAGCACTCAGAGAGCACAGACCTCCGCAAGGAAGCTCATGTCCCCCCTTATTTTGTGATTCACACCAAAACTTACTGTTACGTGTCTTTTATTAACGTTTATTTGTGTTTAAACTGGTATGTTCACTGTTCATAATGTTCCTAAAACAAGAAATGCCCTGACCCAGATTTGAACCCAGGACCTTCTGGTTGTGAGGTGACAGTGCTAACCACTACACCACTGTGTCACCCATTGGTTATCTTTCAGCATTGAAAATTCCAACGACACCCTTATTTTTGTGTGTTCTGGATCACAGTATCCAAGAATTTGTCTGGATCAGGATCAACCTTTGACACCTCATAAAACTCATTAAGATCCTTTTGTGTAATTTTTTTCTAAAGACTCTGGCCATTTTTATAGAGCTAAATGCAAAAGTTTCAAAATTTGCCCTATCTCACGATGATAAAGAATCCTTCAAAAAATTTCTGGATCCAGAAGGCGATCCGGATCACCACCAAAATTTAATGGGATCCTCCTGGGGCTGAGACGCACCTCTGGTGAAAATTTCAGGTCAATCCGTCCGTTACTTTCTCTGTAAAGTTGCTATCAGACAAACAAACAAACAAACCAACAAACAAACCAATGCTACCGAAAACATAACCTCCTTGGCGGAGGTAAAAATATGACTAAAGTCACTCACAGTTTTCTCAAAATAACTGTACCTTCATCTAAATTTCTAATCAATGTACTGATCTAAGCTGTTGCTTCTGTTAGCAAGTGTTGGTTTATACATGTTGGTCATTTTTAGTAGCAGACGCATTAGATTTCAAAGGAGCAAATAAAGTCTGTAATCTTTTTTTTTTTTTAAGTGGAAAATGAGATGGGCTCATGAGGCACAGTTATCTTCATCATGCAAAAAGCCTCTGGTTTTTAACTCCGCAGACTGCTGGTCTGGTGACTGACCACCATCTCTCAATAAAACTGGAGTGAGGGAGTTTTATTTAGAGTGCAGCAAATTCAATGATAAGCCCAATATGCAGAGAGAGTCTTTGGATGTCTAAGGCTGCCAGCATTTAATTAAAATCATTCAGCCACACTGAAGCAATTTGTACATGACTACACTATTCTGATCCTGTTCTTTTGACTTCTTCATCTATAACATCCCTGGAGGCCTGCATTTGTTACTTATTCTGACCTCTGGTATAGTTTTCCACGGGTCCATACAGGATAGGATAACTGAATGGTAACTAAGATGGTAAAAGTGTGCCTGTTCGGGAATTTTGGCTTCTTCTAAGACTATTTTTTTAATTGTGGGAATCTGGCAGTGAATGTTTCAAAACTTTTTTGGAATTGATAAGGGACACTTCACTTTTTATTGAAATTTCAGAATTTTTTTTTTTTTGGCCTTTGTGAAGATAGTTGTGTCTGCCAACACAGCCAGCACACATGTCATAACATCTAGGTTCAGTAGGATAAAATATGCATACATATTTTTGTGGGACTTATAAAACGTGACTTGTACATGTTTCTGCTGTCTTAATTTAAACATTCTTTGAATTTGACGTGTTTGTGATCCTTTTTCCACCACCACAGCCTGTCATTAAATGATGCAGAAAAACAGTTTGTGCAAATTTCAAGTCTTATTGAACTTTAATGAGAAAAACAATAAATAGGATTAGAGTAATTTCACCAGATCTAACCCTGTGGACTTGGCAGGGTGATTCTTTTCAAGACCACCAGCAAGACCCAGTCATGTCCAAGACAAGACTTCAGGGTTTGAAGGGGTGAAACCAAGCCAAGACCAGACATGCTCCAGTCTAACAGTGCAGAACCCCTCTAAGATGAGAAATGGAAATTTCAACAGCCAACGTTACAAATACCCCCCATAGACACAAAAAACACTGGCCTACACAGCCTGTGTATGTAGAAGTATACCACGAGAAATGTCTTAACATTAAAGATTATCTAAAGGGAGAGAGAGAGCAATATGAACAAAATCGGTCTTTCGCTCTTTCTTTCTTTCTTTCTATATTTCTTTACTCTGTCCAAATCAGGTCAGCTATGACATAAAAAACACAGTGTGAAGACATCATTCAGCTTTGAGTATTATTCAGATATCTCCAAAGTTAGGAGGAACACCCAAGCTGCAGCCTCCAGCCTGGAGAAATTAAGCTGATGCGCAAGTGCTAAAAACTGTAGTTCCCTAGTCCACATACATTGAGCCTAGTGCACCAAAATGTTAAAATAAAATAAGACACCTTTGGTCTGATAAGCTCCGGGCTCCCAAGGCACCAACACAAGTTCTTCTGAGGCAGCAGATGAACTTTCCTGGAAAATGGGGTACGAAATTAAAGGCATGGTTGACGATCGGCGAGATTGGTAATTATTAATTATCATGGTCCTATCGTGCGATCTCCACAAAGCGAAGAGAAAAAAGAAAGGAAAAAATTTGTTCACCCTCGCAGGTGCAGGGCTGCAAAAACATTGACCAATGGGAGCCATCCATCTCGGACAGCTCCCATTGGTCAATCTCCTGCTCTGCCTCTCCATCCAATCACCTTGCTGTATTCAACACACCCCTCTCCTGTAGTTCCGACTCGTCCCCTCCCACTCTCTCCATCCTCCACGGAACTCTGAGCGGCTAAAAGTAGCGTAACAGCTTAGCATGAATAAACATTGGGTCACCCTTAGAGCGGTGGAGAAAGCTCCGCCAGGATTTGGGCCGGAAAACAGACGCCAAGACAGCCGAGTTTTTGTTGAACAGGTAATTTTTGACTTTGAGCACAGAGGGGAGAGGTTTGTGTGTGGGGGTGGGACGCTTTTTTCAAATCTGCCCCCATGGCTTAGTTTTTTTCAATTGCTTCTCAGATCGTCAACCATGCCTTTTAGTTATCCTATCAAGGTAATAATAACTAAGATGAAAACGTGTTGTTTGAATCAACTTTTTTGTCATTGTCAAATATAGCAGGACTATTACCAAAACACTTTCCTGAAGATCAGCACAGACCATCAAAGACAGTCATAGTAAATGAAAAACACAGGAATCACGTGGAGGCATCATGTTTGCTGACTTTATTGTATGCATTACCTCCAGAGCAAAGAGCATCCATTTGCCATTCTTATCTAAATGCACAGCTATCTTCTGTATTTGATTTAAGCCTTCATGTTTAAGGTTTATGTGCTTAACCATAGACTGGATATACTATGGACAACCTGGTTCCGCCTTCCGCCTGTATACGGATTTGAAACCAAAAAGCTCTTGGTAATTCCGGGTTTTTCTCCACTTCCTTGAAACCAGAGCTGCGCAGTAGCGATGCGCGCATTTGGCTGCGCAGTTGCCGAAAGTCTCTGTGATGACGCTCGGCTCAAACAGCGTATCCCCCCGGGAGAGCTACGCAATCCCTGAACGCCCATAGGCTGTATCAGGTGTCAATCATAGAAAACATGAACCCCCTAATAACTTTAAAAACAGAGCTGTACAGAAAAAAGAGGACTTGACCACAAACCAGTCTTACAATAACTACATGTCAACATCACAAGCAGGGGGGAGAAAAATTTATATTCTGTGTAATAAATTTCTAAAGTTTGTCCACAGTCCCATAAGCTTTGCCGGCAGAGGCGGGATTTATGACCTGTACTATGTGCTTAACACAAGTGAGGAATCAACACTGCTCCCTGCAGGGCTGGGTTTTTTCCCACAGCTTCATACTACACCATAATATTTACAATGAGTTTGGGATATGATGTGAGACAATTTTTTAAAAGATTTTACGCAATGAAAAAAAAAAAAAACTAGTTACTTCAAATATTCTTTGAATGGCAAAGTTTTTGGTTAATTCCACTGATTTTATGAAGGTACTGGGAGCGTAAGGCATATGATGGTGCTTTCACTGGCTGTCTGCTGGTTCTATTCTCAGAAAAACACAATCAGCCAACAACTGGACCTGCCTTGGTTTATCATGCACAAACACACACACACATACACCTGGGGCCTTATGTATCAACGCTTGCGGCGCAAGAAAACCTTGCGTACGCCAAAATCGGCGCACACGTCCAGATTTATCATCACGAAACGAGTGTCGGTTCCAGCGCTAATCAACGCAAAGTCAGGAGGTGGTGTAGAAATTGGCGTTGAGCAGATACTTGCGTTGACTGTGATTCGCACTTTGGCGACGCTGTGTGGCAGTGTTTGGTGACTCACTATGTGACAAGCGTGCACCACATCCCCGTGGCTGAGCAGCACGTCGCCCCACATGACGAACCAGCAGCAGACGGAGGGATGCGAGCTGATCCCTGCCGGGCCGCCATCCTCCGAGGGAGAATCTCATCGCCACAGTGTGAATGGGTAAGAAGTGAATACACAGTTCAATGAGCCAAATTAATTTATTTTCTCCACCAGACGCTCGAGGACATTTACGAGCCGGTCCAGCCGCTCGTTGATCCCCACGATCCCCCTGATGATTTCTTCCTGCGATTGCAGGACCCCCTCCGCGAGGACCCTTCAACTGCGTCCGGGTGGTCCAGGGGAAGCGCCGCGGCTTGTGGACGCTCCACCGCTTGTCGGCGCGCTGGTGCTGATGCTGGTGCTGATGCTGGTGCTGGTGCTGGCGCCGGGGTGGCCCGAATGCCGCTGGTCCTGGCCGACGACTCAGAGCCGGCGGACGGGCTGCCGCGGGCCGGGGTTCCGCAAGCCGGCGACACGGCCGACAAATTGATTTCTGTGACACAATAAAAATATTTGTTCATTTCAATTCCTGCTTCTGTGTATCTGTTGCGTTTACATCTCTCTCCACGGTATCATAGATAATGTAATCCAGTATTTAGAGGTCAGTTATGCACATTACAGTTGTTTATTGCATAAAAAGTTATTGAAAAATGAAGTTAAGGGCGAAGTATAAATCACGTCTAAAAATAGACTGAATCCCGAAGTTGAAATGAAGTATAAACTTAGACTAGACGTCTAATATACGTCTTTTGCTCAGTGGGATGACAAAGCATGTGGACATTTGTGTGACACGCCACTTACCCTATAATAATAATCGCCACCACCCGCTGCTCAAACGGTGTGAGGGTCTCCTCCCCCGGACCCCCACCTGTCTGGCCAGTACTCCTCCGGAGGGCAGCTGTACGCCGCTTGACCTCCACCTTGACGTCCAACCACTTTTTTTTAATCTCCGCGGGGGTGCGTGTCTCGGAACCCACCGCATTCACCTTCTCGCAAACTTTCTCCCACTCCAAGCATTTTCGTTTTGCACTGACGCCACTGGACAGGCTGCCAAATAAAACACGCTGTCGCTCCTCCACCTCCGCCACCAGCACCTCCACCTCGCACGCCGTAAATTTAGTTTTTCTTGTCATTTTGTCTGCGTGCGAGGACAGGGAGACCCTATTTAAATAAATCTGCATATTTATAGGAAGGCGTAACGGGGACGGGCCCAGTCACTCCGACATCTGCGCTCAATTCCACGCTGATTGGGATTTATCAAGGAAACACACGTGGATTTCGGCGCCCGCACACATTGATACATACGGATTTTTTTCAGCGTGACGGACCTTGCGTGCGCTCGTTTCTGGTATGAGTTCCACGCAAGTGTTGATACATGAGGCCCCTGGTCTGGGTCACTTGTGGCTCACATGCTGTACCCTCTGCATGGGGGGAGAAGGGGGGAAGGCATATCCAGGGTAAGTCAAATTCATAAACCCTGAGTCAAGAAAAGTTCAGTTGACATAACAGCAGCCTCAATGAGACTCTGCAGAGCACAGTAATACGATCCTGTTCATCTCACCAAGTGTTGAAGATAAACACCGTCAGCACAGATTTTTACTGCAACATTGTACTAAAATTTGTCCCCTGAAGTCAAGACATTTTCACTTTATTTTTTCTAAGGTGTTTTTTTATTAATTTGCTGTTGGTTAAATCAATTTGGGTTGAATAAAAGCAGCTAGAATCACTCCAGAAAAAATCTCAGGCAAACATGACAGGCTGTTACAAACTCTACAGACTAAGGGCTCTATTTTCGTGTCCGCTGGGGACACGGCAAAGGGTGGCGCACTCTGCGCAGTGGTATTTTCGTCTGGCGGAGCCCAGCGTACAGCCAGTTTGGTATTTTTGTGGACTGAGGCGCACCGAGGTCTGCCAAGCTGGGCGTGGTGGCGTGGCAGGGGGAGGTGTCAAGAGAATCAGCTGGCGCAGTGACATTTTCGTGCTCGCTGCCGGTGTATAAAGTGCGCTGAAAGCTTGCCGATTCAAACCTGGTCAGCTTTCAGCGCAGGTGGAGCGCAGCTGGTCTAGTGGTATTTTGGTAGATCCGTGGCATACATCACCAATGCCTCACTGGCAGGTTTCCACAGTGTCAGGCACATTTTTAGTGCAATAAATAATCAAAAACAACTAATAATCTGAATCAGCACATACATTTAGATCTATGGATATATTCTGATCTATATCTGATCTGATGAACGCGTTTGGCACTCATTTGGACACTCAACCTGACCGAATTAACACAGCTGAAACCGCATTAAATTAAATCAAATATCTAGTAAATATACACACATGATGAAGTTAACAAGATATGTAATTTGTCTCCCTCCTTTTCTTTTTTCCTCTTCCTCTTATTTCTCGTGCTGCTGAGTTATTTACTTTAAGCCTACATACGAATATTATAATATTCAGTTTTGTGAGCCAAGTTTATTTTATATGCCAACATCAATGAAAGAGC